ATGCACTGGCCGCACGACTCGTGCTTGTAGAACTACAAGAAGAATCAAGATAAGCGGTGAGCGAAGCTAAGCAAGAGAAGCGAGATGTACCTGGGCGCAGCGCGCAATGGCGGCGGCGAGGTCGGTGGAGTTGTCCCGCACTCGACGCTGACGGCGCCTGCACCGAGACCGATCTACGCGTCCTTGAGCGAGTCGCGATCCATTAAGACCTGCGCTCAGCTATTGACCCGGTACGATGCCTAGCAAGCTATTCCATCGACCGCGTACACCGCCGAGGTGGTTCTCGGTGAGGTCCTCCAACGAAATCACCATCTCCTCCTCTACGACGCGCGGGGTGGGGTGTTGACGTGACCCGAGATACGGAAGAGCTTGGTGCCCTAGTTGCGCTCGCGTCCAAAGCCCGCAAAATACGCCCCGCCGCGCCGTGCGATGGTAGGCGCAACAGCGACGGTCTCAACGTTCGCGACGGTCGTCGGACAACCGAACCATCCAACATCAGCCGGGAACGGCGGCTTCAACGGCGGCTTGCCCTGCTTCCCCTCGATACTCTCAATCAGCGCCGTCTCCTCTCCACAGATACACGCGCCAGCTCTGCGGTGGAGGTACACGTCGAACGCGTAGCCCGAGCCGCACGCGCCCTTGCCGATGGGGCCGGCCTTGTACGCCTCGTCGATGGCCTGCTGGAGGTGGCGCGCCTCCTGCGTGAACTCGCCGCGGATGTAGATGTAGACGGCGGTGGCGTTCATGCTGCGGCCGGCGACGAGGCAGCCCTCGAGGAGCTTGTGCGGGTCGCAGCGCAGGATCTCGCGGTTTTTGCACGTGCTGGGCTCGCCCTCGTCGGCGTTGGCTGCCATGTAGCGTTTCCTGAACAAGACAATATTGTAAGTACAGAGCGCATGAATCCAGATAGGAGTTGGCACACCTGGGATCCTTCTCCCAGCCGGGCTTGTTCATCAAACTCCACTTCAACCCAGACGGGACCCCAGCCTCGCCACGCCCGCGCAGCCCGGAGTCTTTGATCATCTGGATGTTCCACGCGTCGCCTTTGAGGATGATATCCTTCGTTCGGTGCCAGTCGCCGCGCGACTACGAATATTGCGTTCCTAGTGTACCAGATAAGTATCCCCAGAAGTTCATGTAAAGATGCACCTGTGTACGCACCCTTCAAAGTTGATCCTAATGTTCCAAACTCGAGCTGGTACTTCAGTCTCGGCTCTCGAGTACGCGATCTGAATTGGATCTAGTGACATATTGGCCGGACAACGAGCCGGATACGGCGGGTCATCTCAATCAGATGTCCGGCCGTTCGTCGTTGAGCTCCGTCGTAGTGTGGTGTAGGGCCGCGTTGTCAGTCATGGTGAAGTACGGTGGTGGTGGTTAGAAAGAAAGGCACGAACGATCGCGCCCCTTAGCCGTTGGACGCATGCGTCAAGCCAGCTTGGCTCTTGCTTTCATCACGAGCATTTTGATCACACTGGGACTGTACTCCTACTCGCCCCTGGGGTCTTGCGTGCATTACTATTGAATAAGCTCAAGTAGCTGTCGGTTCCGGCACCAGTTTGGCACAATTGCGAGACGTGCGAGGGCTTGCAAGGCTATGGCTAGTCAGGAGCGCCAGGCGACTGCAATGCGGTACAACACGACATTTCACTGACCTTTGTATATCCAGATTCGACAGGCACTCCACCCTGATGCCCAGCCCTCATAATGATATCCATCGCTCTCGGACAATAAATGGTCCTTAGCCATCCGCTTCAACGTATTCTTATTGCGGTATCACGCAGGAACATGAACTTAAAGGCGCTCTCAACGCTGACCTGAACTCTGTGGGAGATTGCCCGACGGATAGACGTCAACGTGGCCCCTTGGCGCTACATGCATAGGTACGTTCATTAGCTCTTCCTCACAGCGCAAAGTGCCTGATGATGGACCAGTCTCCAACTCATCGGCGTGATGGACGAACCTCTTCAGACTCTGAGTTGAGAGATCAGGACGTGCACAGGCGCGCTCAACTGGCGTACGCAATCGCATCTGCGCCAATTTCACCCCATGCATTGACCCAATACCACCATTCACCTCGATACATCACAGGATCCGCCGAGGTCAGATATGTCTACCGAGCGACTGAGGGCGCAGCTCGCGTAGAGAAGGCTGAGGTCGATAGGGCGCGGATACCTTTGCCGTGAGCAATGACATGTGACACAACCGAAAAGCTCGGCAACGGGTCGCAGGATGCGCTGAGGACTGCTTTCAGATGGTGGAGACTTTGTAACACTTGCTGTACTGCCGAGAAGTCGGAACCCGACTTTTGCTAAACACCCACATAATGCATTATGTGAGCTCTCATTTCACTTAAGCAGGTAGAGCTTCGAGACTAGTGATCGCATTCCGTTGGAATCGATGGCTCAGCCCCGGCATAATAGAACGGGAACAGGCGTAAACGTCTTTGGCGCTCAGTTGCTCATCGCAGAGGATCTACAATGCTTCGATATGCGGGACCTTGTACTACAGTATCACAATCCTGCACTGATCAAAGACCACTTGACTTTCGATGAGAGTGAGAGGAAGAGTCGTCAGAGATAACAGCGAGAGAAGCTCGACGGAGGGAGCACTGTCGGCCAGCGACCTTCCAAGATGGCATGTTCCCAGTCCGCCGCATGCGAGCGATACAAATTGAGAGCAGCTCGTGCATTCTCGACAGCGTCTGGTTGGCCGTCAACCTGCATATCTCGGCGCATGAGCTTCCAACTGAGGGTTTCAAGGCTGATCAGCTGGTTGGGAGACTTCAATGCGTTTCGGAATGGCTGGTAAAGGCCGACATCACGAGTGTTAACGGCAGGGTGGGGGGTTCCAAGGGCTGTCAATTTGTTGGCATAGTATGCGGTGCAAGAATTATCATCTAGTTTTAGACATGGGACTCACCTGAGAGATCTTTCCAAAGGGAGTGCCCGACGAGCACCTTGCCCCTGATTATAGAACGTACGCGACTTCTTACCACCTCGATGGGCTCCGCACGACCTGTGTACGATATGTGAGCGCGATTCATGCGGGAGGAGTAGCATAGAATGCTTGCCAGGCACCAGATACTGAGGTTGAATTCCCGTTGTGGCAGTGCGGTAGTCGGTCACTTGCATAGTTGGTTGTACGAAGTAGTCGACGATAACTTGCCCTCGAAAGTCTACGACCGCTACACGACTGCAAAAAGAGATGAATTCAGGATATCATCAGATGCGAATGGTAAGCATAACACGTACGCAAGCATATCGGTCCCCCCGCTCGGACCGACACCGACGGAGATGCATGACATGATGGCGACGACTTCAGGACTGGGAGATCTATAGGCATAAGGATCCTCATCCATCAAAGTTTGATGTCCTAGGGTGGCCTGATTGGTGAATACGCCGAAGCTAGATCGTAGTGACTGATCCACAGTATCGGCGAGAATGTTTTCCGAGGAATGTTCTGAATGATGTGTGAATCCCATAGGCAGCGAGTCAAGGAACTTGTCTGACGAACCAGCTTGTGGCACGATAGCGGGTGCAGATGACGCGGTCGTGTTGGATGAGGCGGGTACAGACGAAGTTGATCCAGAGATTGGTGACGCAAGATCACTATGTGCTGCAGTTCTTCGGGGATAATGATCAGTCGCCGTATACTACACTGAGACTGGAATGAGCTATCATTACATCTCATCTGGGAGTTCAACTATAATCCTCTGGAAGCGCTTCTTGGCCATATTTGAAGGCCGCACAGGCCCTAGCGAGAGCATTTCGTCCTGTGGTGACGAGTGCTCAGCATTATCTGCTTCATCCGCGTCCTCCACTTCGGTATGCATTCCCTCGGATGCTTGATCTTGACTATCAAAGGAGTGCGTGAAAAGGGAGGTAAAACAAGGTGGAGACGAGTACAATAGAAGAGGGAGACTATGCGAACCTTGACCGGAATTCAGAATCTCCGTCTTCAGGCCAGTCGTCCATAGAATCCTTATTCTCACGACGCATGCAGATGCCATATAAAAGGCCACAATCTGCTCCTTCACTGCTCCATAGTATTCAGTAGAATCTTGAAGGCCAGACTCGCGTAAAGCCTACCAGATAATTCGGCCATCCTCACTGACGGTCTCATTGCCAGTTGTCTCCGTGAGGCAGTAAGGACATCTCGGCACTTGTTCTCGAATAATGATGCTCATCTTGAGGATGGCCCCGGGTTTGATTCTTCGCGCCCAAGATTCATGTTCGATCAATCCTCGTTCATCATCACCTACACCATATTCATGCCTGCGAACATAGGAGTCTCCGAGACGGTTTTGGAATGCGTCCAATAGGAATAGGTGGGTTTTCTACATGTGTACTGATTGAGCTGCGCCACCTCATGGGAAAGACGAATTCAAAACACTCACCTCCCAGGTGGAGAACGTATCGTGCTCAAGAATGAATATTTTTCCCAGCACGTCCACGAACACAATCTTTGGTGTTGAACTCCCCCGCGGACGCCATACGATGAGATATTTCCAGGTAATGAAAAGCAGGAAAAAGGTGAACATGGCAGGAACGACGACGACCAAGATCTGCGGAGCATCTACGGCTTTGACAATGACTGTGTGCGCCGAGTTGTTGCAATTGCCGTTCACTCCGTCGATTGCCCAAGAGAGGAGTGTCACCAAGCCCCGCCACATGATCTCCTGGTCTTCATAGCAGAACCTCGTAATCACGAATTGCGCGAGACCAGTCAGAGCCTGCCGACAGGAGGGAAGCCTAGGATGCATGAGGGCCTGCTCTTCCGTGCCCATGAACCCGTGCACAGGTGGCAGTCGGAAGCCTTGATGCTGATGAATAATAGTATGAAAATGGGAGTTGCGGAAGACATACCCACAAGTCTACCCGAAGATGCTTCTAAGAGGCAGGTAGCTAAGTCAAGCCCTGTGCAACGAGAATGTTTGTTGACGGTCAAACAAGGATTGTGGACAACGCACGTAACCCCACGATCTCTTGCTTCATATCATCCATTCGGCTCAGATACAGCGTCCGATCTTCTTCCCGGGCTTCGGCTTGTCCGGCGTTCATATTGCTGATATCTTGGCTGACTGTCTGACATGAGAACCTATGCGTTCATGGACTGTAGGTATTCACACACTTTGGTCGACACCGGCAGATGAGCGATGCATGTCTACGACCACTTCGGTGATAGCCATCCTTTCTTCCTCCGATGTCACAGCTTCGACTGCCTTCAGGGCAGCGTCCAGCTCATTCTTTTTGGAGAAGAGAATCTGCATGAAATGTCCTGGAGGGTACGGTGAGGTAGTCATGTCTACGCTTGTGATAGCTTTTACGCACGTATACGCCCGCGAGTGAGCATGCGAGTGGCTGATCCAAAGGTCTTGAGAATGACCACTAGCGCTCGAACGACGATTTTTCTCGAACTTTGTTTAAGAGGCACGCGCACGCGAACCTGTAGTCGCTCGACGAACTCGCTCATGAGCTTAAAGAGCCTTTCCAGGTCATCAAAGACATCGCTGACGCGACTAGCGGTCTATCAAAGCCATTAGCTAATTCCCTGAAGGTGATGATGATCATGAGTACGGACTTGCAGCAAAACAGCAATGACTGCGAATATGCCCTTTCCTCCAGGTGCATGCTGAACGATCATGTTCAGAAAGAACGCCAATGCGAGAACACGGGGCGCACCAAAGACGACATTGTCTCCGCAACTGCATCCAGAACGACAACCAGACCGCGCACTAGCGGCTTCAAAACCGCACGTAGTCGAAGCGATGATTGATTTCCCGAGCGCTGCTTGTCCAAGGACTTTAGAGACCTCTCGAATAGGTCCAAGATATCCTCGCTTGTAAGGCATCGCTCCAGATGACCCACCACGCGGCCATATAGGTCGTGAAGGTCCGGAACAAGAGCCCTGCGATAGTCGTCCAGCGCGTCTTGCCACAGACCGGCCATATCCCCGGCGGTGTCACAAACCACATCGTGATTGGACGGCTCCATCACTTCAAGACGAGAGCCGGATAATCTCAACCTGCGGCGGGTCGAGGAGAACATGGTGAGCAGAGCAGAGCAGATACTGTACTAGTACATAGCCAAAGAGGCGTGTAGCACCACGAGGATGCACTGCTCAGCGCCCATCGCTACAACTTCAGGCCGATATTATCGCGCGAAAGAACTTTGCCATCCTATACAAGTACACGATGATATCATAAAGCAGAAGAAGCCAGACGCGTGAATCCAGATGTCCTATCCTGTGCCCGTCCTCCGCAGTGGAAGAAGACGGATGCCCATGGTCACGCACGGCGTCATCATGGAGGGTGGTCAAGCTTCGAGTCGCGCGTCGAGAGTTTACTGCTGCGGTCACACGCAAGCGTGATTCCGGCCGCGGCGCGGCGAGTTTCCGATCTTGGTCCCATCATGTAAGTACTGTAGACATCTGGCCATCCAAAGTTCCATCACACGCACTGCCATCGTCCTCATGGATTATACTCGTAGTGTCCTGTGTGTCTATGTGATGGGCGGCTCGTCGACTCACCTCAGGGTTCCGAATGAATCAGGCTTGGACGTATGATACATGAGGTCTTGCGCATGTACAACACTCGACGAGCCGTCAGTATGAGTCTTGAACTTGGACGTCAAGTGCTACCTGCGAAGAGCGTGGAGCGAGATGCCCTGGGATAAACAAAACGGAAAGTTCCAGGATCACCGGCGTCTGAAGGCATTCGCTCATTCACTCGAGTGATCGATGGACGAGCGCCGATGGAAGCGAAGTGCGAGTGAGGATATCAGAGTAGAGGTATGTACAGGGACAGCCAATGGAGCCAAGAACACAGATAATAGTGCAGAACAGCGCGAGAGTGTGATCAACAATGAGACGTGAGACGACAGGGGAAGAGAGACGGTATAAGTGGTACACAAGACGTCGGGAGAGATGTGAGGGCCCATGCGCGGGGAGGTATCGTGGCAAACAGAGATAAGACGTGGGGAAGCGGCAAGTGTCGGATCGAATGGAGAACGCTGAGGGGGAATCGTGGCTCATAAGTTCTGAATCTGGACGATCAAGAACTGCTTCTCGTCCGTGAACTGTTCATCTGCACCGATATGTTAGCTGGGATCGGATGTGGGGGAAGGAAAGATGGTACGTACCGTCCTTGTCGTTGTGGAAGTCCTTCAAGAAGACTAATAGCTTCTCCTTGTTTCGCCGTAGAATGCTCTCGATTTGTGGTGGCTTCTTCGGGTTCGCCACAAACACCTACAGAGGCGTGAGTAAGCAAGCCATAGCGTACAGTGATTACCAAGGGACATACCTTGAACACATGAAACGCTTCGAACTGGATGTTCTTGCTCTTATCGCGCAGCAAGTTCATCATCATCTTCAAGTTATCGTCGTTGGCGATGTAGCGGGTCATGACGGCGAAGTTGGCGCGGTCGAGCAAGATCTCGCCAACTAGTTTGAGGGACTGACGTTTGGTTACGTAGTTGCTGGACTTGATGAGTGCCGTGTATGATTCAAAGAACTGGCCGAACGCGTTAGCAAACTGGCGGCGAACTCAAGTTCGAGAGGATCAGACTTACGCGGTCGTAGTTCTTGTCCAAGTACTCCGCAACCATGGGCTTATGTCTCGTGATTGTGTCCTTCAAACTCGTATACGCGTCCGTTGAGATCCCGAACGTAGTTGTTTCAATGTAATGCGGGAACTTGTAGAACTGATCCGAGTACAGCAAGATCTTGCACAACCCCTCGTGCCTCAACATCTCCCTCAAGATCATGCCTGTGTTCAGCGCAATATCCTCGTTCTCGTATCCAGCCAACGCGGCAAACAAGACCTCGCGCTTTCCCGAGATGTACTCGACGGTGGGCCAGCGCGAGCCGATCTGGCGTCGAAGGAGGTTGTTGAATATCTGAACGACGTCTTTGCGGGATTCGAAGTCGAATTTGGCAATGTGAGTGACGAGGAGGTAGAGCAGATCGGTGCTGTACACTTCCTGCGCGAGCTGGGCGAGAAGTTCGGGCACGGGTTCTGTTCAAATGCGTGCGGTTCGTATATCAGCGCCCGGAGCCACACGGTGGTGCCAATAGTTACGCACCTCCATCGCCGTATAGTAAGCCCTTTATCTGCTGCAAGCTCTTGCTGATATCGTCATTGGCCTGCTATCATGAGCATACCAGGATAAAATCGGCTATAAATCAACATACCTTAGGGTCTGTTCGGCAACTCGATCTTCCGTCATGACGGAAAATCAAGTTGCCTTAGAAGGCAATCCGTTTGCGTCACGGATTTTCGAGTAAGTTCGCTGTTCGGCAAACCGCAGCACCGTCCGTCATGACGGGCTTTCGTCAGCGCGTGCTAGTGTGTGGCGTGCTGTTCGCCCGGTTTCCCTGATATTCGATTAGACATAGTATTTATACAGCCGCTAGTTCGGCAGCCAGTTACCATATACTGTACAAAGACTTCTACCTACTGGAACCTATCTACCTGATATTATTACTATGCCTGGCAACTCTACCCGGTCCGCGGCTCACTGGGTGCCTGCAGCCGAGGATATCCTCCTGACGACTCTGCGGGAGGCTCGCGCTAATGGCCTTGGTGGGGATAACAATTTCCAGCCGGCTGTCTACACGTCTGCCTCAAATAATCTCCATCTCGCCGGCTACGAGTTTTCTGCGGAGCAGTGCAAGAACCGCTGGAATCGGGTGGGTTTCGCCCAAGTTCCTTGCCTCTCCTTTGTTGCACTCGCTGACCCCCATTCATCGCAGTTCAAGTCGGCCCATAAGACCGTGACCTTCCTTCGCGGTCTCTCAGGCTTCGGATGGGACGATACGCGCAAGGTCGTGACTGCATCAGACGATGTCTGGAAAAACCTTCTCTATCACACGGTATGTCTACCCTTCCCTCATACTGCTATCATCTTTTGTCTGATATATCGTACTAGGATGGCTCGAAGAAGAAAAAATACAACGACTATAACTACTTCCGCAACAATGCATTCCTCCAGTACGACTTGATTGGCGAAATACTCGGCGGCAACACCGCGGCCCTCGACCACGTGTTCAGCTCAACCGCGGGCGGCGAAGCTGCCGCTCCCGTTCCCGGTTCAACCACGACCAACGATGGGCAGGGTAGTGTTCAGGGTGGAGAAGGAGGAAAGGAGGAAGAGGAAGAGGGTGACGAGGTGCAGGAAATCGTGTTGCCGGGATCGCAGCGCCAGGACTCTGCGGGCGCGGTTTCGCAGGTGCGTTGACTTCCCCGTGCACCGTACACACTTTCTGACTATATTGGCAGGTTCCGTCCACTCCCACCACGCAAATCGTCCCGCGCAAGCGCGCCGCCGCCCCTACCCCTCCGGCGACTCCTCCTCCCTCGTCGAAGCGCAAGAATTCCGGCCAGGCCCTCCGGAACGACATCCACGACCTCTCGAGCAAGGCTTCTGCGCTGGTTACGGCGCTTTTGCCACCAGATTCCCCCGTCAAGCCCTCCCTTACTCCTGCTCGCAAGCGCTGCTATTCGCGGCTCAACGAGGATGGGCTTTCGCCGTATACGAAGGCACGCGCTCGCCGTGTCTTCCGCAATGCCGATGCCGTGAACGAATATCTGTCATTCGGCGACGATGAGGATGAAGTGATGGCCCGCAATTTCTGGCTTCATCAGGAGATGGATGAGTACGACCGCATTCATCGTAACAACTAGTTGTATTTGTGTCCTACGATAGTTCAATACAGTATACACCCTGCTCATCTGAATTTTCGGGAAAATCGGAAAATATAATGCAGTACTATATTGATTGCAAAGCGAAATATTTACAGTACAATGTACTAAGTGCGATGCTCACGACGGCGGGCCAGTGTCTCTTGGTATTGCCGCCACATCGCTTGAGCAATCTGGTCACGGCGAGCAGATGCACGCGCGTCCTCAGAAGCCGCCGCAGCTGTCGTCGCGACGGGTGCATTGTCCCCATGTGGGTCCACAGCATGTGCGAGTTCATCCTGCGTCGAGATGCGGAGCTCGTCGGAGTGGCGCTCTGGGTCGTAGATCCTGAAGAAGTTGTGGAGGAGCATGAGGGCGCTAGGAATGAGGCACTGAGTGCGGATGGAATAATCGCTGGGCTCGCACGCCATCTTGAATTCCTTCTTGAGGACGCCGAACATGCGCTCGATGATATTGCGAGCCTGGGCATGCCGGAGATTGAAGAGCTCCTCGGCATTCTGAGGCCTATTTGGGAAAATTATGAGCTGGCTCTGAAAAAAAAAATCGGTTGAAGTACATACCTCCGGTTTCCGATCTGCCACTCGCGGAGATGGTAGCGCACATTGCGATATGGCACCAGAAGGGTGTCACAGCTTGCGAATCCTGCATCACCCAGCCAGTACTTGCCCTCGGGAAGCCCGAGACCCCCGCGATTGACAGCGTGGGCATACAGTGCACTATCGGCGGCACTGCCCTCGGCACCTGTCATCACCCAGACGAAGAACATATCAAAATCGCAAATCGCCAGTACATTCTGAGTGAGATTCCCCTCGCGGTCTCGCCAGCGACCACGCGTGATGCTCGGAGGGTTGACGGGCATGTGGCTCCCATCAATTGCCCCGCGACAGTCCTTGAGGAAGGGGGAAAGCTTGGGATCGAGTGCGATTCGTGCTGGGGTCTTGTCGTCTGGAAGACGCATATAGGCGGAGCGGAAGCCGGGCGAGTTGATGGCATTCAGCACGTCATGAAAGCAGCTGTAGGTGCAGTGTGAGTGGTTGTGGGAGACTCAGGACGATAATGGAAGTCCGTACTTCGAAACAGTTTCGTTGCTTCTTTGGAAGCGCTCAGCTGTCTGACGGACAGAATTGTTGGTCACTGCCTGATATAGGAAGATGGCCAACATCTCTGTAGTATCGACCCAACGCCTAGGCCGTAATCCGCCGCGATTGATGAGCTCGCGCTCGAGAACACGGAAAACGTGTGGGCGAGCGCCGATATTGTCCTTCATACGGTCCCGGTGGCCATTTAGAAGCTCCTGCACCCAGCTATGACCAGAGAGTACGGATGTGTGATATGGCTCGGGGAATAGGCGGTTCCATTCGACTTCGATTGCAGATACGATAGTAGTAATTACGAGTAATACAGTCAAAGAGAGTACAGCATCTCGGCGATGATCATCGAGACGTGTCAGCGGAGAGCTACGTGGGACTCTGAGAGCTCGGTGGGTACGATTACGGGCCATAGAGAGTCAAGGGGACGAAAGAAGTTCATTGCCTCGTGCTCGCAATCCTTCCCGAACGACGCGGAAGCTCTAACCCTAGCGTAGGGCTTGACGGTGACGGGCATGCCAAATGGATTCACATGATTTCGTTTCCGTAAAATCAAAAATCATGACGGAAGATCGAGTTGCCGAACAGACCCTTACGAGTAGGCTCGCCCGGTGGCGCCGAATCCAACCGTTGTACGCTATCGCGTAACCCACGGACCAGCTCTGGTGGTGTCCGCTGTTTCGACTTGAAGAAGTTCATCGCCGATGCGGACAGGAGAGGGAGCCGCGGCGGGACGATGTGATGGCAGGAAGCAAGATGTGGCGCAGGGACCTGACGGCGCTACTCGAACAGAGGCGTCTCTTCACAGCATCGGGGCCGAGTCAATGTCGGTGTAAGTACTCTTGTACTAGGCTTCATCGATGGGCGTGTTGGGTCTGCTCTAGAGGCGTATCGGTACGGGAATACCCAACTCGCCATGGTAGTTCAAGTAGAACGTGACTTGTGGCGACAACCGGAACGGCGCGTCGCGCAGGCTGACGCAGACCACCACCATCACCATCGCCATGCATGTGACGTATATAATGCTACCTCTCGCACTCGGGCTACACAATAGGGTCATACGTTGACAGATGCTGTGACTATGCACCGCGTCCTTGGCCGACGAACCACCGGGAGTCGTGGCAAGCAAGCGCCCTCTTGCACTTCTTGACTACGGCTATCTCGAACCCCTCATGTTCTACCTTTCTCATACCACTACAGTAGTGCTGGCACATACCAGATATGTGCTGGTGAGCGTTATGAGGATCACATCTGTACGTTGTGGCGTATACTGGTCGTCTATTACCGCCCGCAATACTTCCCTACCGTGAACTTTATATCATGAAGCGCCGCCACGTTCCAAGGAACGCCTGTTCACACAGCCATGTACCATGTAATCTTTCCTCGGGTTCAGAAGACTGCACACGCACCTCTCCCTCTGACCGCCATGCTCCGTCGCATCCGCCGGCGCTTCAAGAAATCGGATCCTCCCCTCTCCGGGTCCCGGCACGCCCAGGGCTCGATTGCTGGATGATCAGATTCGGCTGACGAGCTGGCTCAACTTTGGAAGGCCGCCCTCAACGAATACCAATCGATGCTTCAGATTGACTTGCGCGACAAGGACGCGCCGTTCATGCGCGAACTCGCAAGCCGCTCAAATGCAGAGCAAGTCTTGAACATCATTCAGGGCATATCCAGTCGCCTGAGCAGTATGCGCGAGGGACGCAAGCCTACGCGTGCGATACGGAAGGCGCTTAAGCCCCTTGTCCATAATCTACAGAGCATCCTCGATGCTACTGCTGAAACAGCAACATCTTTGGTGCGCTCTTTCGTGAATGAAGTCGCTTGCATATCCTGATCAGCGTACAGGGTGTTCCAGGAGGAAAGGGCATCTTCGCGGCTGTGGCTGTACTGATTAAGGTTTCCATCTTCGCGGTGCAAGTGTGCTTACGCCACCGAGGCAGGCGGCGGATCGTGTGAGCGCGGCCCTCGACGACATTGAGAAGCTTCTCCGGCGGCTGCACTCATACGTGAAGCGATTGAAAGTACGCGTACGGGCTCCGTTGGGGAGTGAATCGAGGGAACTGGCCGTCATGACCCTGACGAAGATTCTCAAGATGCTGGCCGCGTTGACACGCATCGTGCAGCGAGGTCGCATCCGTAAGTGTCTCACGTTCTTGATATTGAGAAACTTTCTGACTGTCAACGCACAGAGCACTTCCTGTACGCGCTGTTCACAAAAACCGACGAAGTGGGATCTGCGTTCGATGGGCTGGAAGAGACGGAAGTCGAAGAGGAAAGGATGGCTATTGCTGAGTTGGTTGTCGGGGTGGAGCAGTTGACGTCCATGATACGCAGCAGTGAGTCGGCCTCATGACCTATTGGTGCCCTCGACTAATATGGTGCAGTGGACTCTGCAGTCGCTGATGTTTCGCAGGCCCTGGATGTTCTGCAACCGACGCTTAAGGACGTCAATACCCTTGCACGGGCTATTCTAGTTGAAACGCGGATTAATGACGCGCAAAGTGTGTACTATTCTCATTCACATTTATTATTTCGGCGATTCATCACAACGCACAGGCGCGAGCGCACTCCAGACACTGCTGAACCACGCCGGTGCTTTTCCTCCATCGTCCATAGCCCCCAATCCACCGGGCAAGCAACAGATTTATCTTCAGATCATAGATCCGCTAACACAATAAATAGAAACGGAAGTTGCTGCCGAACAGTCAGAGTTATGGAGAATGCATCACATTGTATGGAGATATCTCGGTCGCGAGCTACGCCATATACTTTCTCGATTCAATACCCAGGATCAAGATTTGATCTTACGCGGTGTTGTCACACTATTCTTGTTGATCATCGACGCTGAAGGCAAAAACCTCGCACTTACTGTCGTTAATCCCTCTGCCACACCTTTGGTCTGGGCCCGGGTCACTGGGACGACCTTGTCGACGGCCGCTATGTTCCTGCTGCTATTCATGACATGGAAGCTGCATTCGGTGTCGCGTCCAATAGGACTCCCGTCTGACTGCGTCATCATGGTGGATGTCCTCGGAGAAGCTTTCATTCTCGGACCCGAGACGTTCGCTACGTGGGAGGTAAGTGTGCAGAGAACTTACATATTGCATTACATGGCTTAATATAATGCTCCTTCCAGAATACGCATCGGTTTATCGTGAACGCATTTCGCGGGCGGGTTGGGTTGTCATACGTACAGAGGCGCAACTACGGACTGGGCGACTCTGCGCATCTTGTAATTGAACCGGAATCATCGTCGCAACTCGTGCGTCCTGGTTCAAGACTCAATATGAGCGTCATAATTCGTGAACGCGTGCCTCGATGCCCGTACTGTGAGATGGAGAGGAATGGCAGGGAAAACGTATTGGATGATGGAAGGATCGTCTGGTCGGTCTGCTCCTCAATATATCGGCCGCCCTCACCTAATAAGTGTCGATTAGCTCGCGTTTAGTCTGTGAGAGAGCATACGGTACCTTCGTCTCTTCTGATACGAAGTACACCCACGAATATATATCATCGTGAGTCAGTGCTGCGCGCAAAAGGAATTCTTCCGAATGCTCATACCAGACGCAATAGCAATGAACTCACCCCAGATCTGTCAAGTTATTCCATGCCGAGTTCATCCCAAGAGTTCCTCGAAGCGCCGCCGCTCATGCCAGCCGCGAGGTCACCGTCTACCCAAGGTCGCCCGAGAATAGATCTTGAGCCCTCAGAGGACTTTCAGCCTGGCAACTTTACCACTGCTGATGGCGTTCACCCATCACAGTCAATCGGTCTCGCTGACAATGATTCATCTACTGGAGCTCGGGGTCGGTTTCAGAGGATAATCGTGGAGACCTTGAAACTCGGGGGCGAACTTCAGGTGTACTCGGTTGACCGCAATTATACGGGATTCTACGTCATGAACGCAGGCGCTGCTCAGGGAATAAAGGCTGGGGCCGAGTTTTTGATCTATCAGTCTGAGTACATCTATGACGGTGATGAACCGCTGGGAATATCGTATGCTGCCATCGTGCGCGAGCTCGAGACGGAACTTAGCATCTATATCGCCGACGCCGCTAGTCGGCGACTACCTTCACATTGCTTTGCCATCCTAGATCACGACCACAGTCCCTCTATACTGCACCCACACGTCCCAAGTATGCCCTAGACCTATCGCACATTCCAATGCCCTCACCGATTGAGAATCTTGATCATCGAGAATAGACAATGAAGCGCCCCAGAGAGAAGAATAGACGAGGATCAAGTGGAGTTGACAGGGACCGAGAAAACGCGTCCGCGGAGATGAAGGAAGGAGACCAGTCCCAAGGGAGGGATAAGGAGGGTTGTACGCGTCCGAGTCGGCGCATCGGTCGAGAGTCATGAACACGAGTCTCTGTATGCCCGCATGCAATGGAAATATATATCTTGACCCATGGACAATATTTTGTCCGATTTTGCCTGCCTTACCACCACGTTGGGCTCGCGAATTCGCCGCGCGCGCAGATTGAGGGCAACTGTACCACATGTGTTGGAAGAAGCTTCAAGATATCAGATCGGCTGAAATCGACTAAACAATGATATGATTGCGTGGACATGGTGCTATAGTACATGAACAACAGTCGTGACAGAACACACAAGACTGGGGGTATATTCACAAGACATTTTGCGAAGCTCCCTCCATGGCACAATGCACTCACGCCGTGCGTGCGCGAGGCGCGAAGCGGCCGAGCGGGAGCTGAAAGAGGTCGTCGGGGCCAAGCAACTCGGCGGTGCCGGTGTAGAACGCGATGAGCGCCGTGACGATGCCGAGCGCGCCGCCTGCAATGTCGAGGTTGGTCTGGCCGGAGAGCTTGGCGGCACCGAGACACATGAATGTGAGGGTGAGGAAGAAGAACAGGGCGACGAATGCGATGTTCTTGCGGAGGGCGCCGAGGCTACAAAACAGGTTAGACTCGTATGCATTGCAAAGGGCACGCTTAATACGCACAAGAACAGGAAGGTGATCGTCATCCATGCCATGAGGTAGATACCGATGGCAGCCTCCTCCTGCGCCCCGCCGTCCACTGCCGTGGAGTACGCATCCGCGATGCCAGACGAGGGAACGTAGAACGCGGCAAATGACAGCCAGAAACCGCCGTACGACGAGAACGCTGTCAATCAACGCGTCAGCATCACTGTTGCACCCGAAACGGCAAGGCGGATGCGCAGAATGCATGGAAGTCAGCTGTGTAGGCGCGCGCGGACCGTGGGGGCCGACGCCACAAGAACTTTGTCGGATGTTGTGCGAAGCGCATGACGTCCAACCAGCATGGCCGTTTTGCTGCCGCAAGCGCGCAGCGATACGACGCGCAGACGCGCCGCGCCTTTCCCCACACATTCCCCGCGTCCCCCAGAGATCAAAAGATGAAATTTGCTTACCAGTCGCACCGAACGTGTTGCCGCACGCAAACTCCCACATCCCGGCCAGCAGCTGAACAAGGCCGCCGTAGAAGATAGCCATGCCGACCACGGCATTGGGGACCTTGATGTTATTTGCGCCTACGTTGAAGAGGGAGAGGATGAGGGTGGTAGCCGCGAACGCGTAGAGGCCGAGCGGTCCAGGATTGGCAAGCTGGCGCCTGGGCGGGTACGCCTGCCGCGGCATGGGGTTAGCGTGGACCGTGCCCTTCTCGTTGTCGCCGTTCATAATTGGAATGATTGATCTGCTGTCGAGCTGCGAGTGTGGGGAATGGTCGCGAACGCGGGGCGGGCGAGTCGTTCGGCAGGCAGGCGGGGCAGCGAAGGGGCGAGCGCTCGAACCTTACGCCGCGTCTGCCGCGCCGGATTTCTTATACCCCTCGGCAGCCGCCGAAGTCACACGGCCCGATGCTAGCTTGCTCACCCTGACGGCACGCTGGGGTATCAGGTACGCATCCGATCTCTCAGCACGTCTTACAAGACAAACATCGGGTCGTCTGAGCGGAGAACGGAGTCGCTTTGTATCCGTACAGTTGCTCTTGGGCTTCCGTCTGCACGAGCTGTGCTCAGTATTTTCTTCGCTTTCTCCTCGAGCGCTGGGGCATTGTATGAATGGTTCATCCTCGGCGCCATCACGGCGGTCTTCTAGCCTGCCCATATAAACGCCATACCGCTCTATCAGTTGTTGTAAAGGGTACGGGGCGTAGCTGTGGCTCCTCTCGTATGTCTTCTGGTGCTACAAATCTGCTTTCAAACCAAAGGCCACCGGCCAGCGTCAGCAGCCTAGTCTCGTTTCCAGACGTTCCACACCTCGCCGATTGGACGATCAGCGAAGCAATTTCGCGCCGGAGAGAATCGGAGAAAATGCGGAGAAGACAGGAGCAGGCGAGGTGTGGAACGTCTGGGGCATTTCGTCGCCGAACCTACCATCGGCGAGGCCGTGACGGTGACGTAGCGCGCGCTGCGCGTGCACATGAGTAGGACGCGTCGACGCGTCGACGCGTTCGTTGACTACCGTTGTCGTGTTTTCGCTACTACCTTCATGTCGAATAATCCCCAACCTGTACCTCCACCTCGTAATAGCTCCAATGATACACTCTCTGACGAAGCACGAGCGCGCGCATCCGCACATAATGAAGAATACAGACGCTCTATGAAATTACTTGAGGAGGCGAGAGAGAAGGCGGCGCCGAGCTACAACTCTGCACACGCTCGCAGGGTCATGACCGAAGAGTGCCAGAGACGTTCCGGTGGAGAGATAACGCCGTTTCCCTGGCAGCTCGATATCGCGGAATGCCTGCTATTGGGTGTGGACACGGAGCTCATAGCAGCGACGGGGGCGGGAAAGACAATTCCCTTCGTATTACCCTTGTTCTTAGACCCGAAGAAGTGCATCGTGGTCCTCTCGCCATTGAATGCACTCGAAAAGGATCAGGTATGTACATACGACCTGTGAGAACTGCCGACGAAGCTCATGCAGGCACAGGAGAAGCGCTTCGCCGCATTCGGGATCAAGGCAAAGGCCGTGAATGGAGAGACGTGGAAGTCTAAACGCGTACGACGGGTACGTCCCCTTCTCTCAAGGCTCATAGAACAAAGTTACTGAACCGTGCCTCAGAACTTCAAGAACGGTCGATACCAGATCATTATCACTTCGCCCGAGATGTGCATCAAGCACCCCGAGTTTCGTACAATTCTCGAGAAACCGAAGAAGAAGCGCAAGATAGCTGCATTCATTATCGACGAGGCACATTGCATTGTGCAGTGGGGCGAGAACTTCAGAACTGCATACGCAGAGCTCGGCGCTCTGCGCGCATTCGTTCCGGCGCGAGTTCCCTTCCTGGTCACCTCGGCGACGTTAAACCCGCACGACCTTCACGACGTGCGCAAATCCGTGCATATGGTTCGACACGAGACGTTCCATCTCAACCTGGGAAACGACCGGCCCAACCTGTACTGGGAAGTTCGCCACATGAAAGCCGGCATTTCGGACACCGATGCGTTATCGTTCCTCGTACCAGAGGATAAGGGCCCGGATGCAAAGCTCGACCGTGGCATTGTCTTCTTTGACGATATTGGAGATGCTATGATGGCCATGCGTGCGTTCAGGGAGCAGCTGCCCGAGCACCTACGGAAACGCGTTCGCTGCTATCACGCACGTAACGGCCGCAAGACGAAGGGTCGCTTCATGCGGCAATTCAACAACGGCGAAATCGATATCCTCTTCGCAACTGAGGCGGCAGGGATGGTGACTCAGTTCATTCATATCTTTTGACGATCATGCTGACGTATTGTAGGGCTGCGACATGAAAGATGTTGACTTTGTCGTACAATTCATGGTACCGAAGTCACTCGCGATCTGGTTTCAGCGAGCTGGGAGAGCAGGGCGCGGCAGAGACAGTCGAGGGCGAGTCATCCTTCTTGTCCAACCTACTGTATTTCAAGAGAAGGGAAAGACAAAACGACAACCAGGCGATGAAATTAAGTACGTTAAGGAAATTGAGGACGGACTCAGAAGTTGGATCGAGGCAGATACGTGCCGACGAGATGTTGCCGATGTCTATTTCAATAATCCGGTACAGCGACAGGGTAGGTCTCGTCAGAAATGCTCATATGTACTAGTTAACTGATAAACTTACAGTGCCAGTCGCGGGATGCTGCGATGTCTGTGCGCGCCGTGCCGCAGATGCTGCCGCAAATACGGCGCCGATGGCGAGCACTGCGAGCAACGATCAGGACATGGCCCCAGCCGAGCCACTTCGCCCGTCAACCCCAGTGCGCGCCCGAAGTGATACCGTGACGACGCATACCACACCCAGCAAGCATCCCAACGAGAACGGCAAGCGGCCTATGCGCGAGCCAGACCCGGTACCGGATGAGCCAGCGCTTGGTCGTGCGAAGCATCGTGATCAGCAACTGGCAGACCGTCGCGAAGTGCTCGAACTATGGCGCAAACGGACCTGGAGGGAGAAATACGCCGAACGCGGCGCTCATTTCGGCATACAAGGGCTCATGCCTGATGTCGTCTTGACAGCTTTCGCCGCAAATGGCCGTTGGCACACGGTCGACGACGTCAAGCAATCGGACGATAAGTCGAAAGCCCGTAGCTGGTGGGCACTGGATTATCACGGGGCCGAGATTTTTGAGGAGCTTGAGGCGGTCGATTCGCGTTATCGGCAGGCTAAGAGGAGGAAGGAGGAGGAAAAGTTGGCTCGTGAACGTGCAGAAGCAATAAGGCTCGCGGAAGAGCGTGCAGAGAAAGAGCGAAAGGAACAGGAAAAGCAGCGTCAGAAGGAGGAGAAAGCAGCGCGCGAGGCGAGAGAAAGGGCGGCAAAAAAGGCGCAGAAGGAGGCAGAAAGATTGGCCCGTGCGCGAAAGAACGCGGGCTTCGAGGCGGCGAAGATGGCGAGGGCAAGAAACAGAGAGGCAAAACGTGCCGAGGAAGCTGCTAAGCGTGCGGAGAGAGCGCTTTCCAAACAGCGCTTGGCCCAAGAGAAGGAGGAGGCTGAACGTCGGGCGCAGATGGCGGCCGCGAGAGAGCTGCGGGGTAATGCCCCTATTCCTTTGGTGCGTCTCTTATACGGCCTTGCGCGCTTCGCACAACTTGTCTCTTACTTCGATCTATAGCTTCCACGACCTGCTCAGCCAATTGCAGGCCCTGCTCTCCTGCCAGACGTCCTCGGCAGTGGTGGGCTCAGTTACGCGCCGCAAGCTGTCTCGTCACCTCTATCTGGCCCTCCTCGACCGGCCGGCTCTCTCGCTGCTCGCCCCGTCGTTCAACCCCGCCCCGTCATCCGTCCCCGCCAGCCTACGCAGCACGCGCCACTAACTCCGACCTTCAACACGATCCCCGCGGCTGGTTCTCTCGCTGCTCGCCCAATCGTCGCACCTCGGCCGGTTACTCGATCCCGCCAACCTGCGCAACCCGGTTCATTGCCCGCAGTAAATGCTGGGAGGTCGCCCTCAACACCATTGACCGTCGCAACGGCACCGTGGACTCCAGCGACCAGCCAGCATTCACTGTGGTCCTATCCAACCCCCGCACCGACTATTTCGAACAGCCCCGCACCTACAACGCACATTCCTACCGCACTCTCTGCGGTGCATCCCCTCGCCAATCCCTCTTTCATCTCAGATGCTACCTACTCGACCCCTCCATATACACCTCAGAACTTTCAGACACCCTTGGCCGTTGGTTACCAAATACGCCCTCTCTCGGATCTTTACATGCAATGTCCCCCGTCTCCCTCGCCCGCGCCGCGCGTTACCGTACCAATTCATAATCCTTCATCCCCAAACCCCTTCTTAGACCGTGGACCATTCTCTTAGAGTACGATATTACATCCATATTATACACCTCATACAGTAATCTAGGCTACTCGTTATGCCTTAGCTCTTCGTCCGCGATGGCTGATGCGACCTCTCCGCCGCCTCTGCGCCTTGACTGTGCCTGGGTCTGATTCCGTCTCTTCGCTAGAGCTCGAGCTCGAGGAGCTGCTCGGCGTCTCATCCTCTGTTGATCCTCCTTCGCTGTCGCTTGGGAAGATTTGCTCAGACTCGCGCTCGAAGGTACGATTATCAAACCACCGGTCGAATTGACCTCCTATCGTGAGGTTTGTGATTCCGGCGGTCATCACGTCCGCCGCCTTGTCCTTCGAGCGCGAAATGGTACGCCCAGGCGTATACTTAAACCACTCTCCCTCAACTGCAAGATCCCGGAACTCCGCGACATCATCGTCCTTATTCGGGTCGGTGTGCTTGGATCCGCGCGATAAGATAAGCTTATGCTGCCACTTCATATGATCGCGGACCGCTCTGAAGACTGGTATAGCAGGGGATAAGTTACCGATCTGCTCTATGGTTGCTGATGGACCACAAGAACGGTACGTGACCTACAGATCGCCTCCATTAAGTCTATCCGAGCTTACGAGCATGTAGATATTCACCTTGATGTCGCCGATGTTCTGCTCCTGTCCTTGATCAATTGGCAGGTGCGTATCGCGCTTCCCTTCACGATTCATCACCCAGCAGTACCTTCGTATGAAATCCCTAAAGGGTATTAATAATGTGCATATACAGGTATGAAGGAATACACACGTACTTCATGTCTGATGTCCACTCCCTCTCCAAACCTTGCAGAAGTTCAAGAACGAGGATGGTGTACTTTGGGTTATCGCCACCCGCGAAGCGTTGAAGGAGGATCGGAAGAAGGTCTTCCATGCGCCCAACGTCCCCATGCTTGATTGCGTCACGTAGTTCGATGTACGGTAGCACATCGAAGATGAACATGAGTGAACGAGCGCGAACCTCGTCGCGCGCGTCAATCGGGCCGGATAGCATATCCTCCCATCCACGCCGGCAGACATGCTTGTCGTAGATCTCTTCCGCCATGAGCTGGAGCTCCTCGGGAGACTTTTGTCGCAGTGCAGAGAGATCGCTTGGGTCTGGCAGTCCTGATACTTCGCCCCACAGTGCGAGGATCATGCTTTCGGCGACGTGATGGAGTGCCTCATCGAGATGGTGCCAGAATGGCCCCTTTGTCTGCACCTTGTGCAGGCCTTTGCGCTTCATGAGCTGAAAAGCGCGACGGAGGCCGTATCCGGCGTCGGTCCCCTCGTACTGAATGAAAAGCGAGTTCCCGAAGGCCATCTCAAGGTGCAGCCAGCCGAAGACCGGCACAAGCCAGTCGTAGCGCTCGTAGCCGTTGATATTCTCGTGGCAGATGCGGGATATGCCCATGAGTCGCTCGTACGTGAGCTGATCGCCAGCGATGAAGACCAGCAGCTCCTCGGCAAGTTTACGGAGGTCTACGGATGAATCGAATCCGAGTTGTTTGAGGAACGCGACCAGGATCTTGATATTGCCTTCGTAGCTAGCCTCCTCAATGTCCACAGTCTTGAGCATGAATTGCTCGACGACATTCCTCAGATCGGCTGGAAGCTCGTTGACAGGTGGCGGCTGAGCGAGGATCGGATCGGCGCGTTTCTCGTCCGGATATGATGCGAACTCGGCACTCTTGAGGAGGAAGTTCAAGATATGCCACACGTAGCGAGCTCGGAGCCGTTTGTCGCGTGATTGGTGTTCAGGCGCGAGCCCGGCAAGATAGGCATGGAGATCGAAGGGCTCCTTCGCCCCTTCACGGCGTTTCGCCTGGTGCTCCTTGCTCATGGTGTCCGGGACTTTGACGTGCTCAGGAAATACGAAGACCGTTCCAGCGCACGCACTATAGAAAAGTGGCTGATTTGCGATGCGCATGGAGAAAACCCTTTTCGCAATCTGGCAATTGTCGTAGGCCATGAGCCAGACTCGGCGGCGAATGAGCTCCTGCATTCTTTCGAGCTGCTTCTCAGATATCTTCTTATATGCGTCGTTTGTGTATTTTATACTCATAACGAAGCCGGCGGCATGGAGGGCGTCGTACGCGCGCGAACTCAGACCACAAGACTTCAAGTATATAGCCCATAACGTGGCGAGACGGTTGCGCTTATGCGATCGTGTGTACGAAAGCATGCTAAAGATGTTCATGATGACCTTTAACCATGTGAGTGCCGATGATCTATGCGATGTTCTGTATGATATACGTACATTGTGGGGGGTCTTGTGCGTATTCTGTTCGGCCTGCCTTCGACTCCATCCAGCAGCTGTTAACACCGACCACATAAAGGGTGCACCAACTTGCAAATCGCGTGTGAGGGCCGGAAAGTGCAAGTCGGTGAGCGTGTCGAGTGCGAGGGGATCCTTTCCCGGCGGGTTCTCGAAATGCGTCGCGATATGATCCATCTCGCGGCGCACGACATCCTGGGCGAACTCGAGGGCGAAGTTGGCCATGTGGCCCGAAGAAGAGTGCGCCCTCCCGCCTGGTGGACTAGAGAAGCGACGCAGAAGGACGGGAAATTCGGGGCTGTCGGTGAGCCCAGTACGCCAGTAACGACACTTTTCGTCGGAGGTGCACTCGGGATCACCCCAGAATAGAGCATCCATGAACATCCCGAGATCTGGAAAGCCTTTCTTGCGAATGAACTTCAAGATATCGCGCACGCGCTTGGCTGTATTGGGAGGGAAAGTACGGGAGCCACGCTGTGCTTGGTGAAGCGTGGGATTCGCGCGACGTCGCTGCTCAGCAGCCTCCTCAGCGGTTTCATGGTCCGAGTCGAGGTCCTCAACAGGTACGTAGTCAGAGTCGTAGGCCGAATCGTAGGCCGAGTCGAAGAGCGGATCGTGAGTATCGTCCTCGTCCTCGACTGTGGGTGACATGACGGTGGAGATCAAGATTGCGCGCGACGATAATCGTGCCGCCCGTTCAACTCCTCGCATCTCGGCGCGTCCCAACACTATTCCGACTCGCCACTACTCCAGCGATGGGTGGATTCACAGTCAGCTCCTTTGGGCTTTGGATATTCCCCACTCATACCGTATTATAAGCCTTCCACTCTATACATGTACTTGCTTGCCCGATCGTTCTTATCCTATCATCTTATTCTATACTATAGAATACATGTATCACTAGATTCACTAGCATTCTAAGAACCCTCGATAGATGTAGATGAGAGCAGGCACGTATACTGGTATACAGGTACCCGCCCTGCTCGTGAGCCTGAACGCGACGCGGTTGTCACACCGGGCACGGACCGACGCCTCCGGTGTCACCGATGGTAGGTTCGCCGACGAACTGCCCCAGACGTTTAAGAGCAGGCTCTGCAGGCACGCTTTCGTCACCTTTTGATCTGAGAGAGATCACTCAGGGGATGGCGATTCAGCCAATCGCCAGCCGCCGCGCCACGCGCCATCTCGGACCTTTCCGCGCCCCGAGCCGCTGCCTGCAGGGCCTGCTCTTAAACGTCTGGAAACGAGACTATCAGCAGCCTCGACATACGTCTCGGGCCTTGCGGAGGATGAGTGGCCTAAAAGTTCAACGTCGAACGACACAGCACTCGATCGGGGCGCGCCACTAGCGCCCTTGGCGCAATTTACCCCGGATTGTGTTTGCGGGGAGACAAGGTTGCGCGCTCGTATCGCTGCTGTTCGGTTTCAACCTTCCGGTCGCCCTCATACTTTCTCTCTCTTTCGTTCTCTCGCTCTCAGCTCGAACTGCACAGTACATATACCAGAAGCGATGGGCTGGGAGACCTCCGAGTCCGAGCTCGGGTCCTCATCCACACGCCGCCGTCCGACAACGAGCGGCGGCTTGAAACACGCTCGTCTCTATTAGCTGGTCAGGCGCCCGCTGCGTAGGCCGCGGAACGCGGTCAGCTGTCTTGCTCTGCCTGTGATCTGGGCCGCCCGCGGCTTGACGCGTCCGCTGCGTGTACGTGTACAGGAGAGAGTAAGATGTCGCCACAAGCACCGAAGTAGTCTGTATGGCTGACCACACATAGTACAGCCTGGAGGCGAGTTGGGGTGCGGAGGTTAGTAGGCGCGCGAGAGGATGAAACGACTATGCGAGGTATGTATGCCACGGTAGCATCGTGCTACGAACAGACGCTGAGAGCTTTACGTTTCCCCAGTAGACTGTGCATCGCACGGCGATCATCCGAGCAGCGAAAGGATTGGGCGTCTGAACTTGCTGCATGATTCAGACGAACAGCCGTCAACTCACTGCCGCTCTGCCTCCGATGTGCTCCTTCGCCTCCCGCGGACGCCCACATCCACAATCTTGGGGTTCTCTATACCAGATGGAGACTGGGGGTTGAATTCACATGTACCAGATGGAGGGCCGTCGTGGTCCGCGAACGAGCCTTCTCCTGCTGCCTTGGCGGTGAGCTAGACGTTGTACCAACCAAGTTGGGACGAACATGCTGCAGACTTTTACAGCTCTAGAGCCGTCGCTACAGCCCTCCGCTTCGCAGCAGGGCTCCTATGGCCTACGCACGCCGTCACCCTACACGCACAACCGAGGCCGACGAGCTACTGATAGCACACTAGCATGTTGACATGTGCAAATCTTGTCTAGGCTACTCGCTACTTATTTCGAGACTTGACACAACGCAGTTGCCTGCTTTGTACGTGACCGAGTTACTTAGTGTTTTGACGTCGACGCCACCATCTATCGACCATAGACGCCTTCATTTTGGACCCGCATCGCGCGTCGTACATGCAAGTTTGGGAGTCTGGATCGTCCAAAGCGCTCAAGCGCTACTGAAGTCGGAAGGGCGCCTGCCTTTTGACCTCCTACAGAGACCAGTCTGACAGGTTATCCTTGACTGCACGTCTCTTTTGCATATCCGCCGTGCGTACATTCACATGTACGCAGTCACAGATAGCCGCCACGGTTCGCAAGCCCACCTCTTCCGCATCCCCAGAACTTCGTGCTGACTGTGCAAGTCGAATGTGCGCACGCGAAGATCGCACGAAGGCGTCGAGGAATGCAGGGTCAGCTCTACCAATGTCTAGACCGCCTCTTGCACCTCTAGAACCCATCTCGCATCGCGAACAGCGTTGCATATGCAGCCAAACTTAGCTCTATACAAAGACTCCGATATCCGAACTCTTGAGCATCCATAGAATCGGAGAGTAAGAGGTCACGCAGGATGAAGTTTGAGCACAAGAACCCAAAATGGTATACAGCTTCTACAACAGCGTTCTAGAAAATACAGGTATATGATGTTCTATCTCTACAACGAGACGATGCGCGGCAGTGCAAAGCGTCTAGTAAGCGCCACCCGCGAGCTTGCCGGCAATAGCAGCGTCGACCTCCTTGGGCACCCAGGCGTAGAAGTCGTCGGTCGAGTACTTGGGCGTCCAGCCGAGCGAGCGGGCGCGGGGGCCGGCGGTGACGGCGTTGGTGCCGAGAATGAAGAGGAAGCCGATGGCCTCGAACTCCTTCTGCTCGAACTTGGTCGGCTCGGGCGAGGCGGACTTGCCGGCGGCGTGGAGCGCCTTGGTGTACGTCTCGGCGAACTTCTTGTACTGGTACTCGCCGTTCTCGATGATGTAGTGGCCGTCGGTCGCGCCGGAGGGGGCGGAGCCGTCGACGGCCTTGGAGAGGAGGGTGACGTAGAAGGAGGCGACTGTGGTACAAGATAAGCTGAGTTCGAGAAAGAGAGCAGGAGATGTACGCACCATCAGCGATGTGGGCGTGGTTCCAGACGTTGAGACCCTCGCCGACAACACCACCCTGGCCACGGCCGATGGAGGTCTTGATGCTCAAGGGCAACTGGATGGAGCCGACGTGTGCGAGGCCGCTCTCGAAGAAGGGACCCTCGGGTGCGCCCCAGACGGTCGGAGGGTAGACGGTGAAGGTCTTGACGTAGCCCTCCTTGCCGGCCTCGACGACGGCGGTGGCGGGTGCGTTGTGCGGGAGACCGTTGTACTTCGAGGCGAGGTCGGCGTCGGTGTCCTTGACGACCGTGCCGTTGAAGGGGCCACCGGCGCTGTCAAGGACAGCCCAGATACCAGTGCCGGAGGTGTGGATGTGGATGGGAGCCTTGCCGGTGGCCTCGAAGCGCTTCTTCGCGCCGGCGAGGAGAGCGGTGGTCGCGGGGAGGTTGAAGATGTCGGCCTGGTGGGCAGTGTGAGAACAAGATTCGGTGGCGCATCAATCAGGGAGATAAGACGCACGATCTGCAGAACGACGTCGAACTCGGACGCCTTCTGGGTGAGGAGCTCGGCGTCCTCGAGCGAGCCGACGACGGTCTTGACGCCGGAGAGCTCGGCGACCTTCTTCGCCTTCTCCTCGGAGCGGACGAGGGCGGTGATGTCGTACTTCGAGTCCTTGGAGATGATCTGGAGAACGGACGCGCCGATCAAACCTGGAAGATAAGAGTGCGATCAGCTATCTATAGCGAGATCGGTAGCGCAAAGTGTATTGGCGTACCGGTGGGACCAGTGATGAAGACGGAGGTGGACATCTTTGATGAGTGGATTGGATAGGGAAGGCTGTTAAGTGGATGTGTTGAACTGCCGGAGCTGGAGTTCGTCGAGTCGGCCGTTGGTCGTCTTTATACGACCTCGCTCGCCGCGCTGCGCAGTACAGCGTGCAGGTAAGCGCCGGTACGCCGCCGGGCTGCATAAGCACACAAAGAAAGCACGTCGCGCGGGTCAGCACTGCGGGGAACTGCGAACTAGGTAAGCATTTGTCAGCCACGCGTACCGACACCGAGGCGTGGAAGAAAGAAGATGTTTCTCACCGACCTGCACCAAGCCGTGCGCAAAAGTGCGTCCGTTCTTTGTGTCGGGCAGAAGAAACGTGCTGGTCATCTGAGACACTGCAACGGGAAATGAAGCTACCCGTGTTGTTGCATCGGCTTCGGTCATTCATGTCAATTGGTAAACAACGGTTCAACATTCAACGCCATACTGCCCAGTATTGACGGTACATCGACGGGACTTGGCCGATAGCACCATCGTCGCTGCAGTCCAACGCATCCAAAGCGAGCATGTCGTCAGCGTACGACAGAGTGGCCGTCCATGTGCTTGAGCGGTACTGTAAAATCTCGGCACCAGCAACGTGGCGTACAGGAAGGGTCGTTTTCGTCGAAGTTGGTCAGGATCGTGCTTACGATACTAGGCAACGAATGTCAGCCTTTACGGGACCAGAGATTGTTGGATGAACAAGACTTACTCGCTGAGAAATAGGCATAAGTGGCAAAGTAAGCGCTTATTGTGCGGTTACGCGTCTTGAATCCGTGGTCCGCGTATATTCCCGGGTTTGTCGGTAGCACTCGCAACGTGGAGCTGACGCGGCATCGAGGGGAAAGTCTCAAGCACATCATTATTCATGTTTGTACGTAGGTACAACATGGCCGAAAGCAGTGGAACGGAGTGCAGAAAGTTGAGAATGCAGGTGTATAGTATGGGGGACAAAGTGTTGCAAGTAGTGGGAGCTGAGTGAATAAGGTCAAGCTATCTCATCCGGATAGCATAACCCTGGCAGGACGTCGCAGCAATGAGGCGGCCTTCCAAATCGGTTCTAATAATGGCAAGGATGGAGCCAAGTATGGCGGTGTAGCAGTAGAGTAGCGCCTATTCCGCGCCTGTCTTGCGATCATCGGGTGTGCATACTGTCAAGAGTACTGGGTAGATTCAGTGAGTGAACCGGACGAGACGACGAGGAGCGCACCCTGATTATCCACCCAGTTCGATTATCATCTTTCTCAATCTATCTTATCCGACTCTTGAACATCACGGTCAGCAATTGGCCATAGGTACATGAGGTAAGGTGACAGGAGGAATGGGCTGGCGGTCGTGGTCAAGAGCAAGTTGGCGTGTGACTTCGACGGGCGTTGCGCGCTTAAGAGCGCGGTTTGTCTTGCATTCAAACTCCCACCAGCACGCGCCTGCACCTACCACCATATGAATATCTCTTCCTCCTTATGCCACATGAAGGACTGTAGCTTGCTACTTTGGCTGTTCATGCAAGGGATACGGGGTTCACTCATCAACTGAGTCTTTACTGTGTTGCGCTTCGTCGAACCACCTGCTGCCCGCACCCCTGGTCTTCTACTCTCACGCGACCTTCCTTTTGCCTCCAACAGATTGCTCCAGTGCCGAGCGCGAGGGGCGCCGGAAAATTCAGACCCTCGCTAGGGCTGGACTCGAATTCAGACACTAGACCGAAGGAGCTGTCGCGCGGCGCACATCCATCGATGGAGGTACACTGCGTATGAATCCTATCTCACTATCTCCAGTCTTAGACGCCGAATCTAAGATGTCCTACTTCCGTTCTAACGAGTTCCGTTCGCGTGGCAACTTTTGGGTGTGTTTGAGCTAGATCTTGCGAGGGACTATCTCATACCGCAGGCGCTCAACTGTATACGGCCTTGAAATGACGCCCGATCCTGAGGGGATGCGCGCACAACTCTGAGGCCGAAAGGTGACGACAGGACCTCGGCGTGCCTGTAAACTTACAACTGCGTGGCTGCACGGCTTGCTTTCGCGCTGCACTGCAGGTATCAGCGGACTTCACTCTCCTGCTTCTATTATGTATGGCTGATGATCTGTCCACAGCTATTCTGTCTATGTATATGTGCACGCTTATCTGCACTTCGCCGTCTTCGCCGCCGACTACTCGTTATTGCAACGTTCAAGATGACGAGCGGATCGCTTATTCCGTCCAGCATCATGCGCAAGGCGTGCGTGTAAACGGGCGCTCGCTTTCGGCCCGCGAAGCCTATTACACGACACGTGAATTGCGCAGGACAATCTACGTGGTCGGTCATGAACGTCTTCCCCGGCCCAGCAAATGCTTCGTCGACCCAGTTAGTCTTCCGTGGCACCACGATCGTCGCGGTCCCTGTCCGGGACCTCTCGCAACTGCCTCAAGCTCTGGTTCATGGCGTTCCATGAGGAACAGGTCGTGAGAGATCGGGGGAATCACAGACCAACGACGTAGTTTAGCGTCTTTGGGTTCTAGAAGCGCAAGCTCTTAATAGGGTTACCGGTGTTCATGTAACACTAGTATACAGGGGTGAGAGTCCTAGTTTATGGTGCACAAATGTGGAAATCTGATGCTTGTGTCTATTCGCAAGGTGTGCGCTGGTCGGGATTGTGTCGGGTAGACAAGGCGGAGGTTCGCATCGCCGGTGCCTTCACGGGACGTCCGCGCCGCGTGGGCCGTACGGACTTGCCTCTGATGCGTTTGAGATCGATTATCTGCTGATCTATAGCTGCATCTCGGGTGGTGCCGCTACGGACACTCTCCCTGTTAGGATGCGCATTTTTGCCAGCTGGCAAGTACACTGCCGTCATCCTGATCTACACTCTGGAATTGAAAGCGCAGCCTTTGGGTCCCCTCTTCTCACGTTTGCACAGTTTGCTTGCGCTCATCGCCGTCGGTGTACCTTCTGACCAAAATGCATGCGCCCGCTCAGGTCCACTTTCATAAACAGAGTTCTTCGGTGCCGCGTGTCAACGTTGTACTGGACTTCGATTCTGAGCTTGGCGGATAAATGACTTGGGCAGCTGTCGTTGCTTTCCGAGTATACCGGAGTGAGTTAAGGCTGCGTCGGCCCGAGTCGGACCAAACTCACCTATCTCTTCGAAAACAGGTACAGGCCCCATATGCGGACCACTGTCGGTGTCCGTCAGCGTCATCAAGCGGAAGGAAGCATGCAGGATGGAATGAGGCGAAATGAGATAATTGGACAGCACCTATCCAGCGTGAACTATCGTGTTCATGTGCAGGTACCGAAATGAAACTGACTCAATCCGTTTGGATTGACGTATCCGGCCACCCGTTCGTTGGACGTACTTAGCGTGTGACAAGCTGGGTTCCTGCATGATCTCAGCAGGCCCGGTGATAGACGCCCTTCTTTGGGTTCCCTCTCGAAGGAAAAGGTTCACGTACACTTCTTTCTGGCGTAGATGACCGTTCGGATCTGGGATCCATGTTGAACGCTCAGGTCTGGGTACTTGAACGGCCGTCTCTTGACCGCGTGCGCCCTAAATCCCCACTCAGAGTGTTACCGCCATGTCGCGTCCCGTGCCGCACCAAGACTCTGACATGGTACGTCGGTCACGACTGACGCGCTGCCGATATATGCTTATCGCTCACTTTGTTAGACATCTCAAAGCGCGACTTCGTCACGACAATCCTCTCCAATGCAAATCCCGCCTGTTCGCAGTCCACAGCTGTCGCAATCTGCAGGCCCTTCTGCCACCCGGTTACCTAGTCTGACGCAATTGATTCCTTGGAGCGACGAAGGTAATCCACCCTTCGGCATCCGTCGTCCATTTGCGAGGGTTTGACTACATGCCGTACAACTGTAGATCCCGTACCATCGTTTCTGCCTGCTGCATCAATCGACCACACGTTTCCGACACAAGGATCTCGGCCAGATCAAACTTTTCAACGTTATCCGCCGGGCCCCGCCGCCCGTCTGCCACCCGTTGCACCAGTGCGCTCAGATCTTGCAACGCCGCCACCGGTATGTTTCGAAACAACTGAGTCCTACTTGCAAGTAGGAAGCGTCGCTTGGCGCAGCTAACAGCGACATCTTATCGTTAGGTACCGCCACTTCCACTTCCCGGCAAACTGCAGGTACCGGGCTCCCGTCGAGGTCCAGTGATCCCGCAGCGGAGGTATCAGCCTCTCACAGCCAGCGACCGGCGACGCTACGTTGAAGAGGTAGATTTGCAGACATCTATACTGTTCAATTCGTTAGACAGCGAAGGTTTCCCGCTCAAAGACGCTTTGAATCATCGCTATGGAGCATTAGAGGCCCGCGAAGAGCCAATGTTCGTGCAGCATGGGCCTTCGATCTCCTTGCGGTTGAACGTAGGTCACCTGCGCCATTACGCCATGCACGAGAGGCTGATAATCCCTGACATGTGGTCAGTGGCCTGGCTACCAGCCGTGGACGCGTCAGATACCCACGCGTGATTTTCGCAATCCTCCGGGACCCATTACACGCGACAAACTCACGAAGAATGTTGCGAAGTCGGTGCAGCGATTCATCGAGGTAATGCCTTTGCGGTCGGTTCTCAGCTGCAGAATGCTGATCAAGTCCTGAACTATAGGAACAGAAGTCCCGAGAGATCGAGCCTGCAGAGGAACAGTGGCGCGTAGGCGAAGGGTTCATTGAGCTTGAGGATCTTCTTCTTCTGCGTTTGGACAACGTCTCCAAAGGTAGCTGGCAGATCCAGCTCCAACTGGCCATGCCCCTGGAGAGTAAACAGAGGCGTCTGGACGCCGCTTCACTTCCCGCCATGCGTTCAAGTCAGACAGGTCCTTCGTCTCCCCTTCGATGCTGATGTGTGTATATTAAACTCCATCTGACAGGTCCAGCGCCTCCACCTCGACAACTCAGCTGGAAGCACGTAGGTCCAAGTTCAAGCTCAAGTTCGATGCGGCTGGGAGGTCCGCCTCCATGATCTGCTTGTCACGTCAAGACTGTCTTCTGTACCAAGTTATGAGTATATACCGGAGGAACGTTTGCATTACTTTTCAGGTCTTCTACTGTGAACGCGTTTCTATCATCGTCTCCAGTTCTCTAGCTTGCCTGGAAGGGCGATGTACTACGCGCCGCGCACTCTAGGCTTAGACTGGGTTCTATCCTGACATCAAGTCATCGATATCTTTGCTCTGCCTGGGGCTATGGTACCGGCAAGCATCGCTACTTGTCACATGTGACGAGCAATCTGGGTCTTAGCCTTGTGTTTCCGGAATACTGGCGGGAGGCCGTTTTGCCGCGCAGAGAATCGCTGCAGATCGATCACCGGTCCACGATCCACATGGAGATCGTCCGGGAGAGGCCGAACGACTGTCTTCCTCTTACCTTCTTCTGATACCAATACACCGACTAGTCACCTCAACAGTGCTGGTCAGATCGGTAACGTAGGCAGATGAGTCTGAGCCCAAATCACCAGTGTCGAGCTGTAAGTTGCGCGGCGTGATTTATCGTACGCTTGGTTACAACGCTTGAGCTGTTGGCGGAGTAAGGCCCAGTTACCTGGCCGTAAAGACCTGCCACGAGCTCAGACGCCACACCGTACGTGCGTTTGACTCTGCGTGGAGATCGTATGGACCGATATTCACCGACACTTGACGATGGCTTTACCCGGCTGTCCAACAAATCGTTGGGGGTAAAAGGTTTTATCGGAGATCTTGTCGTAAGCGAATAGGACGCGCAGCTTTGGTATAGATCCATCGGATAGCTACAGTCAAGGTCTCTAGTCGTGCAATCCGAGATCGATCTATACACGAGATGTGGGTAAGCACTCCGTGCCCTCCACGCGCTGTTCATTTGGCAAGCAGCGCCAGTCGATTCATGATTCATCTCCTAGGTTATACTGCGAACGCAACTATGGGTCAGCATATCTCTGAAGATCTCGACGTACTGCACCGGGAGCTGTAGTGTCTTTCTCGTCAGATATGGCTGTCCATTGACGTTGAGTAATAGGTGCAAGGATAAGGTGGTGCGCTCACGGGGCGCATGGCGAAAACTGAAGGGAAGACGTCCCGCGGCCGGATCTCAACGCATGGCCTGCAACGGCAGAAGCACTTAGGCTCACCAACATTCGCACCATCCAAATGCTCAGGGAGAGGACGGTCAGCAAAACAGGTCGCAGGCGCTACTCGGAGAACCTGGAATATGCAACCCTAATGGACGATGAAGAACTTCGAGATAATCAAGATCCTTAGGCGCAGAAGGGACACAGACAGCATATCCTGTCAATCAAGACGTCTTCATCATGATAATGCGCGCTTCCGCGGTCGCTGACACGAGATTTACAGAGCGCAGGGACGAGCCTTGTCATGGACATTACTAGGAGAACGCGGGCCGGCCGCGCCAGCTCGGATGCAATGGTATATCTCGACCAAGGAGGTATAAGCGAGACTGGTCACAGGGCAGACGTGTGCGGCAGAACCCACGGCGCATTTCGATGACAAAGAGGGACATCATTGTGTTGAGTGTGGCTGAAAGACAACGTTCATCATGGTAATGGAGTCTGTCAAATTGAAACCTTTCTCAAGTACGTCTATCAGGTCCTGATCCTCATAGTCAACACTCGCCTCTCGGTCCTGAACGAAACGTGTTAGTTATACTCTCGGGACAGATGACGGAAATTAGAGCGCACCTGTGTTGAATCCCACCCTCCGATGAACACCCCTTCCCCACCACGCTCCTCCGTCAGAGTCCAGGAGAAGCCGTGCAACCCCTTCGTCTTTCTGACCATCATTGCATCCGATACAATCTGGCATTGTGCGTCGGACTCGGCGGTAGTGTAGGGAGGCTTGAGACTATAGTGCGTCACTTCCACGACTGGTGCGAGCAAGAGTGCCCGCATGTTCGGGCGGGTATGTAGACCGTAGAAGACGATTAGGTCGGATGCCATCTTGAGTATACGATCTCGGAAGGACGGCCGAGCGCTATGCTCGATGTATTGCAAGAGCGTCGCGTCGGATTTGAAGAACACGATCCAGTAAAACCGATTCGGGCGCTCTACCCCTCGTCCCCAAAAATGGCCATTCGGTACGATGAGGTCTGCCCTGTATAAGTGTCGGCTTCGTATGAGAGGCATCCCATTGGTTGTACAACGCACCATGATTCTTCGAACTGGTTTCGCATGTCTTCAAACCGACTCAGCAGGTCCTCCTCGCCGTTGAAGATGATGAGCGCAACAGTCTCGCTAAGAGGAGAGCTCATGGTGGATAAGAGTAGGACAGGGGGCTTGCCGTCGAGCACTATACGAATGATGATGACTGGACGTAAAGGTTCCGTAGAACCACTAGAACGTCTACCGCAGCGCACGTTATGTACTCATCACGCTCGCGGTAGATGAGATAGTCCTGGTCCTGGTGAAGGCTACGTGCTCAGAGTGCGCGCTTGATTCGTACCTACGAGGAGTCCTACGTACCACTGGGCAACCTGTCACCGTCCTGTGCGAATGTTGAGTTCGCGTGATGAGTGCTGACTATGCAAGGTTTCGCGACGCTCGCAACTTGATGAAGTTCACGCAGAGAGCGTAAGCAAGGGATGAGCTCGCCCAAAGAGTGCTATATCAAAGCATCGCTGCAGGCAGTATATCAGTCGATGAGTGTTGGGAGAGAAGAGGCAATGCACTCGGATTCGCCACTCCGGACTGGCTCTCGGGCCGCGAGCCGAAAGCGCGCGGCGGTGGAAGCTCGGGGACCAACACGAGTCTACCCGCAACCGCCACCTCGCCTCCGCCGCGCGGAGGTTGGATTCCGCTTTCTGGCCGACGAGTACTTCAGTGTTGAGCGCTCAGCGCTCGGTCCGCATGCTAGTGCCTTTCATGGTCATGTATAAGATCGCTTCATCTTCATCATCAGAGGATTGAAGTTTCAGCCGAGACCTCACAATGTGCTCTCTATCGATTACTGCCTGTGTTCGTGGCGAGATCAGCTCGCAGTGTTTAGTACGAAATAATATTCAAGCGGTAGACTCTGTCCGAACATACGGTGAAAGAACTGGCGCTTTCCCTGCAGGCTGCCGGTGAGTTCTTGGCATCTGCTGCTGCTCAACGATCACCGACTGTTGTTCCTTTCGGGTCTGACATGTCTCTGCGACCGCGGGCATAGACGCCCGGTCATGATAGATAACCACCTAAAATGCGCTAGTACGGCCACTGACGGCCAAACAGCGCCGGCTTTGCGTGGCCGTATGCCTGCATACATTTAAACAGACCATTGCGTGCTCGGGACCCTGCTTCCGTGCTCCCTTTCACTGCTCAGCCTCTCATCCCCAGGAGGCTTCTTTTCCTCGCCGCTATGAGGTCCTCCTCGATATCTTACGCGTTCGCCCTCGCGTTACTGGGCGTCCCCTCTCTTGCTCTTGAGAATTACGTGAACGAATTCATTGACCCATCCTACATCCTTTCTGGCGACTTCGCAAATGCCACAACTTTCGCCCAACAGAGTATCGTGGAGTGGGCGGACGCTCTCGCCGCGCAGGGCCCGTGGTGTGCGTTGATCCTATCCAGTTCTGATTGCCCAGCCTGACGTCCCGCTAGCTGTGATTACTTCCAAACCCGATGGGTTCAACGCCCCGTCAAACGACAGTCACGACTATGTATCGTGGGCTCCTTAGTACGTCTTTTGGTTTCAGGCTCAAACAAGCCGCTCAATCGGAGCATAGTTGGTGGCCGGACTGCAGCAAAGCGGGAAACAAGACGGAGCTTACCCCGCAACAAAGTGCGTGTCCTTGACAGTTCGCCGCCTCTCTTTCTCACCCGTGACAAAGCCTGGGTAACCTGCCCCTACGTGAACCGAGATGGACAATTTGTGCGTATATACGCACCATGGGTTGCGCTCGCGATTATACTGAAACCTTTGCTTACTCCGAAGAACCCGGATCGCCTTGAAATTAACAATACTGGCGCTTTCTCTGCTCTTTCGGACGCAGTTTTGTACAACACCCTTGCATGGCGGATCAATGGATCCTCTACGTATTCCTCAAACGTCGCCAGCTGGATCAAGACGTGGTTCCTGGATCCCGCTACCGCCATGAACCCCAACCTCAACTTCGCACAAGTCATCCGCGGACCGGGTGCTTACTATGGCGCTCATACCGGTGTCCTGTGAGTACCACGACAGCCCATCACACCATCTATCACCTAAACTTATTGCCAAATAGCGATCTGAAGTGCATGGCTAAGGTTGCGACGGGCATCCTGACTCTGCGTCAAGGGAAGAGCCCTGATTGGACCGATGAGCTGGACGCGCAGATGAAGAACTGGACTCAAACGTACATTCAGTGGATGGAAACGAGTCCCATAGCTCTCGGAGAGGGTTGGTCACTCAAGTGCGTACTTAGGAAGCTCACTATTGCTTGTCATGTGACGCCGAATCAGCAACCACGGCTCCTTCTACTTCAACCAACTCGCATCGCTCTATCTCATCCTCGACGAGCCTGAGCGCGCTAAGAACGTCTCGCAGTCGTTCTTCGAGGGTATCTACCAGAATCAGATCATCGCGTCTGGGGATCAGGTCAGCAAAGTCCTCGATGCTTCCGGGTGTTTTGCCTGATCGTGTCGATGCAGCCATTGGAGGCGGAAAGAACCCATCCATACCATTACCGGGGTTACAATCTGTATGTCACGATCTCTTCGGTTCACGAGTGACTTCGCTGACCCGTGACCTAGGGCTGCTATCATTGTCAGTGTACCCGCTATGTGTCGCGGTCTATTGGCTAACTCGCACCTAGACAAACGCCAGGCTCTTGCATTACGCCGGCGGAGCCGATGCTTACAATATCACCGCCAAGTCCGGCGCGGGCATCAAGCAAGCTCTTGACTTCGCCATTGCCCAAAACGCCGGCGAAGAGCCTCTTGGCGAGATTCATCCGTATGTGGCGTTTGTCGCTTCGACGTACGGGGACCCGGACGGTCGCTATGCCAAGTTCTTGGAGAGCCAGAACGCGCAGTATCCCGAGGAGCCGTACTTCTTCGTGCGTACACGCCTTTCTCGGTTGATGCGCATCTTATGCTGAAGCGGCCATACAGTGGAACCAGCCTCTCGGCGACTCTGGCTTTTCTCAGACGCACGCTATCCCTACTCCTTCTCAATCGGCGAACTCTTCATCAGCTTCTAAGACTCCAGCTTCCTTCCACAGCGGCACGGCGATCAACCAGCAGCCGACGGTACTCGCTGTGCTCGCAAGTCTTCTTCTTGCAGCGCTCTTCTCATGATGCATCCTTCTACATACTGTACGTTGGGCTCTAGGCCGTGCACCTCCCATTTATTCTGTACTTTTCTCTGGGTCGCGCGGACTTGTTGAACTCTTCTTAGCGGACTATTGCATTGCTTAGACAGCTACTACTATACCCTGTCACTATACCGATACTGTGTCGTAGACTACTCACTAAAGATTGCGAAGGGTAGCCTGTATTGAGTCTCGAATAGTGACAGCCGCCCGCGACGCGGCTTGACGCGGCCGCTATCGGCGAGCCGGTCGTTTCTTGACGTCAAATGGCGCTTCGGGCCGGAAGCCGGTCATTATCTACGTCCACGAGTTCCTTCCCGCCACAACGTTCTACCCATGGGCATTCTCCCGCTACTGGCAGCGAACTATATCTGGAGCGTACCCTAGCTCAACGAGCATGTACACGGCGCCGTTTGCACGGGTGAACATCATACACAACCGCTCGTTGCCTCGCCAGGCCCGCGACGATCTACCAAACTGTGCGCATGCCGTTCTCGGACCCTGCTTTACGCTTTTCTTCCGTGGACCGTCGGCCGAGCTGATCGAGGCCTTCGCCTCGCACGGAACCCCATGATAGCCAAGAAGGATATATACGACAGGCACTTCCGGGGCTGGCTATCCTCTCCCTCTCCCCCATCCTCCCCGGTCTGGCGCGTCTGCATGAGTTGTATTTGTAGTTAATAACGACCCTTTACGCCGTCATGCTCTCCGCTGGAGCTCTCATATGGATATCCATCCGCCCCCTCATCCGCACGTACGCCGTCTGAGCGTGAAAAGCCGACATTATGTCTTGATACCTTGTGTAGTTTCGGTATCATCGGTGCAGGGTTTGCGCTCACCAGAGCAGACCTGTTCCCCGTTGAGGCCGCGCGCGGCGTCGGGCAAATGATCTTGGTGCGTATCACCCGCCGTGTGTTCAGTGCATGCCCGAACTCAATTTGCTCCTAGAATATTGTCATGCCATGCCTTCTATTCTCGCGCATTGTTCCGGCCTTCGACTCTCAGAACGTCAAGAACATCGGTCCGCTCGTCGTTGTCAGCCTTGTTCTCGGTATTCTGGGTTTCATCATCGCATGGCTCGTCAAAAAGTGGTTCTGGGTACCACACCGCTTCAGGCATGGCATACTCGCCGCAGGCGCCTGGGGCAACATTGGAGATATCCGTGCGTGTGTTCAGAAAGCCGGTCGTGCATTCGCACTGACAGATGCATGCAGCCACCGCTATTGCTCTTGGGATCACCGCCAATGCACCGTTCAACGGTACACAAGATGAGAACTTGGCGGTCGCCTATATCGCTGTCTTCATTCTTGTCTTCTTCGTGAGTAACTAGTAGTGATGCCATTCCTCGACGCTTACATGTATGCATAGGTCACGCTATTCCCCATGGGCGGCCTGAACTTGATTGCAAGCGACTTCAAGGGCCCGGACGTCGAAGTAGAAGATCTCATCGAGGAGACTCGTGCTCGGCGAAAGCGCATCCTCAAGGCCCCTGCTCTGTTCGCTCACCGGCTATTCCGACGCAAAGCAAGTCCAGCAAACGAGAAGGAGTTGGATGCGGAGGCCAGCCCCAAACTCGATGAGAAACGACCACCCACTCCCTCGGGAGCGTCAACCCCTCCGCAACTCGCAACGGGTTATCGTACGCCGTCAATCCATTTCGATGAACACACTACCGTCTACGACGCGTCTACTCCTGCAGCCATGTCCACTTGCTCCGAGCGCAACCTGGCGTCTGCTGTCACATCACCCACGCCCACTGTCCACGACGACGACGGCCACCGCATCTACCACCCCCGCTCGCACTCGGTGCGCTTCAAGGAGGATCTACCGTCCATCCAAGCACCCGTCCTCACCCGGCGCCAACGCATCCGCAAGATCTTCTCCAAGTTCATCAGCGATATGCTCAAGCCCGCGCCCGTCTCTGTCCTAGTCTCGCTTCCCATCGCCCTAATCAACCCTGTCAAAGCACTCTTCGTCGCGCCAACGACGGACTTCCACCCATCATTTCACCCAGTCGCCCCCGATGGTCAACCACCTCTGTACTTCCTGCTGGATATCGCCACGTTCGCCGGCAACGCCTCGGTACCTCTGGGGCTGATCTGTCTCGGTGCTGCTCTGGCTCGATTGGACATTGGCGGTCGTGAGAACTGGGCGCGGATGCCGCGGGGCGCTATCGCTGCGCTTGCTGTCGGCAAGATGCTCATCGCGCCTGTTATCTGTATCGCTATGATCACCGGGATGGTCAGCCGCGGCTTCATTGACCCCAATGACAAAGTGTTGCAGTTCGTCTGCCTGTATGTCCCCTCTGCGACTATTGTGCCGTGTACAATACTCATACACGCCTAGCATATGCTCGGGACTGCCTACGGCGACTACGCAGGTCTACATCACGCAAGTGCATAACCCTACTGGGTCCGCCGAGCACCTTGCTGCATTCCTCATTCCACGTTCGTACTCACACTTGTATGTGGTGCTGTGCCCCTCGCTAACCGATGCATACAGAGTACATCATCATGGTCTTCTCTATGACCGGCATCTCCGTGTATAGCATTAACTACATATCCTAGAATAGTCCTACTTCCGTACAGACACCACTTTTCGTTCATAATAGACACTCGCAATGCATATCTGCGTAACTTTCTTAACTCGCACCACGCTAGTGTACCCACTATCGAGTACTGCTTCGACTGCTGTCCCTAATGAACCGTCCCGCTGATGGGAGGGAAGACGATTGGGTCCTGCGGGCGATGCATGCCCGCGCGGCCCAAGAGGAGAAGGCCCGGCCCGCGAGCGGCCCGGAAAACGAAACTTTGAGCAACTTCGCCTCGAGTTTGCCACACCCCTCCATCCCATCCATCCCCTCTATACCCGTCAAATGGCTGCTGGTATCCCGAACGGCAGCGCTACTGCACCTATTGAGGTCCCCTCATCCCAGCCTACCGTCGTCGGCATCAACTTCGGCAACGCCTACGCGTCGATCGCGGTCCTGAACAAGGTGCACAAAAAGTACTCATAATGCGATCTTGAGTCTGATTTCTGTGTAGGAGGGTCAGGCCGAGTGTATCGCCAATGAGGACGGCGAGCGCCAGATTGCATGCGCCATCTCTTTCAATGGCGAAGAGCTGGTACGTTGAGATCTATATACCTATTACACGCATCTCATAGGACATCACAGCATCTCGGAAACCATGCCAAGCAGCAGCTCGTCAAAAACGCGGACAACACCATCACTGGTTTTCGCAACCTTCTCGGCAAAAAGTATGCATAACATCGGTATATTGGAAGGTGTTGGATATTCATGATCATCGTAGGTTCTCTGAACTACCCAAGGACGCGCCGAGCACGTCGGCTGCGGTGGTCCAGCACCCCGAACAGCCCGATGTCCCTGCATACCGCGTTCAGGTCTTGCAGCCGGCACCTTCCCCTCTGCCTCCCAGCTCGAAGATCAACACCCCGGCTGCGTCAATTGCACCGACTCCTCGTAACGAGCCTACGCCTGTCGAGCGTATTCTCACTCCGTCTGAGGTCACTTCGATCTTCCTTAAGTCTCTTCTCAAGTCAGCGGAAGATTTCTTGGGTCGCAAGGCGGATGGCGTTGTCATCAGCGTCCCTCACTGGTTCGAGGAGACGCAGCGCGAGGCACTGAAGGCTGCTGCTGCCGACGCCGAGATCAAGGTCTTGCAGCTGCTCGAGGATGCAGGTGCTGCAGCCGTCACCGCTTCGACCAACCCAGGCTCTGAGAACCTTCCCGCGGACCGTACCGCTCTCGTCGTCGACCTTGGCGCCTCGTCTCTGAGCCTCACCCTTATCCAAATCTCTGACGGTCTCTTCGTACCGCTCGCGGAGACATCCGAGACGGGCACCGGCGGTGACGCTATCGACGACCGCGTTATCAAGCATTTCGCGAAGGAGTTCACCAAGAAGACCAAGGCGCCGTTGGCTGTCGTGCCCAGCAAGGAGAAGGGCGACGTCCGTGCTGAGGCGAAGCTTCGTCTTGCCCTCGAGCACACGAAGCGTACCGTCAGTGCCAGCGCCGGTGCCGCGACGTGCTCCGTCGAGTCGCTGAAGGATGGTCTCGACTTCACAGGCGCGATCAACCGCATGCGCTTCGACATGGAGGCCCGCCCGATCTACTCGAAGGCTTTCGACTCAGCGACCAAGTTGCTGGAGAGTGCTGGCCGCGACTGGCTCAACGTCGACGAGATCATCTACGTCGGTGGCTCGGCCAGCTTGCCGGGTCTGGACGACGCGCTCGCGGCTGGCTATAGCGACGATACGTTCACGCCGTTCAAGGCCGGTACCGTCCAGGGTGGTGGCGCCGGCGATCCCACCACCGTGATCGCTCGTGGCTGCGCTCTCCAGGCGGCCCTGCTCGCCTCGCTTGGCGACGACGTCGTCAAGGCAGCGTTCGCGAACAGCAGCGCGAAGACGCTCGAGAAGACGCTCGCGCTCGTCTTCCCCGGATCAGAAGAGGTCGTGCCGGTTCTGCCGCGCGGCTCTGCGCTGCCCGCGCGTCGCCGCGTCGCAGTTGAGGCCCAGGTCTCTGGCGGCCGCCTTGGTGTTGAGCTTTGGGAGGCGAAGGAGGGCATCAAGGTTGACCTCATCACACCGCCGAAACCGGAACTCGATGAGGGCGAGGAGGAGGACGATTATGAGGAGGACCCGGAGGAGGTCAAGGAGAAGACGATCGAGAAGGAGACGCTCCTGAGCGCCGTTGAGGTGAAGACGTCCAAGACCGGCAAGCCCAGGCTGGAGATATACGTTGAAGTTGGCGAAGATGGCAAGCCGACGTTTAGGGCCGGTGTAGCGGGCGAGCAGTAGACGAAGTCGTATAACCTCCATTTCTTGCTAGCGCGTAGACAATAGAAACGTGCTGATAGGCAGTTCTTCAAAAGGTACTGCCGTCGTCTAAGCATTCACACTGCTATACGACATTGCGCTTCCCTTCCCTCGAGTGACATACGCTCCAACCCCGCGATTATGGATTACACCATTGAGCATGGGAGCCCGCTAGCGCTGTATGGTCCTACGAAGTCTGATCCGTGTAAGGAGATCGCGGCACTGCGGGAACGTCGTTAGCACGTCCTATCAACGGACCCGACGTCGCACACACGAGTCTCGCACTGTTACCGGGCGGCGAGGTGAATTGGCAATTTAGCCTCTGTCCCTCTTCGAGGCCGACATCAAAGAGTGGAGGCTGCAGCCAGGAACTCGCAGGCCGCTCTTGTCTCCTGCGCTCATGCTCATCCGTGCTCGCTGACCTGCATGAGCGCCGCGGCCGCCCTTCCCTCCAGTTCAATCGCAGGCTTTCCGGCTCCGGCTACTGCGTCTGGATTTCCTGCCGGCTCGGTACCGAGCGGCGCTGCTCCCATCAGCGGGAGCGTAAACGTTCTTACGTGGCAGGGCTCCTCGCTCTTCTCGCTCGTTTTTTCGACCTAGTAAGTTATGCGGCGCGCACTGTTGGGGGTTGTACTTGTACTGATACTGAGTGTTGCTTGTAGCTTGTTCGGGATTATCACTCACCAGGTGATCACGTATCGCGCACAAGCCCGCGGGGAGAAACTGCTGCGATGTTGGGTGCGTGCCTGTTGACTTCTTCGCAAACCTTGATTTCCTGATGCTACTGCGTTGCAGGTATACTGGCTATGGTGAGCCATCATCCTCTATACCTGTGATGCTAGTGGACACATCCTGACTATATATAGGGCACTGGTTGCAACGGGAACTTCAATTGACATCTACAACTGCTGGACGGTCGTACAAAGCATCGAGATGTATCTTCTGAAGGGCGCGGGAGTGAGCATAGTGAGTGCTCTGATAGTCCTCTGTCATTGGCACCTATGCTCACCAGCATTCGCAGGCTGATGCTGTCGTTGGCTCAACAGCGGAGATGCTTGTTCAGCTCTACTTTATCCGCGGTATCTGGAAAGGTGAGAAGTTCGCAGGTACACCGTGCAAACGACAACTGACCGTCTCTAGTGCGAAAGGAGCTCTATCCAGATTCGAAGATCACCCTGGCTATGTGTGGTACATATGTAGGCTGCGCCATCCTCGTTTGTGCCGCTGAGATCGTCTGATGGGAAGTCTCAGGTTCTTCTTGCATTCGCGTCGATGGCGACATGGATCTGTGAGTGTACAGGATACTCTGCGCGTATTCGGCTAACGGGGTTTTGATAGTGAGTATGGCGTGCGTTGGCGACTTCCCTACGAGGTCTACTTGATAGACCGTCTTATGTTCACGTAGCTTCTCCGTTGGTGTCTTCGACTTGACCAAGATCCAGGTACGCTCTCCTCCGACCGTTCGCGGTACTTCTCTGTTGACTCGGTCATACGGGTAGGAAGTTATCACAATCAAGCTGTCATTGGCTATCATCTTGGATCTTTGCATCACATTCGACCTGGTCGTACTTCTCCGCAACAACACGAGCGAGTTCCCAAGCTAGTGAGTACCCATTTGCTTCTCTATCGGATGTGTACTCATGCGCAGGCTTGCGCTAGCAAGCGGCGGGGCGAGAATAGGTTCGAAGCTCTGATCATCTTCCTTGTATCCCGAGGGACGGCTCTAGTGTGCGTGTTCTTTCGTCGTAGATCAAATCTGTACTCATGAGACCTACAGTGCCACTCAGATAGTCGCCCTGACATTGGTGAGGCTCTTTGGACTATGTTGCGGCTCATATTGACATATTCTAGACGTATACTGTTGATCTGATATCAGGCATCATCATGATCACGTCGTGTCTCCCTAAGAGTAAGAGCTTTCTGATAGCTTACGGTCGCATGCTGATGTCTTCGCAGTCTACGTTTGGTCCATGCTCCTCGTGTGCGCCATTCATCATCCAATCTGCTCGTTCAGCACCCTCCTAACGCTGTATCCAGGATTCTGAACCGGGAAGGGAGGCACACGTCGATGCAAGCGTCCGAGCTTTACAGATCTCGGTCCATCCCGCTACCGGAGTTGGACTCGGTCGTGATAGAGAGTGAGGTAGCGATTCACAAGTATCCGATCGCCATGGACGTCTCTGATGGCCATTCTAGTCTTTCGAGCAAACGCGGTCATACGAAGCGCATCCTCTTGGGCCTGTTCGGACCCGGACGCGTACCAGCAACACGTCGTCGCACGAGAAACCGGACGGCGCTCAGGATGTATACTCGACGTGACTTCATGCTGCATCTTATGCTATCCTGACTTGCTATCCGACATTGCTTTCGCGTAGTCTCGCTCTTGGTTGCGGACGCGTCATCGGTCGTATGCTGTATGCTATGTTGTACGCTGATTATAGTATGTAACCGGAAGGCCGAGCCACATTCCTACGCTTTGAGTCGCTTTCAGCGCCCCTCTTGCGCTCTCCACCGCTGCAACAGCATTGAGGTGTTACTGATTTCAGATTGACCTGTATTGTCAAAGGGTCGGTGATTGTATCGCGCAAGATGTGAACGTCCAAAGCCACAAAAGCGTGTGCCAGAAAGCAGCACGACCGCTTTGTCTCGCTATGCTTACTTGTACGTGCGCGCCAGTATTGTATTCTTACCTGATGCGCTGCTTGGACCACATGCTCCACGCATAATTGACCTCTTCGCGGGTTTGCGATGGAAGAACATCTACGCCCTCACACACCCCGGACACGACGCGAGCGGCGTCGAGCGAAGCGCAACTTACAGCGATCGGTGTCTACCATGTCTGCGAGCAAAGCTGAGCCTGTCGTCATTTACGTTGATCCACATCATTTCGAGGTAAGATTTCTGTATTTGACTGTCACCAGACGCTGAGAGTGAAGTCCCATATTAGCCGAACGATACTGCGTGGGCACAGTGCCAAGACAACTTGTGGCACCGCGTACGCATCGTGAAGAAAGACGTGAAGTGCGAGACTCATAAGCCAAAACCATCGACCGGCCCTCTGGTGGCCTCATTCAGCGGCCGTCATCTTGTTGCTCATACTCAGTACCACGCCCGGTGGCGGCCCGGAGCTGGGCAACCCGATCGCCCGGGCGTGTTTGCGCAGATCAAGCGCAAGCTCCTTCCGGATACCATTGAGACGAAGCAATGGCTACTCGAAGAGGTCGGGCTGGAGAACATTGCTGAGGATGATCGTGAAGGATTGAGTGGAGTCACATTTGCTCCGAAGGGTTGGCACCCTGGGATTGAGAAGACGGACAGGCGCCGAGCGCCGTTCTAGCAACGGATTGTATTCGAGCTGTTTGTATCCCACCAATTGCACGCGTATTGGATGCAGCCGCAACGCATGGATTATCTTCACAGTGTATTTTCCGAGTAAGGTGAATAGCATAGGCATGGGTGGGTGCATGGTGGTAAGAGGCAAACTCCGCGTGCCGTGCGGATGCTTCGGATCCCGCGCTCGTCCGCCTTGACGCGGACATCCATGTCGGTTCGACGCTCAATACAGCTCCCCTGCACACTATTACTCTATCACGTAGTGTGAAACATACGCCTCAAGCACTCAAAGCTCTGTGTATAATCTCTTGTACCGCCTCGGGCTTCTCCAGCAGCATCGCGTGCCCGCATGTCGGAATTCTGAACGCCTCTCCGCCCAGTAGTGACGCCAGCTTCTCCGCGTCCTCGGGTCTGGCGAACGTATCCTCGTCGCCGTATATGACGATGCTCTTCCTTGCTTGTATTTCCTGTGGCAAGGCGAAGCCGCTGAACGATTCCAGAACAGCGCACGGCCCGTCGGTGCTTTGAGCCAGCACCATCTTCTCCAGCTCCGAACGCACTCTCTCGTCGCGTCTTCCGTCCGCACCAAGCGCATTGATCTGTGCCGCAAGTAGCGCGCTAGTTCCACCTGCTCGCAACGCTGCGGCAGGGGACACGAGGTCCGGCATGGGTAGCGCCGGGGCTCCGAGAAGGATGAGAGCGCGCACGCGCGATTTCAGCTCGGCGGCGAGTGCGAGGGCTATAACGGTTCCGCCCGAGTGCGCCACGATGTCGATCTCGCCATCCACTCCTGCATGCGCGAGGATGGCTTGGCAGTCGCTCACGAGAGTCGCGAGGTTGAATGGTGTATAGAGGGGAGACTTCCCATGACCGGGCAGGTCGTATGCGATGCGCTTGCGAGTAGGCAGCGAGGCGAGGAGAGACGCGAACACGTCGCGATTGTTCGCTAGGCCATGCACGAAGAGGACGGGCGGAAGATCGTTAGGCTCGGCTGCGGGTTGGACGATGAGCGAGACGGTGTGTCTGGAGGGAAGTTCGACGAGACTCATGGTTGTTCTGCAAGGACCAGTTTGAGGCTTGTCGTAGTCATAAGATGTAAACACGATCACACGGGCTACAGTTGTTGCCCTCTCATGGAATAGGAGACGATGCGGAACCGCATGCCGCTCAGAGCTTCTCCAGGCCGGAAGCCGACCGGGATCTCTTCATGCTATACCTCTGACCACATGTTTACTGACACCGTCTCAACATCTGTAGGGTTCGAAGGAGAACACGTTACTCACGCATGCTCCGCACATGCGAGGTTGTGGTAACAATTGTACTCAACAGCTCGATAGATCTTCTGTTTGTCCCGTAGTACGTCGGTATCGATATCAATGACAGAGGCTTCGAGTAGGAATCTTTGCGATTCGCGAGAACTTGAGACTCGGACTGCTGTCGCAGGAGCACCATCATACACAAAGTCCCACACACGGTAGGCTCACAATGAGCCTACCACTCGTGCGCTCCGGCGCCGAAAGCCTTACGGATGTGAACTGACTGTCGGGTGCGGCCACACAACGGTGGCGGCGTCAATCATCTCGACTGAGCCCTCCCTCGATATCCTTGCGTGGCTGCGGCGCGCTCGAGAGTGCATCATATGCAGACTCATAGTACAACTAGCTATGACCTCGGGCACTCTCATCAGCCCGGATGTCTCTACCCAGCAGGATACATAGTACATAGCCTAATTGGTCCAGTCAGTCGTGGGAAGAACATGTTCAAGGTGGCGCGCATTGAGTCTCCGCTTGTTGCCTCCGACCACCACCCTGAGGATCCTCCCATATTCTCTCCTCGCACAGATGACTGTTTGAGCTTCTCCTGGCTCTCTGTTGTTGAAGGAAACCCTCCACGCAACGTCATCGACCGCACTTGAAGCTTCATCAAGGACAACATGGATCTACCTTCATCGTCTTCATCCCAAGCGGATGTCTTTCTACTTAGCAAGACAACTCTTGACCGTGACGCCGCAATCGAAGCGAAGATCCAGCACACTATAGATACTTCCTCTGGTCTGACAACCGCACGCGTGCTGCAAGTCGCGCTGCAGACCGCCGAAGCGACGTCCGGTTCGCAGACCCTTCCCCCGCCGAACAGAGCTGAAGAGATTCTTCGCGAGCATGAAGATGTTGAACCCCTCGCTCTCCTCGCCTTGTACAAGAGATCCTATTCTAAGCTCTTAGGTGTGTACTCGGTTGATCCTGCGCACTGCTTCTCCATATTCAAGCCTTCACGGTAGTCCGCCTCGCAAGCATACACTCTGCAAGCCAATTCTCTTCGTCGACGGATGATGATTCGAGCGTGGGTGCGAGCGATGTTGGGATAAAAGGTGCGCGTTTTGATGACGTTGCGCGTGGCAATATTGACTGTGGTCTGCTAGCGACGCTCGAGTCTTGGGACCATCCATTTCAAGGCACCGCGCACGAGGCATTATGGAAGCACATCCGGAAATATTCGAAACCCGAGCTTATATATGCACCCTATACCGCGATCGTCCAGTCCTCAGGGGTCGGGAAGACGAGATGTGTGGATGAGCTGGGCAAGCAACAGCTGGTAATCCCTGTCAATCTACGTGATCCGAAAAGCAAGGGTAAGCCCTGCTTCCACCTTGATCCGGAAGACATCTTCTAAGCCGTGTTCACATGACAGGCTTCCCCGCGTCCGATGAATCGGTGTACGGCTATCTCGTGCGTGAATGGACGAGTTCAATCGACGGCGCGATCCGGATGGACGCCTTCCTCTACTCGCTTTTGTACCATCTACGCAAAGTCATTGTTGAAAGATACATGACCGAGGGTCCGCTCAATGCCAAGAGTCTCCCCCTTTTCATTCACGACTTCATGAGCGATGGACAGACCTTTGCCGCGCAAAGTCCTACAAGGAGTAGCTTTTACGCTGCCGTGGTGGCAAAGGCAGAGGCAAGTCAACCCGGTCGTTCTCTGCCATTTTCTTGCTCACATAGCACATCTGAGCAGGAACTCGAGAATGACGTGAGGAGGGAACCGATTCAACGCCAGGGATACCCTTCAATGATCAGATATCCGTCGGGTCGCGAGGGTTAGCCCACATGGACGATCATATTCTGTGTTTCGGCTCACATTGATGAACGCAACAGGGTATGAAACAACGCGTATGATGGCGCTCAGACTTGTCGAGGCATGCATCGAAGCCGGGCATAGCTCGCGACCAGCAGTCGTTATCGCGTTCGATGAAGCACATCACCTTGACAAGGTCCAGACTAGTACGGGTTCGACCCCGTTCGGCCACCTGCGAAGTGCGCTGTGCAATCTGCGGGGGTCTGTCTACTCCTTGTTTCTTTCCAGGGCGGGAAAGATAGTACACTTCCCGCCGCCGCACAGGAAACTGGATCCTTCGGCTTGTATAACCGACGTGACCCTCATTGACTCGCCCCCATTTACTGCATTCGGCTGGGATCGCTTGTCAATTCCGGTACCAGAATCTCCTGAGGGGATAGACTTTGGCGACATTGGCCCTGGTTGGCAGGTCTTTCTGGGACGCCCTATGTCAGTCTTTCTGCTCATCATTTATCAATGGATTATGATTGATTTGAGGTAGATTCGGGTCACGCTATGAGGCAACTACTCGCAGTGGAATGACTATGACTGACTCTCTTGGCGACATTCGACGTTTTGCGCGCTCAACGCTACTCGGTATCGACTTCAAAGAGCCCATCATTCCCAAGTGCTACTTGGCCATCTCCCGCCAGATAGCGTGCTTAGCACAGCGCTTGCCGATTGAGTTCTCGTCGAACGGTCACGTCTCTCTTGGTCTGCAGCTTGAACAAGTGGAGCATCATCTCCGTGTCTGGCTTTCGATCCAAGATGATCCTCTCAGTCTTGTCACTCTGAACCCTTCGGAGCCCATTCTCTCAGAGGCTGCTAGCGAAGTCATGCGATACAACTCGGGCGACATCTTCGCGCCGCGCATACTGTCCCAACTCCTGAGCGACTTCTCTATCAGCGTGGGCGACCGTGGCGAGCTGGTGGGAATGCTTCTATTGACTCTCGCGCGAGATGCAGCCGTTCAGTCAGCACATCAATCTCCGTATCAAGACTTCATACCCGTCCTCGCCTTTCTCGAGCATCTATTTCACATCCCTGCTACTGCGAACCCCTTGATCGAGGATATCTTCGAGGCGAAACCATCCGTCTACATGACCGACACGGACAAGGACGAGTCTCTTCGATCTACATTCGCCGACGTCTCGCTCCACTTCAACCACTTCATCAAACGCGATGCGCAGGAGCTCGACATGCAAGACTTTCTGATGTTGTTTCTACGCAACGCCGCGCTTCTGGGCGCCAACTCGCGGCCTGACTTCGACTTTGGCTTCATGCTGTGCAAGGGTCACTTTGTCGCTTCCTCCTCGGCAGGCTTGTTTCTGGTTCGGGTTCAGAACGACCGGCGATGCTCGAGTGCGCTTGCTGGGGTACTCTTTGATGACATGGACCCTGTCGCATTGGGAATCGTCACACCCGGGGAGACCCTTCATGTCCCCGTCATCCGTATCGTGATGGCGCTCGCTGGAGCAGAACCTGCGCTAACGTATCGCAAGTCGCAAACGAAGGGCCCATTCACTGCGTTCGATATATTCGCGTCGGGTCTGGATGCGACCGTGTACGGCGTGATTGGCGAAGAGTCTGCTAGCTCCTGGGCCGATATCTTGCGGGCCTCGCACGACGGCTGGCGGCGGATGTACACTGGCCAGGACGTCCCGGAAGTCGAAGAGCTTAAGATGCATATGACGCCATTGGCTGGTAATGAGCCTGCCTTTCGCTCTTGGCGCAGGACCGTGAGCGTCATGGAGACCGACTGATACGGCACACAAGGACGTTGGCGTGGCTTGCGACGAGGATATTTTGCATACGCAGGTTTTTTTTTTGACTGGACTGTACTCGAAACACGTGTTGTACTGATATTGACATGTATCATACTGTACCCTGTAACCCCGCAAAGATCAAAGCATGATTTCCTTGAGCGTTCACATAGGTCATGATGATAACGATACTATATAATATGCGATGAAGTCAAGAAGTACAGCAGTGATGAAATCAAGTCATTGCAGCGCGGGCCCAACTACGAAACGTGGCGTGTCAACAGGACGAGCATCGTTGTGCCATGTACAATGGTCAGCATTCATGACCGAGTCTATACGGGGCTTCATTCATCCAGCAACGAACCGTGAATGTACACCCTTCACTGATCGGCTGCGATTGAAGCTTCAGTTCGAGCACCAGACCGCCGTTGCAAGCGAGCAGCGCACCAAGAGTAGCGGCCCAGACTTGGTTCTTCCCTCCATGCTTGCTGTACAGTAATACAGCAGTACCGCTCTTCTTATCGCTCCCACTCACGTCCAGCACAACGTCGGCCTTGCCCTGCACAGCGATACTAGTACAACACCACACCAGGTCAGAGAAAGCCGTCCCTTCGAAGTAGAGCGCTAAGGGGCGTACACGCACTGGTACTGATCGCACGCCTCGCCGGGCGCCACAAGCTGGTAGATCTTGGGCGAGGCCGTCTGTTCGGAGCAGGCCATGCGCTGGCCGGAGGCGAGCGAGGGGAAGGAGAGGTAGGTCCCGCTCGCTTTGTTGTGGATCGCGACGTCGCCGGCGCGCGCGTCGAAGTACCACTGATTGCATGGATCAATGACTGGGAGAGAGAGAATAGAGGAGTCTGTGAAGGTGCAGACCTTCTGGGCGTCGCTGTTGTCCTTAGTGTTCGCGGTGCATTTGCCATCGGAGCTTATGGTGAGGAAGGTTTGGGTTCCGACGCATTGGAGGTAGTAAGCGGGAGAGGCTTCAACTGCTGGCATGATGTATCTCGCGAGCCGAGGATGATTTTGAAGCTGAGGCTCGTGGAGGCGATAAGGTTTATAGATTCTCCCGCTTCAACGAGGTCTTATACCACGGCTGTCCCGTTCGAGCAGCGAGCCGATCGGGAGCGGCTGACGGGGTACATGCGATGTGCGGTCAGAAGTGGAACCTGCTCACGCCGATGCGAGATACCTGCGAGTCTACCTCGTGATTGTCCGGAGACTGCACATAAGGAGTGCGCTGTACGCGTCCCACAATGGTCCCAAAAGCATCCGGCGACCGAAGAGCCGTGCAAGAGCGTGCTCTCTCCTCTTGTTTATTCAGAAGTAGAGCTTATGCTGGCTCTTCGCTATAGCGTCGGCTCCGAACCAACTGTCGAGGAGTGCTCGTAACAGCGCCCTATAAGGATCGTTGCATATCAAGGGGCTCTCCTGAGCACGGATCCGAGAGGGTTGCAGGATCACGAGCGCATACAGTGCTTACCCCGACGGACCGGGCTAGTTTAGTGACAGAGAAGATACTAATGACAGCGAACTCAAGAAGTCGGCGAAGCGGCGAACTTGCTCGGATACCTCGCCTACGTCATGCTGGCCCGAATCTCGGGCAGAGGCACCTGTCTGAAGATATGCATCTCATTGGCGTAAATGTCGACAAGCACTTCTGAGTCGGGGCACCATGGTGGACGTCAAGAGCAAGGCAGGCGGCGGGGAGCGCCGAGCCTCGTGCACGATCACGTTAGCAAGCGCTCGCCGCGCGTCTCGACGCGTACTTGATCGCGCACCACGACGACTGCAGCTTCCACCATCACATCGAGCATCTCAACCATGTCTGCAGACTTACAGACCGAACTTGCGAAGCTCTCTCCGCCAAAACTCTCCCAGTCGGTCCATCGCGAGGAGTGCACGCAGTGCTTTGACAACCAAGTACGCCACTCCACGCGTAGATGTACAACCATATACTTATTCCATCTAGGATACTGAGCATGGTGTTGATGTCTGTCTTCACTGCTTCAACGGAGGCTGTCTCTCTACCGAGCGCCATCACGCGCGCGATCACGCCACCAAGACGGGTCACCGCTTCGCCCTAAACGTACGCCGGCGCTTGAAGCCCTCCAGCCATCGCGGCGACGATGAAGAGCCACCAGCAAAGATGACGAAGCTGGCTATCGTCGAAGAGCGCGAAGAAGACAAATACGAATTTATCACTTCTCTGCGCGACTGGCAGACCGGACAGCTCTTGCCAGACCCAGCACCAAAGCATCTCGTCGATGGTGTTCTGACCGCGATGAGCAGCGCTCGGCAGAGCGAGGTCAAGGCTTGGGAAGAGGAGATCGTTGCTTGCGAACATACCCTGATGCTTCATCCCGAGTCTACCGGCCCGATCGAGGCGTCTGGGCTTGCCCACTGCAAGCAATGCGATTTAAAAGAGAATCTATGGCTGTGTTTGACTTGCGGCTCGCTTGGATGCGGTCGCCAGTTATACGGTGGCCTCGGTGGCAATGGCCATGGTCTTGCGCACTACCAGGAGACGCACCATCCCGTCGCGGTCAAGTTGGGTACCATCACACCCGAAGGCAACGCAGGTAAACCACTCAAACCCGGCTCGGTATTCGCACCGCTAATTACATCTATATAGATATCTACTGCTACATATGCGATGATGCAAAAACCGATCCTGAACTACCCGCTCATCTCGCCGCGTTCGGCATCAACGTTGCCTCGCAGACCAAAACGGAGAAGAGCATGACTGAGCTCCAGCTCGAACACAACCTCCGCTTCGACTTCTCGCTCACCGACGAGTCCGGGAAGGCGCTCGAGCCAGTCTTCGGACCCGGCTTGACCGGTCTCGCGAACTTGGGCAATAGCTGCTACATGGCCTCAGTTCTGCAAACGCTCTTCACTCTCCCGGCGTTCCGCGAACGATACTACGCGCCTGCAGCACAGCACTGGGCGACGTGTACGGAGACTTTACCTGCGAGCTGCCTGGAATGTCAGATGGTCAAGATCGCCGACGGTCTGTGCAGCGGCCGGTACAGCGTTCCACGTACCAAAAGCGAGACTACGCCCAAGTCGAGCGAGAGCTTGCAACACGACTCGCCGGCGCCTGTCTTCCAGGAGGGTGTGCGTCCTGCGAGCTTCAAAGCGCTTGTGGGCAAGGGTCACGAGGAGTTCGCGAGCATGCGGCAACAAGACGCGGAAGAGTTCCTTGCTCATCTCTTGACCTCACTTCGGCGTACTCAGCATGCGCAGGGAACGAATACGGGTGGGGACGCGACACAGATATTTGCGTTTGAGGTTGAGCAAAGACTGCAGTGCGGAACCTGTGGTGGCGTGCGGTACAGGACAGACGCGCAAGACGCGCTAAGCGTGCCGGTCCCTGCGCGCAAGAAGAGCACAGACGAAGACGGAAAGACAACCTACGAAGACGTCCCACTCTCTGAATGCCTGGACATGGCCCTCAACTCCGAACAACTCTCCTACCGCTGCCCCAAATGCGCCAAAGACGTCCAAGCCGTCCGCGGCAGCCGCCTATCGACCTTCCCCGACGTCCTCGTCGTACACGCCAAGAAGTTCACGCTCGTCAACTGGGTGCCTACGAAGGTCGATGTGCCCGTTATCCTCCCAGACGGAGATACGCTGGTGCTGGACGGGTATAAGGGGAACGGGCTGAGGGAGGGCGAGGTGGCGTTGCCGGAGGAGACGGCTGCTGCGCCGGCTTTGCCGACGTTCAATGCGGACGCGATGGCGATGCTCGCGGGGATGGGGTTCCCGGAGATACGGTGTCAAAAGGCTTTACTAGCGACTGGAAACGACAACGCGGAGGTGGCGATGGAATGGCTGTTCGCGCACATGGATGATCCCGGTATGCACTCTTCGACACCTTTTACTTCCATGGGCGCATACTAACGTGAGCGATGTTAGATATCGATGCGCCAATCCAGTTGCCTGGTGCTGGTGCGAGAGCTGGGCCGGAGCCGAGCGCGGAGCAGGTTGCCATGCTAGCCGACATGGGCTTTACGAGCGCGCAGGCGTCCAAGGCTCTTCGCGAGACTGTACGTGGGCTCTCTATGATATCTTATACCCACATCGACCTTGAGCTGATGATGTTACTATAGGGCGGCAACCCCGAACGCGCCATCGAATGGCTCTTCTCGCACCCCGACGACGACGGTTCCTCATCCTCCGCTGCACCCGCGTCAGATTCGGCCGCGCAGGAGAAAAAGGTCGTCGGCAACCCAAACTTGCCAGCAAAGTATCGTCTCCGTGCTTTCGTCAGCCACAAGGGCCCGAGCGTGCACTCGGGACACTACGTCGCGCACATCCGCCAGGGCGAGACCGACGATTGGGTGCTGTTCAATGACGAGAAGGTCGTCAAGGCGGATGCGGAGAGTGTCAGGACGTTGAAGGCGTTGGCTTATATGTGGGTCTGGGAGCGGGTGTGAACTTTGGAGAGCGTTGAGAATGAATTGTGGCGACGACGGACGGATTGAGCAAGATCATGATGGTGTAGCATAGCATAGCAACGATGGATGTAGAGTGGTGTAGCATAGCGAAGAATTGACGACGATATATTCTTGGATGTGACATGGAGCGAGGGACGTTGAGCATGAGTTCCATATCTTTGATGAGATACTGAGTGAACTCTAATGAGCAATCGTTATATATGAGTCTTATCATAAGCTCTACTGTCTATGATACAGTACGTATAGGATCATACACGATTGACCGCATCTCTCTCAAGCACATCTAGATCAGCATCCTTCTCCGACTCCGGCACCTTCCGATCGTCCGAAGGCCCCTCCACACCGCGCTTCCTCTCCCCTTCAAGACTTCCAACAGTCTGCTCGACAAGCGTCGCAGTCGGCGGGAAGAGTCTGGACAGTACGAAGTATATCGCGGCGGAGATGAAGAACGACGTGAACCACGACGCTTTGTCTGCATCGCCGTCAGTACAACCCATCGACATCGTGCCAGAGCAACGCGGACTCACAGAAGTACAGATAGTTGCCTATATCGACTTTCGGGTTGATGGCGTGGATCAGACCGGGCAGGTTGATCGGCACGACGACGAGCAAAGTCACGAGTGCGCGCCAGTTGACGCCGGCCCGATACCTGTATATGCCCTCGTTCTGGTACAGCGCTGGGATATGGAGGTGCGTTCGGCGGACGAGGTAGTAGTCGGTCACCTACGTGCTCAATTAGCGTGAGAACAGGCTCAGGACTAGGGCAGAGACGGGCGTACCATGATAGCAACGATCGGAGCAAGCACAATGATATACCCGCTTAAGAACGTCGTCAAACTAGCCGCGCTAGCCTGAATCTGCCACGGACACGTCGCCCACCCGCCCAGCACAGCCGTCAACAGCGCCCCGCGCCGTATGCTCAACCACCTCGGCGCCAAAAACGCGAAATCGTTCGAGCTCGCTATAGAGTTCGTGCTGATGTTCGTGCCCAACGTAGCCAGCCCGAACGCGAAGGCGCAGAAGAACGAGCCGGCGCGCGAGGGGAGGAGCGCGACGATGGACGTGGGGTCCCAGTAGAGCGTGCCGTAGATGGACTGGCCGGCCGAGGCGATGACGATGCCGATGAAGGAGAAGGAGAAGTAGACGAGGGGGATGAAGAGAAGCTGCCAGTACGCGTCGGAGGTTTTGTGCGCGTAGCGCGTGAGGTCGGGCTATCCGAATCGTCAGCATCGGATGATCCGCAGAGCGCAGAGGAGGACGCACGATGTTGATGGCTAACGTCGTCTTCCCCGAGATGGCGATGTTGACAGCCGCGACCCACGCCCAGCTCTTCGTGCTCCCGCTAAGCTTCGAGTGCTGAGCGAACACGGGCCCGCCGCCGCCGGCTTTGTGCACTGTCCACCCCAAGAGCGCGAATGCGGCGATGACGGCTGCGATGGACTTGACGAAGAAGAGCCAGCGCATCTTGCGCGGGTGTATCAGGACAAGCGGGAGTTGCACTGAGCGAGTACGCGGGTCAATTTGAAGTATGGAGGGGGATGAGGGGATGAGTGCGCACGGGTCCAGAAGACGAAGTAGGCTATCATCTTGTTACTCGTGATGCCGATGTGCGCCGGTATACTGTTCGGGTAGTGCTTCAAGGACGGCCAGATAGCTTCGAGCCTGCACATTCGTATCGGCGTCAACATCTACTCAGACAGCAACGATCGAGACCGCTTACATGATCAGCATACAGCTCGCGCCGATATACGTATTGATCCTATCTCGCCCAATCAGTCCCGCATCCCTACGCACCATTCAGTCCTAGTCGAGAAAAACGCACCCGAAGTACAATAGCCCGAGCACAAGCCTCGACACGACGGCAAAGTACGAAAAATAGAACCCCATCGACGCGCGCGAGGCGATCGAGAAGGGGACGTGGTGCCGTGAGCCGATGGTGCCGTTCAGCGTGACGGCGGCGGCGATGATGATGTTGCCTATCGCGCTGTATACTTCATTAGCATCCGAGCGGAGTTGGAAAGGAGAGAGGCAAGACTGAGGAGAAAGAAGAGGTAGAGGAGAGGGAGGAGAGGGAGGAGAGCACGCACATCGCCGCAGACGCCTCGCGCCACGATAGACCGAGCGCGACGATTGCGCCCGCCTGCTGCATCGTGCCGACGTTTGCGCCGTCCGCGAGCCACAGAAAAAGGTAGTTGATCCTGCACAACACCAGTCAACATCCCATCATGAATCGTCCGTTGAATGATGAATGAGACGCACTCGCGCCAGGACCGCTGCTCGACGGGCACAACGTCGACGTCCGCATTGGACCACCCTTCGTGTGTCGCGTACGACGCGGGGGGCGTTGAGAGGTGCCAGTATGACTTGGTCAGGTATTTGCGTGGATTGGGCTGCGTGAACTTCATCGGATGGGGAGGAGAGGTCGTGTTTGGGCGTAGAGTAGATGTCGTGTGCCCGCGCACGAGGGCAGGAGCAGGATCTGCGGGTGTGGGCGTCGTATATTTGAGGGGGCTGATACTGAGAGCTTATCGTCACAGGTTCCGGGCAGGGGAGGGGCGCAGGATGGGCGATAGCGGAGGCAGGCACGCGGGTAGACTCGTCGTTCATGAGCCTCGGTGAGCGCGTCGATGGCTGAGGCGCAAAGGCATCTTGCGTGCAAGACGACTGAGACGCTGAGGTAGAGGTAGATCTGGCGTTTACGTCGGCCACGGAAGTGGCAAGGAGTTGAGGAGGAGAGAGGAGAGGAAGAGTGCGCCGGAAAAGCCGACGAAGGGGCCGATCCGCAGACTCGACTGTCGAGCGCCGATCAAGCCAATATATCATTGACATGTTGGCCTGCTGTATCTGTTTAAGCTTTAGCATCGACCCAGATACCTTTCTGCCTTAGAGCGTGGAAAGGTATGACTTGGGGTACTGTCTCTCCTACGAGCGGACTATGCGGGTTGCGCTTCTGTGTTTGCTGAACTTGTGGTGAATGCGAGGGCTGGCCCGGCAGCTGTGCCACAGCGACTACGCATACATGCACTTTCGGCGGCTCGTGAGTTCGGGGACCGGGGTTCACGCAGGAGGAGTGTCTGTGCAATAACGTTGATTGTAGTGGTCGTGGTAGAAGGCAAGACGCCGCGCCGCCGGGGCGCCTGAACATGATCATGTTCGATTGTTCAGTTGACGACATCGCGCCCAAGCTCGAGCGCTTGTTCAGGTTCAAGCGCTACACAACTAGCGCTCTTCTGCGTAGCTTTCGGTGGTACATGAATGGCGTAGAGCGTATGAGCAACTACGCCGACTATGACGTGAAGATGTTACAATACAGCGTGGTAAAATACAGATTTGTACGCTACACAACCTAGAGGCTTCGAGGCCCGACGTATGCTACACAGCGAACTACTATAGTCGAACAAGTACAGTACTCTGATCCCCGTAACTCAACATCTCCTCGGGAACACCCGCCTCCCAACAGCCCCCCGGAACACCTCCAAATCCTCCTTCCGCAGCACGACCCTCTCTCCTTCTCCCTCTCCTTCTCCTTCGCACCACTCCGGCCTCTCGCCCCCGTACAACCACTCAACCTCAAACTCCAACCGTCCCGTATCAGGCAGCGCGCCGTCGAACGGCAGAGTGAGCGTTCGATGCGCTGTGAACGAGGACGCGGGGCAGAGCGTTATGCAGAGGGATTTGGAGCATTTGGAGAGGGTTATGAGGATTATGAGGCCGAGCTAACAGACATTAACCATTAGGCGGGCAGACCTTGTGAGTGGGAAGAAGGGATGCGGACCTTTCCGTGCGTAGACTGCTCGCTAAAGTCGACCCACCAGTCCTTCTCGCCCGGAACATCCTCCGGAAACTCGGACGTGCCGATCTCAACGAGGACGCTCGGGCAGTAGTTGACGTGTGAGGCGAGGGGCGAGGGGGTGAGGGCGCCGGATGGCTCTCTGGCGATGTCAACGCCGAGATGCCGGCTGTGCATGACTTTGCATGTAGTGGATGATGAGAGGGGAGTGATGAGGGGAGGGGAGGGAAGGGGGGAGGAGGCGTACGCGTGCTGTTCTCCGGGTCCAGCTCGACTTCTGAGCGGCCGGCGGCGGCTTCGATGCGTTTGAGGAGGCGGTAGAGGAGGGAGGGCCAGACGACTACGCAGGCTGAGGGGAGGAGCTTTACGAAGACTTCATCGCCGATGATGGTAAGTCTGCGCGAGTGAGTTAGTACGAGTGTAGAGCGAGCGTGAAGAGGACGGACGTACTGGTGCGACTTGCCGAAAGCGCCGTCGTCGAAGAGTTGTACGACGTCTTGCCCGTTTACGGTTGCTGGCACGCGGAGGTACGCTGTCTTAAAATCACGACTGCAGAGTCCAATCAGAACAAGCCATTCGGGTATCAAGGGCTCGGACGTACTCTGCTTCGTCCTTCGCTTGCTCGACGCGCTTCGCGAGGGCATCAATGTCGAGCTCGTTCGGGCTTTCAGCGACAAGATCTGTAGATAATGCACGAAGCCTGGGATTAGGAGTTAAGCATGGTCAAGAGGTGAGGCGGGATGGGCAAGTACATACCAGTCGCGAAGATGAGCGTTGGCGTCGGCTTCAGGGGTAAGTCGCGCGCCGTACTCGTCGTAGGGCATCATCGCCGCGCAGAGAAAGAGAATAAATATATTTCCGAGGATAGAGAGAACTGAACAGATAATCCGAATAGAGCAAGATACTAACAACTCAAACACCCATGATGCGTGATGGCAGCCAACGCCTAACCCCTCCCCTCGGCCCCGCGGCGCGTCTCGACCGTGACAAGTCAAGTCACGCTCTACGCGTTGCGCCTCGCGTCGCGGCCAAGACGAGTCTTTGCCCTTTTCCTCCCACTCCCACCTCCTCTCTTCCGTGTGCATGTAGTACCCCCGCGCGCGCGGATATACAATATGTCGTCGCTTATGAACTGGGACGGATCCCAGCGCGGCGAGGAGGATAAGGATAATGAGGAGAAGAGAGTGCCTTCAAGAGCGCAGGACGCGTCTGATTTGGCGCACGGTTCGGGCGCTGGATCAAGTTCAACAACGAATGTTTTCGGTAATGGTGCTCGTGTACGTATAACCTCAACTATATCACGCGTTATGAAAGGTTTAACGCGCGTATCCAGACTACACCAACTCCAACCGCCCGCGCGTCCGACTCGACGCTGAACGGCGCGCTGAGCCCATCGCGTATCTCAAAGCGCTATTCTTCGTATTCGAGCAGCATTGCTTTTGGTTCTGCGTACTCTCTCAAGACTCCGGTCGTACAAGGAGGCAAAGGAGAACGGTCGGATGGGCCACAGGTAAGCTGTGCTTGACATGTGGCTCCATCAGGACCCACGACTGACTTTCTCGAACAGGCGCAGACGCGGGATGGGGTGCCACAGGTGAGCGTCTATCACGTATTATCTATTATAATTCAATGTGCTCAACATGTGGACATTGTAGAGTGGCGATGGGCCTTCGGTACCGCAGACGCCGGCTACGCGAGCACCTGACTCGTCCGCCGAAGTTCACGCCGCGTCGACGTCGATCAACATCTCAGTCAACACTCGTAAGTCACCCTCTCCCGTTGCGCACGCCCCACCATCAGCACACCCTCTCTCATTCCAAAGATTCATTAACTCTAACACCACTGCACCTCTAGAACCCGCCGCCACCGGCCCGACATCACCGCCAGAACGCCAATCGCCTCCGCCGTCGCACCCCAGCCCATCACGTACACCTCTGGGGTATATGGAGGTCGACGAGGACGGCGAAGGGTCGCCTGATGTGCCGGATGCGACTCTGCCTAAGCCGAGTACGAGGACGGGCGCGGATGGCGAGGGGGTGGAAGCTGAGATGGCTGTCGACGTCGACGTGAGTATTTTGTTTGATTTTTTGCTTGTTGAGAACGAGGGTTGACGTGGATGGGTAGGACGACATGAGCGACCTCAAATACCCAAGCGGCGACAGCTCGCCCGCCGTACGTCCTACTCTCATCACCTTCTATCAATATACTTAACTCTAACGGATCGGGTTGTAACTTCTAGGGCGGCTCCCAAGCCGACATCGAAATGCAACACACGCCCGAGCCCGCCAGATTGCCCTCGCCCGCATCCCGCCCACTCCTATCTCTGAACGGAAAACCTAACATCCTGCCCGACACGCCTCCCCCGCCTTCCTCGCGCTCTCACTCTCACGAGGCGCTCGCGCGCCCGACGTCGCCTACGCTCGGTATCTTCGGCGTACGTCCCACCCTCTCCTCTCCTCTCCACACATCGTACTGATCATAGTTGTATTGTATTGTGTAGTCCACGGCCCGCTCGCCCTCGCCGCCGCCGCGCAAAAAAGAGCCCCTCTTCCTCTCGCCCACGCCCTCGGACGAGCTCTCCCAGTCGTCTCCCAAAGCTGCGCCTCCGACGTCGAGCGCGTGGAGGGTGTCGTCGGACGAGGAGGAGGTCGAGGTCGTCGAGCATCCCGTGCCGCGTGTGGATAAAGGCAAGGGGAGGGCGGACGTAAAGGGCAAGGGCAAGATAGATGTAAAGGGCAAAGGCAAAGAGCGCGAGTGGGTCAAAGCGCCGGCCATAGCGAAGAAACCGCTCATCGGCGGGAAAAAGCCCGGTCCCGCTCCTAGTCCCGCGCCCCGCCCTTCGTCGTCCGCTGTAGAGGAAGAGGTATTCAAGGAGGGGCCGCCGCGGAAGAAGAAGAAGGTCGTGCGGAGGGTGATCGAGTCGGACGATGATGTCGAGGGCAGGGTTGTGGCGGTGACGGTGGTGAAGAAGCCGCGTATCGGCGCGTCGGCGGCGGCGAAAGGCAAAGCGCCCGCCACTTCAACCTCCACCACTTCAAAACCGAAGTCGAAGCTCCCCCTCGCGAAGACCAAGCCCAAGCCGAAGCCCACGGTGGGACCTAAGAGCAAAATCACGTCCTCCGACACGATCAGCATTACCGACTCTTCAGCTGACGACGCGCCTGCACCTACACCCGTTCGTCGAAAAGCACTTCGAGCGGCACAACCGCAGGAGGAGGAGGAGGAGTCTGATGATGATGCGCCTGTTCGGCGTCGGGAGGCTGTGAAACGCCCGCTGCTTGAGGATAGCGATGATGAGGACGACGTGCCCGCACGTTCGAAGCACGCTCGAGCACCACGATCAGAGGAGGAGGAGGAGGAGGTGCCTCCTCGCCGAAAGCCCGCTCGAGCACTACAGTCAGAGGATGACTCCGACGCTCCTCCTCGCCGGCACAAACATCTCAAACGGCCTCCACCACCGTCTTCCATCTCAGACGACTCAGACGCCGAACCTCCCTATGCACCCCGTTCAAAGTCTGCTCACGGCTCCCGCTCAAACCCAAAGCCCAAATCGCAAGCCGACTCCGACATCGAAGTCGTCGACGATAGCGACGCGTACTCGGTGGTGCCGGATGGTGCGGGAAACAGGAAGATGGAGGTGCTGGTCCCGAGAATGCCCGAGGAGTTGAGGGCGTTGGTTGAGAGGGAGCGGACGCGGAAGGCTGCTGCTACTCTGGCGTCTTCGGTGCTGGCGTCTTTGGTGGATGAGGACGAGGTGGCTGGTACAGCCGGGCCTGAAGCCGTATCCAAAGCATCGTCGAGCTTCAGCAAACCACGTCCTCGTCCGGTTGTCCACAAACATGCTGAAGCAGACGCGAACAAGCCCGCTGTACCTGAGGCTTCGTCGAGTAAACCGCGCCCTCGGCCCGTCGTCCACAAACCCGTCTCGACCAACAAGCCCACGTCCTCCGCCCTCAAGCCCACCGTATCAAACGCCTCAAAGCCCACCGCTTCAAGCTCGACCTCCAAACCCACACCGCAACCCATGGACAACAGCACGCAAATGGGCCTCGCAGAACTCATGAACGCTGCGTGGGCCGCTAACGCGCACGTCGAGAGCGACTCAGAGAGCGAGGACGATGTTCCCCTCCAGTCTCTTCACAAATCAAAGGGCAAAGACCGCGCGCACGAGAAGGGGAGGTCGGCCTTTGTGGGCGAGCAGAAGGAGAGGGGTACAAGTGGTGCGAGTGCGCCGCCGGTCGTCGCGAAAAAACCGCGTATTGGTTCTTCTGCGCCTTCTACCTCGACTTCGGCTATGCCACCGCGCACCTCAACCTCACGCATGCCACCGCCGCCTGCACCCGCATCGCGCATGCCACCGCCCCCTCTCCCCTCCGCATCCGCCCCGGCACCCTCCCGCCGCACCAAAGCCAAAACAGGCGAACCCAACGACCCGCCCTGCAACGCCTGCGCCGCCCTCGGCATCTCCGAATGCGTCAACGCGCCGTATCCGAGCCATAGGAAGTGCACGAGGTGTCAGGAATTGGGGCAGATCTGTAGTTATGCGGGGAGGGGAAGGGCGGGGAGTGTTGTTTCGAGTCGGGCGGGGAGTGTTGCGCCTAGTCGGGCGGGGAGTGTTGCTCCTGGGAGGGCGGGAAGTGTGGCGCGCGGGAGAGAGAGCAGTGTCGCTCCCAGTCGCGTAGGCAGTGTGGCACGCGGGCGCGAGGGCAGCGTGGCGCGCGGCCGAGCAATGAGCAAAGCGCCTGCTCGCGCGAGCAGCGTTGTGTCTAGCCGTATGGGCTCTGTCGCGCCACAGCCGAAACGCACGAAGAAGCGCCCGCACGATGGAGCCGAGAGCGCGCCGAAGAAGAGGAAGACAGGCGGATATGTCGAGGAGGCTTTGTCTGCGCCTGGTCGGCTGGGCTCGAAGGGTCATGCACATGCGAATGCGGTCGCTGGGTCGTCGAAGGCGAAGGGTGCTCAGGCTGGACCGTCGAGGAACGCTCGAGCTGGTCCCTCGAAGTCGCGGCAGACGGCGGGTTCCGTCATCTCTTTGACCGACTCGAACGAAGGACGCGACAGCCTCTTCACCGAGGACGAGGCAGACCACAAGGTCAACGTTGGCGACGCCTTTGAAATTGACTACGATATACCACCCGGCGCCGTGGCCATCACCATCACTGGCTCGCTGGAGCGCGCGCCCGAGGGAAGTCTACAGCATCCTCGGCGGGCACAGCGGATATTGAGTTACTTGGACGTTACCAAGGACGAGAGTAGCCGCTGGACGCGCGTGTATGATCCGAAGGTCAAGGAGGGGGTGCTTGATGCGAAGTACGGGGATGAGGAGGATCGGAGGGGCGGGGATGGATGGGGTGGAGGTGAAGGAGGTGGAGGTGAAGGTGGGAAGGGAGATGGGCCTGGAGGCGGATCTAGGAGAGGGAACGGGAAACAGAGGGATGGTCAGGGCCGGCCGGACGGAGGAAAGGGCAAGGGCAAGCAGCGGGCAGATGGACGACAGCAGGGCGGCGATAGCAAACAGGCGCGAGATGCATCGGGTTCAGCGCCTCCGCGTACTCAAGACGCGAGTGCGAAGCGAAAGCCAGGCCCAAGGCCCAAGCCGCGGGCTATTGCACTTCACCCCGGCCCCAGCACTCCTACGCCTACATCGCATCAGCCAGGACCCTCGAGTGTCACAAACGTCGACGTCGTCGATGCCTTCCAGCCACCAGTCATCCCGCTTACGCCTGCCGGCGCCAATCTCAATCCTCCGGAAGTGCAACTCTTAACCGCAGTCGGCCTATACAACGCGCACCGGTCACAACAGTCATCAGCGTTCTCAACACCTACGCTCGCGGACGCGCCGGTAAACTCCGACTACGGATATTGGAACGCGCCGGAGGCACAGCACTCACCTTCTGGTGTTAGCTTCGAGCCACACGAGCTACCGTACACGACCACCACCGAGGATGATCACAGCACCGAACACAACTCGTTCTGGCCTGATCGGAGCCCCGTTGCTCATCGCGACTACCACTCTGACAGCGGCGCGCCGCTGAGTATCGGCTCCGGTGGGTTCGCCAATGCATTCGCCATGCCCGCATCGGCTTTCGCTTCCACCGAACTCGCCGGTTCTTCTCAGCCGGACAGTGATCAAGAGGTCTCTGATGCGCTCAAGCGTGACGGGTCGGCCGACACATCCGAAACTGCGCATAGCGAAGGACGTTCGCAGACGATTGACCCGAGCGTCTTGGGCGGTCCTCTTCCATTCGCGCCTACGACTGAGGAAGAAGAGTCTCCCATCAAGAGTCGATCGCCGAGCCCCAGGAGCTCGGAGGTCGAGAGCGATCCTGAGGTCGATCCGCCTGTAGTCCAAGAGCACTCGGATGACGATGATGACGACGACGAGTTCAAGCCAGGGAAGATGCAGGTCGGGCCGCCGAAACGACGCCAAACTGCGCGCACGCCGAAGCCCACTCCAAAGGCCAAAGTCATCACACCTCACAAGTCCGCGAGCTCAGCATCTTCCAAGTCAACGGGCAAGGGTATTCCGCTCGACCCGACCGGACTGTTCAAGTCGGGAAGTCGCAGTATCGTATGGCCCAAAGTTGGGATCGAGCGACGTTGCCATCAGTGTCGACGTGCAACCTTTCGCCGGCATGCTCAGTGCAAGAGCGGCAAGTCGAGGGGCAACCATATCTGCACCTATCTCTACTGCGAGGGGTGCTTAGTGACTCGGTATGTCGCTCGCTGCTCCATCGCTCAACCAGAAAACTCACATCGTTATTGTTTAGTTACGGCGATAGATTCCTCGGCCTCTCGTACGACAAGAAGGATAAGTTTCAGTGCCCCGCCTGCAACGATACCTGCAATTGCACGCATTGCACACGCAAGCGAGGCGAGGCGTACGTCGGTGTCAGGACGAAGGATGACCCCAATGCTATCCCCACGCCCCAACCCTCCCGAACGGCGAAGAGCGCGAACTACGGGCCCAAGAGCGTCGTATCGAAACGCAAGCACGCCGAACAGCATGATTCGTCCGCCAGCCCGGCACCACGCCCGCTTCCGAAGCGCATCCGCCTCATACTTCCCAAACGTCCTAAGACGCCGACGCCGTCTGAGCCGTGGGTCGCGCCGAAGATGACCTATGAGTGGCCCGCGGGAGTGAAGACGGAACTGTTTGCGCCAGATGGCTACCCTTGTGGCTATATGTGGGTCAACGAGGAGGGTCAGTGCATGACCACGTATACGCGCGAGGTCGTCCTTCCTGGCGTCGACGCCGACGGCGATCTTTACTGGAATGAAGACGACGTCGAGTCTTCTTCGAGCTCCTCATCGGAAGACGAAGAAGATGAGGACAGCGAGTATGAAGAGTCGCCGGTCCCTCCGCCCCGTCCTAAGCGTGTTCGGCGCGTGCGCTTTTATGCGGGTGCGCGTCCTCTTCCACCGCCTACCGTCAAGAAGCTTTGGTTCCCGCAATCGCGCAAGTTCAAGTTCAGCCCTGAGGAACCCGACTTCGCCGGCCAGCAGGGTGCGTACGTCGGCCAGCGCCCGCCGAAGGTGAAGGAGGGTCCATTGAGCCCGGAGGTGCTCAAGTTTCTGGAGAATTACAAGTTCTCCGATACGGATGGAGAGGATGATGCGGAGGACAGCGCGGAGGACAATGCGGAGGACATCGTAGGAGACACACATGGCGAGAGCGCTCAAGTGACGCTGGGTGACGATGCGCCTGTAGCGCTAGCACCTGCGCTTGCGCCCGAACCCAATGCCCATGAACTCGACGACGAACACGGTCAAGACAGTGCGCCTGAGAACACGGCCGCGCTTGAGCTTGAGCCCGCGCCTGAGCCCGCGCCCGACGCCCAGCATCTCGATGACGAAGACGACGAAGATATTCCACACCTACCTTCGCCCCCGCGTTCGTCCTCGCTCGACCCAATCGAGCCGCTTGAGGTACACGCTCCCGCTCCCGTACCGGCCTCCAACGCGCCCGCCTTCGCCGCCATCCTCCAGTCGGCTCCGGCAGATGCTTCCGTGTCCCTTTCCCCATCGAGCATTGTAGCTGAAGTCTACGCTACGTCCCGAAAAGTGATCGCCGAGTCCGTCTCTGAGCTGGGCACGCTTGTGGACCTTGACTATAATTCGGACGAGGAGAAGAGGCGGTCCCCCAGCCCATGGCCGAACCAAGTCCTTCCCCAGCCGCTCGCCGATAAAGGTCCTTCACTGCCTGCAGAGGTTAACGGCCTCCCCGGTTTCACGAACTATCTCAATCGGTATGGCTCATCCACTCCGGGTTCAACCACTTCGTAATGCTTGACATGTTATTATACTACTATTTCTTGCTCCGTGAGTAGTTCTTGCTTCGCCAGGTCTTCTTGCCTTATCCTAGTTGCTGTACTACTTCACGATACCCTTTCTTGCTCATGAGGATTGACCTCGACGTACCTGCCATACATTCACACCTCACACGCTATCACGATGTTATTGTGCAATACATATAATTGATTCGCTATCGTGAAGCAGCGACCGTAAGAGACCGTTTACAAAAGAGGGTACACGGATAAGTACAACAAGCAAAGATTTTCCACACAGACTACAGATCCAAACGAAAGAGGGTATACTTTTAGGCAGCGTACAAAGCGAGAGCGTCGCGAGCGGCAATCGTCGCGCTGAACGAGCCGCCGGAAACGGTGTAGCTGAAAACAATGTGGTCAGAACCCAGATGTATACCAGCAACGGAAAGCAACTCACGTCGTGCCGGTGCAAGACCCGCTAGCGTTGGACTCGTGGACGACATCGCAGTACGAGCCGTCGGGCAGCGAAGTCGTGAACGAGGTGCTCCACTCGCCGTCCGAGTTGTTGATGGCGACGAATCCGACCTCGCCTGTACGCGCTCGTCAGTACCAAGAACGTAGGAATGCGATGAGCTCAACATACCGCGGCCAAAGGCGATTTGGTTCGAGCTCGGCGCGACCCAGTTGTTCAGCGCGGCGGAGCCAACGGCGTTGCGCCACTGAACCAAGCCGGTGAAAGCGGTCCAACGGTGCTGGCAAAGCCAGCCGTTTTCGCCGCCCGTGCCAGAGCAAGTACCCGTGCCTGCACACCATTAGACTCCAAATAAGCATCTCCAAAGAAAGGAGACGTACCGCCATTCGGAGCACCGTCGTCAGTGGTAGAGTACGTGTAGCTAGAAAGGACAGTGGGAGTGCCGTAGGGATACGCGAGCGAGAAGATGGTCGCCAGCACGTATTCGTTGTTGGGCGAGTTGCTGTTGAGCGAGTTGCCGTTCCGCTCCGTGTCGTGGTTGGCGACGAAGACGTTCGCGTCTGTGCCGCTGATCCAGCCGAAGGAGCTGAGGTCTTCGAGCGCTGAGATGCCGGAGCCGCCGAACGCGCTCTGGAGTTCTGATGTGTACCGGAACCTACGAGTTGTGAGTATCCTTGAGCGATGTTGGGGCTTTGAGACTTACTCTTGGACGTTGCCTGTAGCGCATGTGAGTATAGCGTAGGGAAGGTAGTGGTGGACGAGACTTACCGATGCCGACATACATGTCCGGAGTGATGGGCTCGCCAGCGCCGTAGATAACCTCCTGCGTAAGGTAGGGCGTGCCGTTCAAGCGCGAGGCGATGTTGGAGAGGTCATCGACAGACATATCTGTCCCGATGTTCAGTCAAAGTGACGAAGGCAATCGAGTAGTATATACTCACGCTTTGCTGCGTCAAGACGGAAACCATCAACACCGAGGCTGATCAGGTCGTTGCCGTACTCAGCAAGACGGCTACGAGGGTACTCAGCGCCCGTATCGATGCTACAACGCGTCTATCAGTATACGTCGCACCCATGTGCTCCTGTATACGTACTCAGCGAGGCCATCAAGCTGGCACGTTTGCACCTCAACCGCGTTATCATAGTTCACGATATTGTTGTCCGGCTCGAGCCCGCAATAGTGGAAGTCCTGCGACTCGTAGAACCCGTTGTAGACGTAGTGCGTGTACGATGTGCCCGCGGTACCCGTGCCAGAGTCGCTGCCCGACATGTGATTGAAGACGGCGTCAGCGAGGACCTTGACGCCCGCGGCGTGGCACGTATCGACCATGTTCTTGAACGAGGTGCGGTCGCCGTGGTTGTTCTGGATGGTGTACGAGACGGGCTGTCGCAGATCATCAGCCATCATGTATGCTCGATATGAATGGATGATCATGGAGACGCACCTGGTAGTCGACCCACCACTGCCCACCGGTGATAGTCTCCTGCGGCGGGCTGGTCTGCACGTAGCCGTACCCAGCGGGGCCGAGGAAGTCGGTGCACTCAGAGGCGATAGAGTCCCAAGACCACTGGAACATCTGCACGATCGTCACGTTGGGTCCAGTCGGCCCTACCGCGCGGCGCTGGAGCGCGGGCGGCTGGACGGGACCGGCGGAGACGAGGGTGGCCGCAGCGACGAAGAACGACAGGCGGGAAGCAGAGCGCATGGTGGACAGACGACGACGACGGGATGACCGGGATGAAGCACGCTGTACGAGCCCGCTGAAGACGAGGGGACGACGGCGTGGAGATCTGGAATGGAATGAACGAGCTGTCGTATTTATGCAGGGTACGTGCGTGCGGGTCAGTCGATTTCGGTGCAGGCATATGCGGCATCTCGCAGCCTGGAAACGGACGTCGGCATGCGATCCTTGGGTGCATGTGGTCGGAGAAGTTGCTGAGCCCTGCACGTACGAGATCGGACCCGGCGAACGGAGGTCGCCTGATCATGACGCGGTTTGTGTGGTGGCTGTTGATTCGGACTCGGCACGGTGATGGGCTCGGATGGCCAACTTCACCGATGAGTCTAAGAAGTTCCGGTTCCTAGGACAGCTCAGCGCGTATCTGGCGGCGCTATGGGGATTTGGCAGCCAACGCATGGTGCATGCAGATGCAACATGCCCGTTACACGAATGAAGCTGGGCAGGTAGAATGGTGTCCGGTAAACGTCGTACGCGGCTTTTCGGACTTAGTGGCGGACGACGACGAGTATCAGGTGTTCACTCGGGAGATATAGCACGCTGAGATTATTCGCAAAATATGAGCGTCGAGGCCCAATATGGTAGTGCACGAAGTCAATCCATCCCGAACGAGTGACCAATGTCCAGCCTCCCGAGCCTTCCGAGCATCGAGAGGCACCGAGAGACTTGATGCGTAGTTGGGGACCGCATGGAGGGGGAGCTAAAGCTCGTGCCGTCGTCGTCTTAGGTTCGGGCGCAGCGTAGGCTTCTCATATTCTCGTGCCCCGAATATACTGGATGTGTAGAAAGATGGTATTGAAGTATAGGATTGGAAGGAGAGGGGATGGAGGAGAGAGACAAGTCCGATCGGAGAGGTCGCGCGCGGCTCGGTGGCCTGAGAACCCGATCTCCGTGCAGCGCCGAGCGGTGTCATTCGTAGGTCGTCCATAACTTCCATGTTGCCATAAGTGCTCTGAATCGTTGTTTTCTCTTGTGCTGGCCACTGTCACTGTAAGTCGCAGGTCGGTGGTAAACGCCCGTCACCACGCCCGTCTGCACACCGGGCGAGACCCTGCGTGATGATGATGCTCGATGTTTGCTCGATGCTTGCTTGATGCCTATGGCGACTTGTGGCACTCCAACGCGTACCCGCCTCTCGCCAACATGAACGAGCGCCTCTGTACCATAGTTTTTGTCATGGTCCATTCATGCGATGTCGTCTCCAAAGCACCTTCAGCCGCAACGCGATGCCTCTGGCGACTTGTGGCACTTCAACGCGTACCCGCCTCTCTCAATATGAACATGCGCTTCTTAGACTTTACTATAACTTTTATCATGGCCCATCTATGTGATGTCCGTCCGGCGTGTTCCTAAAGCACCTTCAGCCGCAACGAGAATCAGACTCATGCGCCCTGCACACCGACTCATGGCACCGATGCTCACAAGTAAATGCAGTATGTCTACGAAACTGCATGACCTTCGAATACTCCGCCCAGGCTTCTAAGCTACACGCATTGCGCGACGTTCCATCTGCTCGTTGATCTTCCGATAGGTCAAGTTCGTTCTTGCACTGTATCAGGCCACGGATGCTCAACGGCGGATGGTTATGCTATATGCGAAGCTAGATAATAGCTTCACGCTGTTCATTGAACAAGATGCTTCACGCGGTTCTCATGCCACAACCAATTTCAGCACGGTACGGAGATTTTCATGGATACGTGCCTCTCTTCCGAGCCGGCTTTCCGTGCGATGAAGACAGACAACGAGACTAAGAGTCGGCTGATATCCGCATCCTCAGACAAAGGCATACTTCCTGAGCCGACGAGGAAAGCACACCTGCTCAACATCGGAGGATGCAGCCGGTGGACGAAGGAAGCAAGATGAGCAACGGCGGCGGCGGCATAGAAGGCGGGGCCTGCAAGTTTGGCTCTTACGGCCAGCGGCGTTGTGTGGCGGAGGGCCACCACTTGGGCTGGGCACGTACTTGACGGCTCTGGCTCTCACACCTATCAAGTGAGAAGTCCTCCAGATTCTCGAGCTGCTCAAGCTTCAAGTATCATGGTGAGATACGGGCACGCGCTGAACTCGGCCCATTGTCTTCGAGAGGGAGCGCCAAACGTCGCGGTTCAAGTTGAGCTGCCCGATGTTGATTTGGGGGCCCCAAAGAGAAGGCATATGAGGCTGTGATAGAGCAACGCTATACACGAGCTCACGAGGGTCTCATATGTGAGCAGCACAGGCTCATTTGCCATGGTGAAGAGAGCGAGCGCGAGATGATGGCAGTCGAAGTCAACTCAGATCGGGTGGTCGTGTCGCCACACAGCTGCCCAAAGCGCTGATGAGGAACGTACCACCGAGAGGTTCAAGGTTAGGATAGCCGCTTGAGGTACCGAGTCAGAGCGCTCTATCGGCCCCTCGCCGTACACTCGCACGAGAGCAGTAAATCCGCGTACGACGGACCACAACTCTTTCAGTCAAGGGTGCTATAGGATCGGCCGTTCCGTAGAAGGAGTGCGACTCTTGGGCCCCATTAGGATGCGCCTTTCATCATACTGTCGCCTATAGTAGCTAGAGACAGCGGAAGATCACCGCAAACCGAATACAACCGTCCTTTCACCTCTCGCAGACCGCGGCCTCGCTCCAAGCCATCCCAAAAAGGCAACCCGGGCCGTCCCTCCGGCTGGGGTCGATTTTGCGCGTCGGTTCGGGTCTTTGCCTTCTCTCCACCACCTCCTCATCCTCTCCATCCTCCCTGCCACAACACCACCCAAGAGCGATGTCGAACGTGCCGATCCCGTCCGGGCCCGATCTGACCGCGCCGACGCCGCAGAACACGCCTTTGACGACGGCGCCGATCCAAGCCGGGCTCTCGCGGCCGACGGTGCCGGACATCAGCGAGGACGCGGAGCCCGAGGAGGGCGCCGGCGCTGAGGGCGGCGCGGCGATGCAGGAGGCGATGCTCGGGATGGTTCAGGGCAAGCTGGCCGGGCTCGTGGGCAAGAGCAGCGGATATGTCGAGAGCCTGCCGGATGAAGTCAAGATCGCCGTCGAGGCGCTCAAGGGCGTGCAGGTGAAGCAGAACGAGCTGCAGAACAAGTACAAGCACGAGTGTCTCGAGCTCGAGAAGAAGGTCTATCCCATATTCTTAATTGCGATCTCGCGCGATCTGACTTGCTGTATAGTACTTGGAGCTGTCGAAGCCCCTGTACGCGCGCAGGAACGAGCTTATCACCGGCGCGTCCCAGCCGACGGAGGAAGAGCTCAAGGCGGGCGCGGAGGTCAGCACGAAGGACGACCCCGACGCCGAGCCCTTCACCGCGCCCGCTAACGCCAAAGCCGCGCCGATCCCCGAATTCTGGCTCACCGCGCTCCGGAACCACATCGTGCTGGGCGACCTCATCACCGAGCGCGACGCGGGCGCGCTCAAGCACCTCCAGGACATCAGCCTCGAGTACCTCCCCACGGGCGAAGGAAAGCCCGGATTCAAGCTGTTGTTCAAGTTCGGCCCGAACGAGTACTTCGAGAACGAGGTGCTCGAGAAGACGTATGTGTATCAGGAGGAGGTCGGATACTCGGGCGATTTTGTGTATGATCGCGCGGTGGGGTGTGAGATCAGGTGGAAGGAGGATAAGGACCTCACGAAGGAGTTCGAGATCAAGAAGCAGCGGAATAAGAGTGCGTGCCCCCTCCACCCTCCTTCTCATTTACCGTCGTTCGTTGAGGGCTGACGCGCGATGGTAGACACGAACCGCACGCGCCTCGTCCGCAAAGCGCGCCCGGCCGAGTCCTTCTTCAACTTCTTCGCCCCGCCGACGCCGCCGTCGGAGGAGGCGATCGAGGCGGGCGACATCGACGAGGAGGAGCTGGACGAGCTCGAGGAGAAGCTCGAGATGGACTACCAGATCGGCGAGGACATCAAGGAGAAGATCGTCCCGCGCGCGGTCGACTACTTCACGGGCAAGGCGCTCGAGTACGAGATGATCTCTGAAGATGAGGACGAGGACGATTATGAGGATGTGGATGATGATGAGGATGGGTTCGAGGACGAGGATGTAAGTCTGCGTTTCGGTTATTGTATACTTTGAAACGCTGTGCTTATGCTGATGGGCTAGTAGGACGATAGCGACGATGCGCCCGCGCCCCGCCGTCGCGGCGGGAACAGGGGCCGCAACGCCGGCGCGCAAGCCGTCGACCCGCAGGAGTGCAAGAACCAGTGATCTTCCTCCTCCCCTGCTTCCTTACCCATGGAACCAACGTCAACGTCAAAAGAAATCCAGCATATGCATAAACCATCCTCATCCGCCTCTCATGTACTCCCTCTCTTTCAGTGTCTGTGTATCGGGTCGAATGTGTACACTCATAACAATTTCTTGCTCTCTCCCATTCTCAATTCCAAGGATCAGCTTCTTCCTGTTTTTCTTGCTCGCCTCCTGCTCCGCGATGTCGTACATAATTCCAAGTATAAAATGCAGAACTCAAGGACCAAGCCCAATAACTTCCCAAGCGCCTGCCGTTCACCGATTCACATCAACCCTGCGCGTTACGCGTATGCCCTGTGCCCTTTGCCCAGCTCAGCGTCGCAGTGACTCAGACGAGGTCGCGTGCGCTCGCCATTGCCGCGTTCTTTCCTGTGGCGCTCGGCCTCGTTTCGTTTGACGTGTGCGGGGGCTTTGCACGGTGCTCCGTGTGACCGGGCTTCGTACGTTGTGTCAACGCAGATGATCGAATACATCTTGCGGCAGCCAAATTGAATGTCCGAGAGATACAGAATACACGTGTGTTGTAATCACAAGCACCCGAACACCAATTACCATCCTCCAAACCCCCGAAGCAACAGTTCAGTGTGCCGTATATCATCAACTCGTGTGCGCGGCCTTGATGATATCACCCGCCTTCTCAGCGACTCCATACACCGTCCCGCTCAGATGCGCGCTCAGCTGGATCGGCAAGATGCTCGCGTCCACGACGCGCACGTTGGCCGTGCCGTAGACTTTGAGGGAGGCGTCGACGACGCCGCCGAGGGTGCGGCGGAGCATTGCTGCTGTGCCTACTGTCCGTCAGCACTCTCATAGTATGTATTGGGACCAGAGGGGGGCATACCGATCGGATGCGAATTCGCACCGAAATTACTCAACATCCAGCTCGCCCACTGCGCGTCGCTCGCGTTCTCGGGGACATCCTGCTCCGTCGGCAGCGCGAATCCATCCACTAGCGAGTTTAGAGGTGGGGTGGAGAAGACGGCGCGGGCGAGGCGCGCGGCGGCGATTTGGACTGTGAGGTCGAAGGGGACGGTGAACCAGTTTATGTTGATTGAAGGGGGAAGGAAGGGGTTTGTTGTCTAGAGCGGGTGTAAGTGGCTGGGTGCTAATAAATGAGAACGATGGGCGTACGGATATGAAGACGTTTCCGCGCGAGAAGGGGAGGAGGTTCCAGAGCGCGAAGATCAGCGTGCTGTTCGACGATGTGAGTATACCTCCAAAGATCCCAAGATGCATGGACACGCACTCCGGCGCCTCCTGCACATCATAAAACAGCTCCGCGATCGGCGCTACGCACTCTTGAGCTCTCGAAAACCCAACACGACTCTCCCCCGCTCACCGCTATCATTGGCGATAAGCCCCGCCTGAACTTTGAAGACTTCAAGCAACGCCCCGGGCCCCGCGCCAAAGTTATGCGCCTGTTCCTCCGCCCACGTATCGAGACTGCCGTTCATCTCGTCGATCTTGGCGCTCGCGTTGGCGCCGAAGAGGTCGTAGATGCTCGGGAGCGCGATAACCTATCAATCCAAACTCCACACTTAATATCAACTCGTTCGTCTTGAGGTTAAAGGGAAATATGAAAGTGCACGTACACTGTTCGGCCCCAACCCTCCAGCTTCGAACTCCCCGTTCCCAACCGCAGCCATAACAGCATTCGTCTGCTCCTGCAAGTTCTTCCCTACGCCCTTCAGATCGAGCAACACGTCGATGCCTAAACTCTCAAGAAGAGCAGCGTCGCCGATCCCACTGAGCTGGAGAAGAGCAGGCGTGCGGAGTGCGCCGGCCGCGAGGATGACTTCGCGCGTGGCGTGGGCCGTGTAGAACACCGCTGCATCCTCGTCGATATTCGAGGTTGAGTTTACGGGAGGGGTTGCGGCGAATTGGACGGACGTGGCCGTGAGGTTTGATTGTGATGGGGAAGAGGAGGCAGAGGCAGAGGTGTTGGAGGGGGCGAAGAGGATGCGGGTGGCGGTGTGCTCGACGAGCGTGAGCCAGTTCGTGCGCGCGTGTTCGACGGGCGTGAGGTATGCGGCCGCGGACGAGCTGCGGCTGTCGTTGTCGAACTTGTTCAGGCTCTGCATTCACCCTCACTTCAGCCTTCATGCTCATCTTCAAACACGACAGAGGACGAGATGTACTGACGTCGGGGACGTACACCACGCCATTGGGATTCCCGCCACTGGCGTCTGGTATACGCTTGATACCGGTGATGTTGGAGATGGTGTCGATGAAGTAGGGGTCGGCGGGGCCGTAGAACATATCCGTCGGAAACGCCGCGTGTACGGGCCCGTCGGTGCCGTGGGCTTCTGGCTCGAAGGTGGCGCCGAGCGCGCGCTGGGTCGTGTTGGGCGGGGCGAAGCGCTCTGCCTATCGCAGCAAGTTGATCAGTGGTGCTGAACAAGTACAAGCAGGGACAAGCGGGAAGCGCACCTTCTTCATGTAGTGCTGCAGCCCGTCCCAGTCCCAACCTTTATCCGCGTCCTCGGGCTCGAGGAGCGCGCTGAACGCGTCGTACTGCGCTTTCGCCCCGCGCGTCCACGTCCCGCCGTTGATCGACGAGCTCCCGCCGAGCGTCTTGCCTCTGCAACCCCCACCATCAGCATCCCATCTTGGGTATGATAGCGGTAGAATAACTATGCGCACCCAGAAACGGCCTTCCCATCCACAGTCCCATACGTCCAATCAAGCGCGCTCCCAAGCGCAACCGGAAAATCGACGACGCTCTCGAGCGCGCTCGTGCGGTTGTCTGGGCCCGCTTCTATCACCAGCACGCTGACGTCTGGGTCTTCTGAGAGGCGCCCGGCGAGCGCGAGGCCGGCGGTGCCGCCGCCGAGGATGATGTAGTCGGAGGTTCTGTTGGATGCGAGGGAGGGGTCGGTCGTTACGGCTGCATGGGCGATGTGGGGGAGCGCTGCGAGCCCGAATACTACAGAGGTTAGGAGGGGTAGCATGGAGGGTTACCGGTTAAGCGGTAGCGAATGGTGATGCTTTATAGGCATACTATATATACGCGTGACATGGGGCGGGCCAGGGGCGGGCACGCAGGCCGCGTCTGATGATGCTCGGAGTTGACGCTGAAGGCGTCTGTGGAGTACAGCGCGCGCAGTGTACTGCACTACAGAGTCGCTTGTTGCACTAAAAACACGTCTGTGTTGAAGTGCGGCAAATTTGAGATAATATTGGGCAGATGAGCATGTATCCAGCACAAGATGGTGGTCGTTTGCTCAAGTGGCTCGCTCGACGCGCCGCCGGCCGCAAGGGCCGGATTCCCGAATTCCCATACCGCAGCCGCCACTCACCTTGCTTCCTCCCTGGCTCTCGCTCTCTGCACCCTAAATTGCACGAGTTTCACACAAACTCACCCTCACTACGCCCACACCGAGCACACCGCAAGCAAATAAAATGTATTACACGCTCAACGAGCGTACATATAAAACAGATACTAGACAGACTCATCGTAACATCGTAACACTCAACTTCGCACCTTCACCCTCACCCTGACTGACCTCACCGATACTCAACACTAACATTCTTCGCCACCTCGACCCTGATCCCGTTCAACGGGCTGGAACTAGGCAGCCTGACCGAGTGATACGAGCCCGTAGGATCGACGCCCTTATAATCTGGATCCTCCTGCTCCTGCTCGGCTTCGACGTGAGACTCATTCGGCCGCGAGCGAAGTTCGAAGCCACCGTTTCGGGAGGTGGTGTGGGAGGCGTTGAAGGGCCGCGGGATGCGGACGGGGAGCGCGGGCCCTTTTTCGCTGGAGGTGTAGGCGTTGTTGGACCCGCCGGCTGCGCGTTGGCGGATGTCGAGGATCTGCGGGTCGGGATCGTGTCAGCATTACAAGCAAGATGTGCGTGGTATGTGTAGGATGGCATACCAGGCGGCAGGCGAGGAGGGGGCTGAGGATGATGCTCAGCGGAATCATGATGGCCGACATCTCCGCGTGTGGTCTGTCATCGTCCATCAGCAGCGGCCATCACCAGCATAAGGAATTCTGAAGCTCACTGGAAGTAGAAGATCCCATTGAGCTGCACAACAAAGCATAGAGTTAGAACGTGCGCAAGTACGGAGAACCACGACGGGCACTAACCAAGTTCGCGCCCGAAATCAACAAAAAGTAAAAGATGCCGTTCTTCAAGAACACCTGTATAATATGGCTCGACGGCCCGTTCGCCCTGCGCATCGCGACCGCCTTCCAGAGCGTCGCGACGGTGATGATCGTGTCGAAGCAGAGCGGCGCGACGAAGAAGCCGAGGAGGTGCGCTTGGCCGAGGATCGCCATCGGCAGGCAGGGGCCCGAGACGCCGTTTAAGAATGGGAGCGCTATATATGATGTGGGATGTGAGGAGGGTGGAAGGGATGAGAGGGGAGAGGGGCGCACGGAGCATCTTTGTGGTCAGGGCCCAGAGCTGGTACGAGATGATAGCGCCCAGCATCGACAGGCATACGCCGAGGACGTAGAGGTTGCGGCCGAAGAAGGCGTACGTGCGTACGGTCAAGATCGCTATATCTCATTCAGTGCTCTTCATCGTAGCAGTCTACTGCATGCTATGCCGCACCTTCTGAGCCGACCTGGTTCCACATCGCAAGCGCCACAGGCGACTACATAGGGATAGTGTAAGTGCGTGTGTATAGGTGAGCAGAGGGACAGCGACGCACGCGAAAGATCTTGTTGCACGTATCCTGATCGTGGTCTACGGTATAACACCAGAGCACATATGGTATGATACAGATGACCCAGTATCGCGTGAACCTAACATCGACCATGTCAGCATACACTCTCTCGTCCATGAACTGATAGAACGTACAGGTACAAAGCTTTCACGGGCGTCCACTTCGTCTTCCAGATCTACACATTCCTTGTGAACCGAGCGGATGAGAGGTAGAAAGCGGACGGTACGCACGAGTCTGTACTCCGACAGAATGCCGGTAATCCAGTCCCAGATGAACACAGCATACATGCAGCAGAAGTGGATCTGCGTCCTACCCGAGTCGTTCGTGTCATCAGCGGCGAGCTAGCATCGTTACTTAGAAGAGTGAACGCACGCGAAGAGGAAGCGCGTCGCGAGGTTGATGTCGATTGTGGCCATGACCGCCAAGATGCCAGTACGCGGAGCTGAGGAAGACTAGGTGTACAACAAGCCGCGAACAGAACTCTCGTGAAAGCCGGCCGGAGGAGCAACGAAGGGGCTCAGAGAACGGGATCCGGCGACACCGGAGGCTGAGTGCAAAAGAAAGCCCTGCCATAGCCCCGCGCATCGCTCATATATACCGCCGTGCATCCCCGGCACATCATGAGGGCGTTGTGGCGAGGGTCTTGTACAGATGGTTCGAAATCCGTAGAGAAGAAGATTGGAAGAAGGCCAAAACGAAGGCCAATTGATTGTTGGTGCGCTGTATATAAGGTGTTTGATGGAGGCGCTTCTTACCGCCGGCTGGCGACTGCGAGGTTCTGATCAGATAGTGTTGTATGACCAGGGCGGGGTGCACTAGGATGCATAGACGTACTGTATTGTGCTCGAGAGGTAGCGTGGAGGTGAAGAGCCCGCACCCGAGGAGAGGTTGTGCGGGCAGTTTGAAGAACTGTAGGGAGAGAACGCATCAGTCCGACGTGTACAGATGTCACAGTAGCTTCGTCGGCTCAGGAAGATATGCGGTCCCAGAGGAGAGGCGCACGAGATCAGGGCGACCCAGCCGACTCAATTGCAGCGAAAGTGCATATACGTACAAAAGCCTCGTCAGGCGCTTTCAAGGTTAGCTTGACCTTGATTCGCTAAACGAAGCTGAAGGTCGTACGCAGACCAGCAAGAGCTAATGTAAGCAGTATATGTGGTAGAGAACTCAGTGAACGCAGGAGTACTTACCGTGCTCATCAGACTCGAGTTGGCACGCTCCTCGTTCGCGGAGTTAGCTTCGCCGAGCGGCGCAGTCGACTAAATGTCTAGGAGATTAGGTTTTTGAGGTGGTAAGGCAACCATCACAAGCCCCTGCCGCAGGCCGCCGAAGTCCGTGGACCTTCTAGTCCATCCCGGCCAGACCATCGCACCTGCGCGATACCTTCATGCTCATGCACCATGTCGAGAGTCTGCGATACAGGATCCAAAGCCTGTGAGCCTTGCAGAGAGCACTTGCTGGTGGCACAGACTGGATCGAATAGACATATGTGCTTCGGCGTACAGCAAACTTTTCTGTGGCATTCTCAGACAACTAGACGCGAACCCTACTTCCGAAGGTCGCACTTCAGCAATCTTCCTTGTATGCCGCCTTGATGATGTCGGCAGCCTTCTCCGCGATGCCATATATCGTCGACGAGAGGTGCGCGCTCAGCTGAATAGGCACTATACTAGCGTCGACGACTCGAAGGTTCTCCGTGCCGTAGACACGCAGCTCAGCGTCAACAACACCACCGAGCGAGCGCCGCATCATCGCAGCCGTTCCTAACATCAAAAGAGCATCTCAGCAAGGCTGCAATAGAACTTCGTCGCATGTGCGTACCGATGGGATGGGAGTTCCCTTCGAATGCCTGTAGAATCCATTCTTCCCAGTCCTCGTCGGTCGCGTCCTGCGGGACCATCCCGAGTGTCGGTATAGCGAGCGTTCCATTCGTGATGTTGCGCATCGGTGGCGCTTCGAAGATCTGGCGGATGAGACGAGCACCCGCGACTTGGACGGTCATATCGAAAGGCACACTGAACCAGTTGACTGAGATCGACGGTTGATGGAATGGGTTGGTAGACTGTAATTGTAGAGAATGAGCTCATGCAGGACGACATGGGAGATGTCCGCACGTTTATAGAGACGCTTCCCCGGGAGAAGGGCAAGAGGTTCCACGTGGCGAGCTTCAATGTCCTTTAGGGTTAGGGTTAGATCAGCCGGCCTTGCACTCAACGAATTAAACGAGACGACGTACGACGGTGCCATAGACAGATCATAGTACAGCTCCGCTATCGGCGCTGTGTGATTGTTAGACCCAGATGGAGCTTCGCACACGATAGACTCGTCGCGCACCATGATCTTCGACGATCGCGTTCGTCACCAGCTTGAACACATCCATCAACGCGTTCGCGTCTGCGCCGGTGTTATGCGCTTGACTCTCAGCCCATCCGCGCAGGCTCTTCTCAATTTCATCAACCTTCCCACGCGCTTTTGTCCCAAAAAGCTCGTATATGCTTGGGAACGCGACAACCTGAGAATGACAAATCCGTATCAGAATGGCCGGCACTCTCGAGGCCGATTAAGCACGTACAGTGTCTGGTCCACCCCCACCAAACTCCTCGGCGAGTCTTGCGCTCCCAAATGCGGTGAGACCCGTATTCGTTTGCTCCTGCAGGTTCCTTCCCACGCCCTTCAGATTGAGTAGCACATCAATGCACAAGCTGCGCAGAAGCGCCGCGTCGCCGATGCCGCTCAGCTGCAATAGTGCTGGCGAGCGAAGAGCGCCTGCCGCTAGTATGAATTCACGTTTGGCGTACGCCGTGAAGATCGCGGTATCCGAGAGTGATGGTGTGGTGTTAGCCGGCGGCGTAGCAGCGAACTCGGCGCCTATGGCTCTCAACGGAGAGGAGTTTGAGAAGAGTATTCGGGTGGCGGTGTGCTCGACGAGAGTGACCCAGATGGGGCGAGTGTCTTCTACGGGCGTAAGATAGGAAGCAGCGGACGAGCTCCTGCTGTCGTTATTGAACTTGTTGAGGCTCTATATGCGCGTACTCTCAGCATGATACGGTAGAAGTAGGCGAATTGGTGCCTACAATAGGGTCGTAGACAGCACCATTAGCGTTCCCGCCATGGATGTCGGGTATGAGTCTGATGCCCGTTAGGTTGCGCACTGTATCAACAAAGAGCGGATTCGCGGGTCCGGTATACATCTTCGTGGGAAACGCCGCATGCACGGGCCCTTCGAAGCCGTGAAACGCTTCCACGAAGTTGGCGCCTAAAGCGCGCTGTATAGCGTCTGGTGGCGAGAAATGCTCCGCCTGTATGTGTGTATCAGTGGGAGAAATGATGAGGATAGTAGGCCATTGGTGTCATACCTTCTTCATGTAATGAGATAGTCCTTGCCAGTCCCAGCCTTTGCCTGCGTCTTTGGGTTCAAGGAGCGCTGTGAATGCATCATACTGAGCCTTCTGTCCGCGAGTCCACGCTCCGCCATTGATTGCAGAGCTTCCACCGAGCGTCTTCCCTCTGCCCGAATGACCTCGTCAGTTAGCAATCTCCTGAACAATGACCTCACGATGCACGCTCACCCTCTGATTCGCTTGTGGTCAACAGTCTGATACTGCCAATCAAGAGCCGTACTGAGTCCAATCGGATAGTTTACTACACTCTCGAGCGGGCTTGTGCGGTTATCAGGTCCAACTTCAATCACCAGCACGCTTACGTGCGGATCCTCACTCAAACGACCAGCAAGCGCGAGACCCGCAGTGCCACCACCAAGGATGATATAGTCGAAAGACCTATTGGCAACGTGGCTAGCGTTGCTCGTTACACCTGCCCACACAAAGGAGAGGCCTATCAATGGCAGGAGAGCAACGAGCAGCAGCATAGTCGCATGGGCGACGCTTGAGGCAAGAGACCCTCTTGTATGCGCACTCCATCATCGCGAAGATAGGGCACGAGACGGCACCGGTGCGCGCCTTTGCGCGCTCCGGGCATCTCTCGTGATCGCAGAAGCATGGTTGTGAGATGTGCGAACTAGCAGCGTGTCACGTTGTCCTCGCTTCCCAGACTTCAGATCACGAGCAAAGGCGTAGAAGGATATATGGATGGTCATCATGACCGTACAAGGTCTAGACACAAGTGGCCACGATCTGTAGCGGACTGTTTGAGGCTCACAATCAATGCTACACGCGCACGGGGATCTACGGTAAGTTTGTCAACTTCAATTCTCGCCTAGGAGTAAACATGGCGGTAGACGCACATTCGCGGATACCTTACACCGCGGCCGAATGGCCAGACCTATCTGAAGAAGATCGGATCAGCCAAGACTACTCGAGTTGGTAGGGAAAAGGAAGATGCGATATGTCCATAGCGTACATTGTGCGTCAGAGCTGATCGCTGTTTAGATTCAATAATCGCCCGGTCCGTTATGCGCCGCCTTGATGATATCAGCAGCCTTCTCCGCCACCCCATACACCGTCGACGAAAGATGTGCGCTAAGCTGGATAAGGCAAGATGCTAGCATCGACAACACGCAGGTTCTCCGTTCCGTACACTCGCAACTCAGCGTCCACGACACCGCCGAGTGAGCGACGCATCATCGCGGCCGTACCTACAATCGCAATGACTGAGCAAGATCGAAGCAAGGATTCGCAGTGAAATGAGCGTTTGCACGCACCGATAGGATGGGCGTTACCCTGGAACGCTTCCAGGATCCACCCTTCCCAATCCACATCGCTCGCGTTCTGTGGTACCATATCAAGAGTGGGTACAGAGATCGTTCCGTTCGTTATATCGCTCATGGGCGGTGTCTCGAAAATACTGCGCACAAGGCGTGCACTGGCGACTTCGACGGTCATGTCGAAGGGATCGCTGAACCAGTTCACTGAGATTGATGGTGGGAGGAAGGGATTCGTAGACTAGACCAGAGGGATCAGCTCATGCGGATTGGAAAGAAAGATGTCCATACGTTTATGGAGACATTTCCGCGAGAGAACGGCAGGAGGTTCCACGTTGAGAGCTTCAGCGTCCTTTAGGGTTAGGGTCAGATCATCTTCTTTCCCACCCACCAACGACGCTGACGCGACGACGTACGTGGGCGCGTGGGAAAGGTCATAGTGTATCTCCGCTATAGGTGCTACGAGATCATCAGTCCTAGCTCATACTTCGTCGATGATCTGGCTGGTGCGCACCATGATCCTCAACAATCGCCTTCGTCACCAGCGTGAATACATCCTTCAACGCATCGGCGTCTGCGCCGGTGTTATGCGCTTGACTCTCCGCCCAATCGTCCATGTTCTTCTCAATTTCATCAACCCGTTCTGTCGCGTTCTTCCCAAAGAGATCGTATATACTCGGAAACGCGACGACCTAGAGTTGCAGTGCAGCATCATGTTAGCATGAGTGGCACTTCCGAGCGTTGGCTGTAGACGTACAGCGTCTGGTCCACCGCCACCAAACTCCTCCGCCAGCTCCGCGTTCCCAAATGCAGACAAGCCCGTATTCGTCTGCTCTTGCAGATTTCTTCCCACGCCCTTTAGGTCAAGTAGCACATCAATGCCCAGACCGCGCAGAAGCTCCGCGTCGCCGATGCCGCTCAACTGAAGCAGCGCCGGCGAGCGGAGTGCACCGGCCGCAAGAATCACTTCGCGCTTGGCGTGGGCCGTGAAGATCGTGGTAGCCGAGAGTGCTGGCGTGGTGTTGACGGGCGGGGTGGCGGCGAATTGGACGCCTACTGCCCGGAGTGAAGAGGAGTTGGAGAAGAGTATCCGAGTGGCGGTGTGCTCGACGAGTGTGTGCCAGTTCGGGCGGGTGTCTTCGACGGGCGTGAGATATGAAGCAGCAGACGAGCTCCTGCTATCGTTGTCGAACTTGTTCAAGCTCTGTATGCACATGCCATCAGCAACCATCCTGTATCCAAGTTGGTGTAAATGGATACTCACAATGGGAACGTACACAACACCATTCGGATACCCGCTGTGAACGTCCGGTATAAGCCTGATATCCGTCAGGTTGCGCACTGCATCCACAAAATACGGATTCACGGGCCCGGTGAACATATGCGTAGGGAACGCCGCATGCACAGGCCCCTCGAACCCATGAAAGCGCTTCACAGAGTCGGCTCCCAGCGCGCGCTGCACAGCATTCGGCGGCGAGAAGTGCTCTGCCTATCCTCGAAAGTCAGCTTGAGATCTAGCCGAACAGTCTGCGGCACACCTTCTTCATGTAATGGGACAACCCGTCCCAGTCCCATCCTTTGCCCGCGTCCTCAGGTTCAAGCAGCGCCGCAAACGCATCGTACTGCGCCTTCTGCCCGCGCGTCCACACACCGCCATTGATCGCCGAGCTCCCTCCAAGCGTCTTTCCCCTACCCAATCACAATTGATCAGCTTATGACGAATACACTCTGCAGTAGGCGCTCACCCTCGGATCCTCTTCCCGTCAACAGTCTGATACAGCCAATCGAGCGGTGTACCCAGTCCGACCGGATAGTCCACGACGCTCTCGAGCGGGCTCGTACGGTTGTCCGGGCCGGCTTCGATCACTAGTACACTGACATCCGCGTCTTCGGTGAGGCGCCCCGCGAGCGCGAGGCCGGCGGTGCCGCCGCCGACGATGATGTAGTCGTATGATCTGTCCGCAACATCAGTAGCGTCGTTCGTGACCTCAGCCGAGACGGAGAGGAAGATCAGCAAGAGTTGGGCTGTGAGTAACAACATAGTCGCCTGAGTTTGTGGGATGATGCTCGCCGCTTTGTACGAGCTCGCTCGGTATCAGCACGGGACTCGATGCGGCGCCGGCACCCATTTTTGCGCGCTCCGCGATGTTCGGACGCTCGCCGGGGGATGATGGCGGGAGGCTTGGATAGGCGTCTCGCCGTGTTGCCGTTGCTTTTCGGAATTCAGGCCGTATGCAAAGGGTAGAGATGTTGGTACCAAGTTTCCGATGCATAGGCCGGTGATTCAGGGTGCACGGGGACCTGAAGCCATCGTGAGCATGTGTTGACGAGTGAAGACAACCTTAGACTCACAGTGGCAAATGCATCACATCACAGTACACTAGTCAACGTACTGAATGGGCCAATGTCAGCTGAATCCCTCCACAACGCGCCTCTCAAGCACATACCTCATCCTCACACACCCTTCACTCCCCCTCGCCACCCTTTCGACTCCACGCCTCTTTAATGATATCAGCCGCCTTCTCCGCGACCCCATACACCGTGCTCGACAAATGCGCGCTAAGCTGGATCGGCAGTATACTGGCATCGACCACGCGCAGATTCTCCGTGCCGTAAACTCGCAATTCGGCGTCAACAACACCGCCGAGCGCGCGCCGCATCATCGCGGCCGTCCCTATCCACCAACGCGTACGTCAGACACCAATCCCCATACAGCGATAGCGTAGTTATAGCAATAGCGAGGATTGAGGGTGGAAAGGGGGAGAGGCGTAGGCGTGAATGGTGTCTGCAGAAGAAGGACGCACCAATCGGATGCGAATTCCCCTCGACCGCGCCCAAAATCCACTCCGCCCACTCCGCATCGCTCGCGTCCTCCGGCACCTCATCCACGCTCGGAATCGCCGGGCCGCCCGTGATCTCGCTCAAGGGATAAGTGGAGAAGATGCTGCGCACGAGGCGCGCGGCGGCGATCTGGACGCGCATGTCGAATGGGATGCTGAAGAAGTTGGGCGCGATGAGGGGCGGGGCGAGCGGGTTCGTTGTCTGCGTGTTGCGTGAGCTGTGAGTTCGAAGAGAAGAGCAGAGGGGAGAGGGAGGGGGAGGGAGGGGAAAGAGAAGGGGAGGGGGGCGTACGCTGATCGAGACGTTCCCGCGCGAAAACGGCAGGAGATTCCACAGCGGAACAGCGACGTACACCGGCGCGTCGTCCAGGTCGTACCACAGCTCCGCCAGCGGCGCTACGCCCCCATCAGCATCAGCCTCTTGCACCTCTCACCGCCAGAGCGATGTCGGCTCACCGCTGTCGTTGACGATGATCCGCGCCTGCACGCCGAACACCTCGCGCAGCGCCGCGGGCCCCGCACCGGTGTTACGCGCCTGGCTCGCGGCCCACTCGTCCAGCCCCGCCTCAATCTGTGCGATGTGTGCGCTGGCGTTGGCGCCGAAGAGGTCGCGTATGCTCGGAAACGCAATGACCTATCACCCCACCCCAGTCAGACCACCTCTTCGTACAGAGCACGTAACTCAGAAGGACGAAGAAAAAACGCACACTGTTCGGCCCAACCCCGCCAAAGGGAAAGCCGCCCTGTCGTCCGTACGCCGCGAGCGCGCTATTCGTCTGCTCCTGCAGATTCCGCCCCACGCCCCCCAGATCGCGCAGGACCTCTATCCCGAGACGCTCGAGCAGCGCCGCGGGGCCGACGCCGGAGAGCTGGAGAATCTGCGGCGTGCGGAGCGCGCCGGCTGCGAGGATGACTTCGCGGCGCGCGTGGGCCGTGTAGTACACGACATCTGATTGGGAGAGGGACGTGGATGCGTTGAGGGGCGGCGTGAGGGCGAATTGGACGGATGTTGCGCGCAGCGGTGCGGAAGAGCAGGTGTTGGTGGGGGAGGACGGGGAGAAGAGGATCCTAGTGGCGCTGTGCCCGACGAGCGTAAGCCAGTTCGGCCGCGCGCGCTCGACGGGCGTGAGGTACGCGCTCGCGGACGAGCTCCGGCGGTCATTGTCGAACTTGTCCAGGCTCTGCGCCTCACCAGTCAGCCCCGCGCTACAGCACTTCGACCTAATTCCTGAGTACTTACGGTGGGGACATACACGACGCCGCGCGGGTCCCCGGCGCTCGCGTCGGGTATGATGGGTATGCCCGTGACGTTCCGCACGGTGTCGACGAAGAACGGGTTCGCGGGGCCCGTGAAGAGGTCCGTGGGGAAGGCCGCGTGGACGGGGCCGGCGCGGCCGTGGGCGGGGGGGACGGAGGTGTAGTTCAGGGCGCGTTGGGTCGCGTTCGGCTGCGTGAAGTGCTCTGACTGACATCTACATATGAGTTTTTGCGAGGGAGCGGGGCAGGGCACGGACCTTCTTCATATAATACAGCATCCCCTCCCAGTCCCACCCTTTATCCCTGTCTTCAGGCTCCAAAAGCGCGCCAAAAGCGTCGTACTGCGCCCTCGCGCCCCTTGTCCACGTCCCGCCGTTGATCGCCGAGCTCCCGCCCAGCGTCCGTCCCCTACACCCCGCACAGTTGTCAGTCAACACCCTCTCCCCGTCCCCATCGCATCTGAATACGGAGGGGGTGCGCACCCGTGTATAGTCTTCCCGTCCACCGTCTCATACGCCCAATCAAGGCCCGAAAACAGCCCGACGGGAAAATCGACGATGTTCTCGATCGGGCTCGTGCGGTTGTCCGGCCCCGCCTCGATAACGAGCACGGTTACGTGTGGATCTTCTGTTAAGCGCCCGGCGAGCGCGAGGCCGGCGGTGCCGCCGCCGAGGATTATGTAGTCGAAGGTCCTGTTCGCTGCGAGGGACGCGTCGGCTGTTACGCCCGATGCATTCGCGTCGGATGTTGCGTTGGAGGCGGGGTTGGGGGCGGATGGTGTGAGTGCGAAGACGGAGGGGAGTGCGAGGAGGTGGAGGGGTGGACGCATGGAGGTCTGGATTCGAAGGGAGGTCAAGGAGGTGGACGTGCTGGGCGTCTGTGCTTTGTATCAGTGTATCAAAAAGAAGAGCCCGCGTTGTAGGACACGGGACCGTGCCGGTGCGCGTAGCCGTGTACTCTATCCGTACTTGAATTGGGACAGCGACTCGTGATGTGTGGGGATCTACGCTGGATCTGCGCCGTGGAAAGGCCGTCGCTGAGGCACCCGAGCGTGGACGGTGCATACAACGCTAAATTGCCTGATAGGCGCTGAGGGCTGAGGGCCGAAAGCGAGGGTCAGCACGGGAAAGTGAGTGGAGGTTTGTGGCCCCGAGGTCGATACCGAGCTGCATCCAGCTGAAGGCGAAGCCACGCGATGTCGGACAAGCACGAAGCTTCAATATGAGGCTGAGAGATGGATATCACTCGAGCGTGCAAGTGCCAGATCAATGGTGTGCAACATTGTAACTCATACGGACCCGAGGTGCCTGGCGGACGTCGAGTCGAAGACTCGAAGCGCGCGCTCCGCGTCGGCAGAAGCACGGACAATGCCGAGAGCGTGCGAAGGTTAACCTCTTGCGGCGATGTCATACATATGCACTCGTGAGTGAGAGGGCGATGTCCATGTATCTAGTACAGCAACCCAAACTACCACGACCCTAACTTCTCCAAGCACCCTTAACAATATCAGCAGCCTTCTCCGCGACCCCATAAACCGTACTGCTCAAATGCGCGCTAAGCTGGATCGGCAGTATACTGGCATCGACAACGCGCACGTTCGCCGTCCCGTACACTTTCAGATCGGCGCCGACGACGCCGCCGAGCGCGCGCCGCATCATCGCGGCCGTGCCTTCCCATCCTATCCATCAACACCTTCGCAATGCCACAGCACTCATTTGACAGGGCGTACCGAGCGGATGCGAGTTCCCCTCAAACGCGCCCAAAATCCACTCTGCCCACACCGCATCGCTCGCGCCCCTCGGCACCACATCGAAGCTGGGCAGCGCCTCCGTCCCGTTCGTTATGTCCCTCATCGGTGGGGTCTCGAAGACGGAGCGCACGAGGCGCGCGCCGGCGAGCTGGACGGACATGTCGAAGGGGACGGAGAACCAGTTTGGGGAGATTGATGGGGGGGCGAAGGGGTTGGTTGACTGCGACAATTTGAGCTTGAGTACGAAATATCGTTGAGGGAAGTACATACTGTGATGGAGATTGTTCCGCGGGAGAAGGGGAGGAGGTTCCAGTGCGGGACTTGGATCGTGCTGCTCGACGATCAGCACATCTGAGTCACATCTGGACGAGATTGGTGCTCACGTCGGTGCGAGCGACAGATCATAGTACAGCTCCAAAATCGGCGCTACATCCCCTCATCATCAGTCCAAGCCCACTCAACGAGTGCATGCAACGTACCGTGGTCATCCACGATCGTCCCCGCAACCACCCCAAACACCTCGCGCAGCGCCCGCGCATCCGCACCCGTATTACCCGCCTGACTCTCCGCCCACGCCTCCAAGTTGGACTCAATCTCCCGCACCTTCGCGCTCGCGTTCTGTCCGAACAGCTCGTAGAGACTCAACATCGCGACCACCTACGCCCACCCCCACATCAACCACACTTCACTTCACGAAAAGGGATAGAGCGCACAGTATCGGGCCCCCGCCCCCCAAACGCCCCCTCAAACCCCCCGCCCCCAAACACGCCCATGACAGCATTAGTCTGCTCCTGCAGATTCCTCCCAACACCCCCCAACTCAACCTTTACCTCAATCCCCAGACTCTCCAACATCGTCCTGTCGCCGATCCCGCTAAGCTGCAGCCATGCGGGCGTGCGGATCGCGCCGGCTGCGAGGAGGACTTCGCGGCGGGCGTGCGCGGTGAAGATTACCGTCTCGTCGATAGGGGTGGAGGTGGAGGCGTTGGCGGGGGGCGTGCGGCCGAATTGCACGCTCGTTGCTTTCAGTGGTTGTCCAGGGGATGGCGGGGAAAAGAGGATCTTCGTGGCTGTATGCTCGACGAGCGTGAGCCAGTTGGTTCGGGCGTGCTCGACGGGCGTCAGATATGCCGCCGCGGACGAGCTCCGGCTGTCGTTGGCGAACTTGTTCAGGCTCTATAATGCATCACCATTCAACATTGACTACGTTGATCTGAGAACCGTAGGCGTACGATGGGATCCCAGACAACACCATTCGCCTCTCCACCACTAATATCAGCTATAAGCTTCACACCCGTAAGATCGCACACGGTATCGACCAAAAAAGGGTTCGCGGGCCCGACGAAGATGTCCGTCGGAAACGCGACGTGCACGGGCCCGTCGTAGCCGTGGTACGCGGCGACGGAGTTGGCGCCGAGTGCGCGCTGGGTGGCGTTGGGCGGGGAGAAGCGCTCTGCCTGTCGTTTGATGGTGAACGTTAGCGAGATGATTGCGAATGTTAGCGAGGATGATAGGATGTTAGCGAGATGGTGCTAGGGTAGAAATGGGGAGGGAGAGGGAAGAGAGACCTTCTTCATATACCGAAACAGACCCTCCCAGTCCCACCCCTTATCCTTATCCTCAGGCTCGAGCAGACTCGCAAACGCATCGTACTGCGCCCTCATCCCGCGCGTCCACGACCCGCCGTTGATCGCCGAGCTCCCGCCGAGCGTCCGCCCCCTACACACCCCATCAACATCATCCTTCCCTCCAATCCTCAATCCCAATCAAAAAAGCAGGACGCACCCGTGTATAACCTTCCCATCCACAGTCGCATACGCCCAATCGAGCGCCGACCCAATTCCAACCGGAAAGTCTACGACCTCTTCGATCGGGCTCGTGCGGTTGTCCGGCGCCGCCTCGATGACCAGTACTGTGACCGATGGGTCTTCGGTATTAATGTGCGGGGGCTCGGAGAGGCGGCCGGCGAGCGCGAGGCCGGCGGTGCCGCCGCCTATGATTATGTAGTCGAAGGTTTTGTCGAGGGCGAGGAGGGGGTCGGATGTTACGGCTGCTATGACTGTGAACGGAAGAGCCAGGTAGAGGATGAGGTGGATGGGGAGCATGGTCGTGCGTCGCTTGCTCGCTGGGATTGTCTCGTCGACGAAGTAGGCTACTCTTTGTATGCGCGCCGTGTACGCGCTTGTATGATCTGTACGATCTCAATGCCACGGGGCCGTAAGGCGGACGTGCTAGGCGTAGAGCTTGATGTATGCAGACCATCTAAATGGCCGGGTCGTCACGAGCACCTGCTTCTCCACATACATAGAAGCGTCCGACGACGGATGGGGTAGATAGCAAAGAGTGTATTCACAGCAGATGCAAAACCCAGATACAGTACGTACACACGGAACAAATCGACATGACACAAATACACACCGAGCCTCGTGCGACTCTCAACCGGGGAGAACCTAAGGATGTTGGTCAGCAGAACGTTCGGGGAAGAAAGGGACGGCAGGCGAGCGAGTCAGCTAATCGATGCATTTCAACGAGTGCCGCGCCCATCCCCACTTTGTACACGGGGGACTTCGCGGGCGCGGCACATTGTGTCCGCCCATCGGGATTATCATCGTACGCAGGTCCACCCAGACCCAAACCCAAACCCACACGAGAAAAGCTACTCACCACTATAACCTTAGCCCCCTTACTCCTTCCATCCTACCACCGCCGTCGAGATCTGGAGAAGACCGGTCAGCTGAGCGTCGAGGCGGGAGAAGCAGGGGGGAGGGGGTCAGACAAGGCTGAAATCGATATAGGTGTTCCACACGGTGGTTCGGAATGTGGTAAAGTATGGTTGTTATGTTGGATCATCACTGTCGCCCGTACGCGGACGAGAAACAAAAACGGGGGGGTGAGGAGTTGGGAGCTCACCTCGCTAGCGTCTTGAAGCTGACATTCAACTAAGAGGGCAGGTAGAGCGGTTTACGGTAGTGATGTAGGGAGAGGAGGAACGTCAGGTAGACGTGTACACGGAGGACATCAGGCGGGAGAAGGTGGTGGTCGCCGTCGCAGGCGCGGCGAAAAGAAAATTCACGGCGAGGTCAACGTTCGCACGCTCTCGGCAATGCCCGTGCTTCCGCCGCCTCGATTTGATAGCTACCAGCGTCCACCATGTACGAGTACTGGATTTACATCGTCGATGATCAATTGGCCTATGCGCAATATTTGGCGCTGACATGGCAGTGCGCTGTTGCTCCTTACGGGTCCGTTCAATGCCTCGTAGCACCTCGCCGCTCGACGTGAGCTTCGGGGCCACAGACCCCCATTCCCGAATAAACATTCTCTCTCGGTTCCATCTTCTATCGTACAGCTAACGTTGTACGCTGCACTCACTCTCGGCCCTCCAAGCGACGCGTAGATCCCCATACATCACATGTCGCCCTCCCAATCCAAGTACGGCTCACAAGCATCACAGTCTACGGCCACGCGCTCCGGACACGGTCCACGACGCGCGTCCTTCTCTCTGATAACTCATCCCAAACAGCTCGTAGGTGTCGACTTACGCGTGCGTGTATGGAACGGCGAACGTGCGCGTTGTCGATGCAAGTATACTGCCTATCCAGCTCGGCGCGCATCTGAGCAGCACGGTTTATGGGGCCGCGGAGACGGCGGCTGATATCACAAAGACCTTCTACGCCCTCACCAGTCGAAGTCTATAATCACGATTCGCTGTACATACACACACTTGCATCGCCAATTGACAACCGGAGGAAACTAAGGAAACTCCCGCACGTCCCCCGCCTCCCAGAACCCCGACGCCATATACCGCATCTCGACCTCGCCAAACACCTCGACCCTCCTCGTCTCGAAAAAGCACAATTTCCTAAACAACCTGATGCTCGCCTCGTTCTTCTCCGAGATGCGCGCGACGAAGCGGCGCTGGTCGCGGATGGGCAGGGGGCTGTGTGTGCTGGGCGGCGCGTGCAGGGCGTAGGCGAGCGTGAGGGATATGGCGCGGTGCGCGAGGTGCTGCCGGCGGTATGCTTTCTCTGCCGTGGACGAATTAGTGAGATGTGAAGAGGAGGGGAGATGAGGGGAGGAGGGGAGGGAGAGGGGGAGGGGACGCACCGGCGATCATAACCTCGACCTCGACCTCGAACTCCTCGTCGCCTTCTTTACCCTTGAAGAACAGGTTCACGTCGCCGACCATGGGCAGCGCGCGGAGTGCCGCGTCCGAGAGCTCGCCCTCGTCCGGCGGGAGGCGGGCGAGGATTATGAACGTCAGCTCTGCACGTCAACAACGACCATCATAAGCGTTCGTAATTCGTACTTGGTGGTTCAGAGTGGAATAAAATGGAGGGGGGGAGGGGGGAGGGGGGAGTATAGACGCACTGTCGTCGTCCTCGGCCCACCGGCGCTGCATATCGTACTCCTCCTCGAGCGTCAGAGGCTCGCTGGCCGTCTGCTCTTGCAGCTCGGGATCTTGCATCCATTCGTGGTACTTCTGCACCATCCTTCAGTTCCCCGCCTTGTGTAATGTAGGGAGGTGGAAGTAGGATACGCACGGCGACGTGCTCCTTCCTAAACGCTCAAGATTCAGAATAAGGCGGTAGATCTCGAGCCGGTAGCGGAGCCGGGGACGGACCGGTACGGGACGAGCACGACGCGGTCGGAGACGATCGCTATGTTCTGGTTTGCGAGCATCGTGCGTGGATGGGTGGCGATGTCAGGAGGGGTAGAGATGGGGGGAAGAGGGAGAGGGAAGAGAGATGGGAGGGTGGAAGAGGGCGATCATCTTGGTTCAGGGCAAGGCGACTGCGCGACTGGACGCGTCGAGGCGTTTGGCTCGGGACCACCACCATCCTTTGCACAATACACTTGATTTCTGCCAGACCCTCTGCGTGATCTCCAATAATGCACCTCAGGTGCTCTCATATGTCATTCCAACACATACAAGTACAAGTACAAGTGTCAAGAACAAGACGCATTCACTCCGCCCCCTCAAGCCCAAGCGCGCCCCTCGGAAAATGGCAATACAGCGCCCCCTTCTCCCCCTCGCACACATCGCCCCACCGCTCCCGACTCAACCAGCCCCTCACCTCCACACAGTTCCTTAACATCTCGCCCCGCGCCGGCGCGAAGCTCGCGCGGAACGTCATCCGGTCCACGCTCCACGTCGCGCCGTAGTACCTGTGCGCCGTCCGCTGCCGCCCTTCCAAACCCTGCCGCCCTTCCAGTATCTGTCGCCTTTCAATCAGCTTTTGCGCACCCTCGAGAGCGGTGTGTAGACTCACGTCGTCGTCCCCGAGCTCCCACCGCCCCCCATCCACCACGATCACCCGCCTCCACTTCCCATTCGGGCCGCGCGCCCACGCCACTTCGCCCACTTTAAACGCGCGCTCGTCTTCCTCCTCCATCCGCGCGCGCGTCAGCGCGAACGGGCCCGTCGGCATTTGCGACGAGGTGATGTGCGAGCGGGTCTTGGTGATGCGTATCGCGATGCTGGTGTCTGGCACTGAGGTTTGACTCTGAGGCACCGCGACGGTGCGGGTGCTGCTGGACAGGACGCTCGCGATCGACGGCATTCCCATCCGCGTCCCCATCCCTTTGGCTCTGATATCGCCCAGAGAGGACAGCTTGCGCAGCGCAGTCGGCCCGGATGCGGACGGCGGCGGCGGCGCGAGCGACTCTGCGGATTTGTTTCTGGGGAAGAGGGCGGAGATGTTCAGGTTGATGCGGGACATCGGTGCTGCTAGATGTTGCGGGTGGAGAGGATGGAGCGTGCTAAGCGATGCAGAGGCGTTCTTATAGGATTGAGAGGGGAGGAGGGGAGTGGCACCTCCTTTGTCCTGGGCCTTTGTCCTCGACCTTGGGCGTGGACGATGGGCTGTGGTGGTGTGGTCGTGGGCCGAGCGGCGCGTGGATTGCCTCTGTCCTGTCCGGTTCGCGCGAAGTGGTTGTTTGGATTCGTGGTCCTGGCTCTGGTGGTTCGCACTGGTGAAAGCATGCCGAACTGGTATGTTTTCTCCTCATCAAGCGCACTCATATATTCATAGCTCACATCCTTTTCCTCAGCCAAAGCTACGGCTGTAAATCGAGCAGGCGCTCGATGTCCGAGGGCATCTATATGACAATCTGCTCCTTACCCGACCCTATTCTGCTCCGGCGATTCGCCCATACAGTTTCAAGAAACGTGTGTGGCATATATGCGCGATGGTACGTGCACACTTCTCGTGCGATACATGGCAGACCATAAACTGAAGCGAAATCATATCTACAGCGGCGAATCCAACCCCTCCTCGTCACCCCTACCCGGCCCCTCCTCCTTGAACGCGACATGCTGTATCAGGACGGAGGAGAATAACGAGAACGTCTCCTCGGCGACTTCTACGAGCCTCGCGTCTTCCTCCCTCTCAAAGCTCGCCAAGTTCAATGAATCCTACAATTGTGGGATGCGATCAGCTTCACGGAATACCACGCGGAATATAACAAGCGCGCGCGCCCGGTGGCGCGAGAACGACATCGCGAACGCACCTCGATACTCTCTCATCTTCTCGTACACACCACTTGTACCATATATGTACTATGCCGGAACTAGCTGTACATAGAAAGACACGAACACACTGTTCTGGAGCACCCCTTCGGCGATTGCCCCTACATTAGGGTTATGTCCGCAGGTAGTCGCGCGTCGCGCGTTCGTATCCTAGACTCCTACCACCAACTGCACAATTCACGAATGGCATCATCTTTCTCCTTTCTCCTTTCTTTCTTCCAGAGCTTCGTCTTGCCATCTCGTCTCGCGCTCCTCGACTCCTCAGTCTTCTGGCCCGTTGCCTACAGTGGCGGGCCATCGCCGATAGCGCCGGCCTCCCTCTTGCGCGACGCGGACGGTTGCTTGTGACACACGCACCGCTACAGTTATTCATCGCCCTCGTGCGGCTCCGTAAAACAGAATTCGCTTCTATGGAGCACCCTCATGGGCCTCTGACCGCTCGGGTCTTCTGCGGGGCAGGCGTCAGTACTTCACCGTTCTGTGACTATAATTTGATGCGGCTCTGCTCCAATATGCTCCGCATGTTCGCACTGACGACGTCTGTGAATGGTTCGTGACAAAAGTAGATGGAGCATGCAGAATTGGTATGTAAATCCCCAATAAACACACGGTGGGTCATAAAGCTGAACCGAAACCCGAACTACAGCGGCGAATCGAGCGCCTCCGAGTCGCTCCCATCCCGCTCCGAGCCCGCCTCTTCGAACGCGACGTGCTGTATCAGCACCGACGAAAAGAGCGCGAACGTCTCCTCGGCCGCTTCCACGAGCCTCGCGTCCTCCTCCCTCTCAAAGCTCGCCAAGTTCAGCGAATCCTGCAATCGCGCGAGCGTCAGCGCCCAGTCGAACTTCGGACGGAATGGCACGCGGAAGAGCAAGGTGCAACAAGCGCCCGGAGAACGACATCGCGAACGCACCTCGACGCTCTCCCACCCGCCCATATACACCACCCTCCTCCCGTCCCCGCTAATCCCATACGTCCAATCAACGAACCCCTTCATCCCATGCTGCATATCGGCCGTCTGGTTCACCATATCCTCCGCAACCGTCTCCGGTTGACCGTCCGCCAGATCCATTATAGCGGAGATCGTGACCGGCGAGCGCAGGACGGGCGCGAGGGGCCGGTGCATCGTTATTGCGAATGCGGTGGGCGGTGAAGATGTTAGAGGGGAGATGGTTTTGAGGAGGGCGGATGTTGGTGCGGTGGGGAGGGCGGTGTTGGTGGCTAGGCGCGCGTTAGGCCGAGGTGAGGGAGATACTTGGAGGAGAGGTGGACGCACCGGTGTACCAGTAGAGCTTGTGGGGCTTCTCGATGGTCGTACCGTGCCACTGACATATCGTATGGTATTTCCGCCTGTTCGGGTTGTCAACGGGAGAAGCCGAAGATGAACCGCGCCGCGTACCTCGTATCGTCCACCACGCGCTGAAACAGCTCAGGCGAGTACGCATCGTTAGGCTTAAAAGCTATGAACACAAGAGTAGTAGCAAAATCCGCGTCCGACGAGGAAGACGAGGAGGACAGGGACATGATGATGCGCGAGTCGCGATGCAATACAAATCCGCGCTTTGGTCTTCGGTTTAGTCTGGCCTGTTAGAGGCGGCGAGTTCAAAAGAGGAGAGGGCGATCCGGAAAGCGGTACGTTCGAGGGCGGAACACGAAGTCTATATACCATTCGCCAACACGGTCGGTCGGACGAGCACGCTGCATGCGCTAACATCTTCCACCCCCGGAGATGTCGGTGACACAGGAGCGTTTTGGAGAAGGTCAGTCTACGGTTCCAGTATAACCCAGGGGCTGACCGTGCGCGTGCGGCATGTGAGACATAAGGCAAGGCTGCATGAATGTGTGAAGAAAGAAGGCGAGAAGGCGAGAAGCCCGCGCTCGGTAGATGATTTATGCAGGCCTTCCCCACTCGGTCTGCAAGCGGTACAAGACTATGCGTACGCGTACTTCGCTGTGAGCGGGACGATGTTGGATTGGAGTGGACGGGGCGCTCGTGTGCGGTCGGCGCAGCGGAGCGCCCGCGTCACGGCCGCGATATGAGTCGGAGTTGAGATCTTGAGACCTTGCTCGGGACAACAAAGGCGAATACGACGTCGCCTGCCTATTTGACTCCATCTGGCTTGACCTGAATTGAAGGTCTCATATCTTACTTTTGTTTGTACAAGGCCTGGACGACCTCCAGCGGGCGTCGACCCAATCGAGCTTGAATTCGGGGTTCGTGCCGCACGCGAGTGGCTGTGATACGTTTACATCGGAGAGGACTGGAAAGAGAGGAAGCTACTGATGAGAGAACAGCGTCTAAATGTCCGTACGCACGACGATCCAGAGACCTAGACCGCTGGAATCTGAACAACGACGCGTCCATCAGCGCCATAAGACACGCAGTGGCTCCTATCCAGCGCGACCGTCCATCCCGGGAGGCAGCGTCTCACGGCACAGGAGCCATTGTGGCAGGATACGTCTGCGACGCCTGGAAGAGCACTATACGATGACAGATGTGAGTTGGGGGAGGTGTGCGCATGTGTATGTGGGCGTACCTGCAGTCGGTCCCGCGTAGCGAGTATGGAGTGAGCGGTAGATCGCAACCGCCGCCTGCGCCCATCCATAGTCAGCTCCATACGCCCTTCGAAAGCCATAACATGTATAGCACACTCACAGCTCTCCAGATCGGTGTTGGTGTCGATACACTCCCAAGCGCGTGCAGCACCGCCGTACACACCACACGCCATCCATCCATCTCCGCGCATAGTACAAGCTCCAGATCCGACCCAACGTTTCTGCCGCTTCACGGGCGGGACTTGCGATGGGCAGCTCCTCGCGCTCGTGCAGATTCCGTTGCAGATGATCTTGGGTGATGGGCAGATGCATGTGGTCGAGTTGGGAGCGGTTGGGAGTGGGGTCGGCGCTGAGGTCGTGAGAGTTGACGAGAGGGAGGAGCTCGTAGGAAGTGTGGAACTCGTTGTGCAGGGCGTAGTCGAGGACGTCGCGTCCGGCGGTGTGTAAGATTCGAAGCCGTCTGTGCAGACGAAGCCGCAGGGATCGTCGCCGATACAGATGGGCTTCGCGTGCAGCGGGTAAACACACTTGGCGTCGGCGGCATGCTGCTTGATCTGTATCTATACGTTAGTACCTGCAGCTTGAAAACGATGAGAGTAACGTACCAGATCGCTCAGAGCGTTCTCGACTTCCTTCTTGTCCTTGACGCTTGACAAAGTTAGCGGGATGGCGTCGGATTGACAGAAGTTCGTGACCTCCGACAGGCATAAGCAAGCGTCTGCGACGCGTGTAAGCCGAATATTTGGTCCATATGCAGGCTTAATCTCTCACCGAGATGTTCGACGACGTCCGGCGCACCATGGGTGCCAGTAACGTTTAGATCGACGTCGAGATACGCGCAAACATCGTTGGGAAGCCAAGTATCCGTCGTTCGACCTCTGACGCTTGACGCGTATCCACCTCGACCGTACCGAGCGAGAAGAACGACGATCGCGAGATATCGCATCTTGACTACGCAACTGCGTATCTCGAAATCGATGCCTCTCAGTCTTATGTCGGTCGTCTTATACCGTAGAGCTCGCCATGCAGCGGCGCACACTAGGAACCCGGCGTACTCGGTCGAGGCCACGGAGGTATGTTCGCGTTATGGGCGCCTTGCGCCCAGGAGACAGATGATCCCGTCCCGAAGGCGGACAATGTTGGCCGTCATGCGCGTAGCGGGGCGCTTAGGCCACGGATGGGTCCACTGATAGAAGCGGGCATAAAGCAGCCTCAATGAGCGCTTATGTCGGAACACAGGGTCCTACCTCTCGTGCAAGAGGTTCTGCTGTCCGATGCAGCGATGCGTTGAAGATCGTAGAGTTGTCAATGTTCGGGTGCTACGGATCGGGGTAGCGCTGATGTCGAGAGCGAAGGACAATGAAAGTCGGAGGCGGATGCGAGGACAAGAACAACTTCCATCCGAATGGCGCGAAAGATGCGGAAGAGACCTGGTAGGGTCAGAATTCGGGGCACACTGCACCGCCAGATATGGCAATATGAGAAGGGACAAGGCGACGCGCACAAGAAGCGATGCCGGAGTTCGCATTGTGCGCAATGGAAATTGTGATCCCGAAGGAGCATCCGTCATGTTCGACATTCACGGACTCAAGACATCTGGATCTGTGGCGGGAGATAGCAGTATTCGTCGTAGGGCTACAGATGTTGAGGTCGAAAAGCAAGGGTATAATACAGCGTGCGAAGGTTCGATGCGGTTGATATCAAGTTCATGCTGATGCTGCGATGGGTGCTCCTCCTGGACCTGCTCCCAGCTTCTGCAACTCCGTTTGTATGTCGACAAGCTACGCCATGTTCAGTATCACGACTAAGCGCGAAAAGGCGGGACTTACTTCTCCCTTCTTCTTCTCGATCTTCTCTTGTAAACTGGCAAGCTTACTCTCGATGCGGGTTCTGTAGCGGAGAGCCGTTAGTACAGTGCAAAGAGCATAGTCTGTCAGGTGCAAAAATGGGGTCGTAGAGGAAGATGGAAGGATTGTAACGTACATCTCACCACGGATGAATTCTAAACGGGTATCAACGTTGGTCTTGGCTTCCGCCTGATCTTGCTTTACAAGAACAGGACCAACTAGCTTGTAGACGGTGTTATTGGGCGTCAGATTAGCGAATTCCTATGGAAATGTTCGTGAACTAGGACCAACGTGTAAGGAATCGCAGACGCACCTTCTTGACCTGCTCATTCTCATTCAACTGCGCTTCCAAGCGCTCACGAGCTTCGACAGCTTCAGACAGTTCGGCTTGTAGTTTCTGAAATTCGGACGTAGCGGCTTGGGCGCGCGCTTGTAGAGACATGATGGAAGCGGAAGTCAAGCGCAAGGTCGGCGACGCGTCTGCCGCAGGTTGCTTCCTACCACCATCACCTTCGCCACGCCTCACGGCAGAGCTGAGAACAACTTTGAAAATGACATGTTCTCTTCATGAAAAATACTTCTCGCTGGCTCAAATATTCCTGTGCATTATCAAGCGAACGTGCGAGTTGGTACATTACTACGTGTCATACTTTATCTCGCCTACGAAGACTCCATTGCAGCTGGGCGGAAGACACCGAACTCCCGCAACCTCTCCACCAGCGCGGTTGCGCCCACGATACGGATGCTATCGGGGATGCTCAGCGATATACTTGGGCAACCGGTGCCCGCCTGTAGCTCCTTCCTTCGCTCGCAAACCTCCAATAACCACTCCGCGTTGACCTCACGAGACCCCTCATCTTCTACCCCGGCCGACAAGAAGATTGTCTCGAGCTCTGGAAGCACTACTTGCTGATCGCATAGAGGCTGGAGGGCGGTCGCCGTCGGACCTACGACGTGCAAGCTGCGTACCCGTGGAAAATTGCGGAGGACCGTGGTCCAGGTTGCGACGCCATCTTCATGAGCGAGAAGACCGCGTTTCCCGTGAATGTAGATGCAATCTACAAGATCCAGCACAGCATCGCGTGCCGTGTCGGCAGGGTCGTCGCCCTCGAGTTGCGCGTCCCACGAAGCAACGTTCCAATGGCAGTGCATTTCGAAGACAAAACGCGGCCTCACGCCGACCTTGTCATCCCAGTCCAGTACTTCGTCGTGGCCAGTGCAAGGCCCGGATTTCGGATACTCTGATTCTCTCATGTGACCCAGTTCGCCATGGAAGTATCCCTGAACGGAGCAGGCGTAAGAAGAACCCTCGGGTGTGGCCGCGAAGTCTATCATCGTCACTGGACCATAAGCATCAGGCATCGCACAGTCTGAGCAATTCGGCCCGTGCATAATGATCTGCGGGCATAGCGATGCTAGCTGTCGGAGGAACCCGATGGCGAGTCCGGGCCACGCGAATATGGCATCGGCGCCCGGTGGGAGCGCCAGGTTTTGTCTGATCCACCAGGTTTGGTGCGGCCTATCTTGCAATACGACGCTCGAGGTAGTGATGCGAGGAAGATGGATGAGCGATAGGTGCTCCTTGGAGTCTATCTCTTCGCGGCCCAAGGGGAGAAAGCAGTGTGACAGCGAGATGTACTGCATCGTGAGCGACGAGTCGTCGAGACGCTCAAGCAGTTGAGTGCAGGTATATCCGTGATTCGGGAAGTTCCCGTTGCTGACAAGACCGTCCAGGTTAATACTTAAGACCACTAGACCATTGCAGCGCCAGTCAACGACGTAATCGCACAGGTACAGCTCTTCTAAAGCTGGTGCTACGAGGCATGGTACGTCGGTGAAGGAGAACTCGACGATGTCACCCATATGATCATCTGACATCCAGCAGTCCAACTCTATGCGTCTGATCCACGATAGATTCAGCCGAGGAGACTTCCCCAGAGGCGGAGATGACGGAGATGAAGTGAGGTAACGAGTCATCGCTTGCTGGGCGTCCAAGTTGACGCTGCTAGGTGCCAAGTGAAGAAGTCCGTCCAGGTAGTATGGGTTTACTGCGCTACAGACAGGATGGATTGTCCAGTATGCGCCCACACGTTCGTCAGCCACCACGTAGTGAGTATTTTCAGACGTATCCGGACATACAGACCAGGAATAACGCGTAAAGAAGCTATCTGGATCGTCAGAAGTGGCCGATTCCCACTCCGGCAACGCCCTCGCCACCTCGTGAAGTAGTGTGCAGACAGTCGAGAGCACGAGCCAGCCAGGATCAGCGCGCGAGATATCCGGCGGCCCGAGGAATCGAGCGACCTCAGCTAAGAGTTCGTTCGGAAGCCTGAAAATGGGTGGTGGGGAGAGAGACGCCGTCTCCATCCTGGCGCCAGTGTCGCGGGGTGTTGCGAGGCTCCTTTTTCTAACTCGACACTTATATACACTTGCTGCAATGACTCGAGCGTACTGGGCGACAAACGGGCCACCCTTTTGTCCACACGCTGAACGTAGCCTCGTTGTCAAGACAAAGGGACCAAGTGCTCCCACCGTCATCGCTTTGGATCAAAGCTATCCAAGATAGTGCAGCACTGCACAATACAAGTGGTGGATGTGGCCAAAGCCTGGTGGTTTGCGATACATATCTGACAAGCGATATTGAGCTGAACGCGGTCATATGACTTGAATGTACAAATGTTGATGAACACGCGCATGATGCATGATGTGTGCCGCAATGATTCCGGGTTCAACGGGCCGGTAGCGCGAGTGATGTTATGACATTCACCTTCCTGGTCACGACGAAGACAGTAAAAACTGAGTACAATGCATGATTCCAACACCCAATCGATGCAGTACCGTACGTATCTATCAGTAGCAACTCTTCAGTCAGACTCGTAAAGCAGCCCATTCAACGTCTCCACGTCCCGCGGATCGCCCACAACTTCCATGTTCACAAACGCGAGCACCAGGTTGCGTCGCCGGAGTATGTTCAGCATCAGTCCGGCATCGACCTTTCCCTTCGGAGGCCGGACGCGGCGCTTTGGGGAGAGACCTGCAATCCGCTGCTCATCCGATTCCCCTTCCCTATCGTTATCGGCCTCCGAATCGCTGCTCGAGTCTGAACTGTCCTCCTCGTCCAAACTGTTGTAACCGTACCACCCGGGGTCTCCATACTCATATCCCTCCCTATCGCCGTCTCCCTTTGAGCAGTTATCTCGTCCCAGCCACAAGGTACGTAGATTTGGAAGGAGGTTGGGCTCGTCGATGAGGGGCTGAAGAGCGGCAGGAGTTGGCGCATAGAGGTACAGGGTGTGTACACTGGGAAGATTACGGAGCACGGAGGTCCAGACCTCGACGTCGCTCTCGTTTTTGATCACCCGGCCCTTCATGCCGTTGAAGAAGACATATTTCACCCCGTGCAGCGCCGTGCATTGGTTACCACAAGTACCATCATGGGGCGACGGAGGTGCGCTCCAGTCCTCAGCACTCCAGGGCAAGTCGGCTATGAACACCGGCTCGATACCGGACACCTTTCTCTCAAGCTGCCTGGCGTCCTGCTCCTCGTCAAAATCGATATAACGCGCTATACAGCCTAGTGCGTATTCCTGCAAGTTATGGTCAGGAACCTGGCTCCGCCAAGGTCTGTCCAAGCCCGTGACGCGGCTTCCAGTGACAAGACAACCAACACCCTCGTGCTCGTTCGACTCGCGGAACGTCAGAGCATCAAGCTCGCCGTGAAACCCAGAGTGGGCAGGCTTAGGATATGGAGCCGAGCGGGCATATGCGCAAGCAAGAGAGCGAAGGACGTTGATAGCAGAGCCATACGGCCCGTTGACGATCGGAGGGTTCCCGGGTGGAAAGCCGATGCGGCAACACAACCAGTTTGTCATGTCTAACGTCTCGGTTATCTCGAAGTCCTTCAGGAGAGGGAACAAGCGCACAGGATCCCGCCGTGAACCTTCAGGATGATCGTCCTCAGACGCCGCGAGAAGACAATGGCGTAGGTGGACACTCTCAAGAGTCAAACGTGATTCGTGCAATTGCAAGAGGAGACGCGTCGGCGAGTAGCGGTAGTTTATAGAAGCTTCCTGGTACAAAGGATTGTCCATTTCAATCCGAAGACGTTTGAGGTGCGGGGCCTGCCAGTCTGCTACGTAACGGTTGAGGTAGAGTTCCCGCAGTGCTGGCGCAACAATGCACGGCAATCTATCCAACGGAGAGTCTGAATGGGACGCAAGAGCATTGGGAAAATCGCCACGGAACGAGATAGAGAGGTCGGTTATCCATGTAAGATTGAGACTACGCCGTCCATGAAGCGGAAGACCATCGAAGTGTTGATTGACAGCTCGAAGAGCGTCCTCGCCAGATTTCCATTCAAGACTGCTGGCGCGGTAGCTATAGCGCGCCTCGGGATATGTTACGCTCCCATCCTTGTAGACTGGGTAACAATGCAATGTCCTGTTGTGTGACTGGTCTCTGATAAAAATCCCTCGATCAGGGGTATTGGCGGGCATGCCGATTTTACTGTAGCGCGTCAGGGTATGCCAGCCGTAGCGGCCACCCATAACAGGGACGCCAGACTCCCATTCAGGCACCTTGCTCGCTGCCTCCTTGAGTCGACGACAGACTGCTGGCACCACGAGCCAGCCGGGGTCACAGCAAGAGAGATCAGGGGGGCCAACGAAGTCGATGATAATGACGAGCAGCTCGTTTGGAAGGTCCATGAAGTTGGTCCATCGCCTAGACGAGTGGGAAGAAACTTCTTCGGAGATCGTAGAGGCTTCGCGGGACATGATGACGGCGGAAGAGGATGATGTTAAGTGACTCGAAAAGGGAGGTAACATTCATTTATAGACAGGGCGTGGAGGGTGGTACGAACAATTGTATAGAAGAAGGCCGCGCGTCGCGTCGTAACCCTTTGATCGATGGTCATAGCGTTGCGCCATACAAATGGACAAGGCAGACGAAGAACAAAGGGCTCTGCGACGGCATAGCAACGGCTGGCAGATGTGCCAGTGCGCCAGCACAGCGGTGACACAAGGTGGTATGCTCAAACAAAAGGGGACAACGGTGACTTCGATATCGCTGGTCGTCGTTGAAGTTCAACATATGCCCACTCATGATCACGAGCCCGGTGGCCGCGCCTTGTCCGCGTCCGGCCCGAACGCCGTAGTTTGGACGCGCGAATGGCCACCGCGGTACTTCAAGCTTCAAGCTTTACCGGCACCGGCCGCGGTGACGAACGTCCGCGAACAGCTTCACATGCAACTTGAACTTGAGGTAAACGGTCATCGCGAGTACTCGATGTATTCAATGATGCCAGTACTAGTCTGATACACCGGCATGCGCACACAAACGCCTAGTAGCAAACGACGACGCCCACTACTACTACATACTTAAGGTCCGTTTTCCCCAAACATGCTCAAAGCCTTCTCCAGCGCCCGTGGATCATCCGACACAATCTCGACATTCTCAAGCGTACATCTGAGGTCGCGGTCCCTGGCAATCTTCAGCAAACCCTCGGCGTCAATCTTGCAGAACCACTTCGGTGAGGTGCGCGCTTTCGGGATTGATCCGTCGGGCTTCGAAGCCCCATCTCCGCTGGTCCCGTTGTCCTTGGAGTCGTCGACACGGCCTGAACCGACGTCCGGCTTCGCATCCCCGCCGGGTCCGGAGACGTGCTCGTCATCCGGGATTTCTCCATCTTCCAGTGAAGCAGCATCGTCGTCTGAAGCGGCGATTTGACGCTTCACTACTTCATCTTCATGGTCGAAGTCCGAACTGTAGCCGTCCTCAGAACCGTAGCAGTCATCCTCCGGCATGCGCATCGCCAGATCGCCATCACCCTTTATGTCCGTATCGCGTCCTATCCAGAGCGTCTCGAGGTTGGGGAGTAGATCGGGCTCGTTGATAAGCGGAGCGAGTGCAGCAGGACACGGGTCGTAGATGTAGAGGGATCGCACACTTGGCAGTTGGCGAAGGACTTCAGTCCAGACTTTGACCCCACGGTCCGGAGCGTCCCCTCCAACAAGCCGCCATCCCAGGCCGTCGAAGAATAGGTGCTCAATCCCCTCCAGCCCTGAGTGTTGCGTGCCACGGTCATCGCCTTCTTGCATGCTCCGCGCGGCGGAGGACCAGTCGAGTTGGGTTACGAAGACGGGGTTGATACCGGGGACCATTCCATCGAGCTCTCTCACGGCTTGCTCGCGGTCGTAGTCTATATAACGCGCGATGCAACGTTTTGCGTACAACTCCAGACTCATATCGGGCCCCTCGACTACGCCAGGAATCTTGCTGGCAGTGACATAGCAGCCGTACTCGTCGTACTCGTCAGGAGCGCGGATAGTAAGAGCATTTGGCTCGCCACGAAAGCCAGGACCGTCTGAATCAGGATCGGCGGCCGAGCGCCTGTACTCGCCCGCGAGGGATCGGAGGTACGCAAGGTCCGCTCCCGACCCACCAGAGATCGAGGGCCATCGGCCAGGCGGGAGGCTGACGCGTGAACAAAGCCAGCCTGCTTCGCGGGGACCGTCATGGACAAGAAAGTCTCGCAGTCGGGGACAGTTGTGCACAGGCACGCGTGCTGCATCTTGATCATCGTTGGGCATTGGGGAGAGACAGTCGGCAAGCCAAACTTCTTCGAGTGTACACCGTGAATCGTGTAGACGCCGCAGGAGTTGCGAGGGAGGGTAGCGATAGCCTGAAACCCCTATCAGTCCGATGCGAAGCTTCTTCAGGCCGGTGCAGCGCCAGTCAATGATATAGTCTTGAAGGTATAGCTCTTCCAGCGCGGGAGCGACGATGCATGGGACGTCTGCAGACGAAAAGCCTGAATGGGTGGCAGACTCTTGGTCATGATGCACCGATATGCGAATGCTGTTCAGCCACGACAAGTTTAGGCGAGGGAGGACGTGGGCTGCGGAGCCGTGGAAATAACGATTAAGCTTGGGCACTGCGTCTTTGTGGGATCTGCCAGATCTAGATGAAACACTGAGTGAAGCATTGAAGTACTCCACGCCACCGCCCTTGTACGATGGATGACAACCCAAAGACATATTATTCTCTTCGTCATCCATCCAGAAGCCTTTATCAGGCGTCCCAGGTGGCATGCCCATCCTCCTCTTCCCGTCTGGCGAGAAGGTATTCCACCCATACTTTGCTCGCGCGCCGTTGGGACCATTAACGCTTCCAGACTCCCACGAACGTATCTTGCCCGCTACTTCCTTGAAACGACGACAGATTGCAGGGACTACCAGCCAGCCGGGGTCGCAGCACGAAAGATCGGGTGGGCCGAGGAACTCAACGATTCTGAGAAGTAACTCGTTGGGCAGTCCCATGAGGGTCGGCGTGGCGACCGAGAGTATATCGGAGACTTTGTTGGGTGAGAGATGTTCGATAGCCATGGTAGCGAGGGGGTCGCGCGCTGAATCAAAGGGTTGGTGGTGCTGTCTATATACCAGCCCCGCGCATTATTGTAGTGAACAAGGCCGTCGTTTGTTCGCAAGCGGTCATAATAGCACAGCGGATTGGACAAGAGGGTCCGCTGGATTTGGAACAAAAGGGGACATCTGGCGCGAGACACAAAGGAGTAAGAGCAAAGGTGACAGTATCAGATTACGATAGCTCGGACTATCGTCGTCAAAGTTCGAGTGCAATGCCCATTGCCCAGTCGCATCTCGCGTCAGGCATCGGAAACGTCGGACCGCGGTCCGCATGTGCTACAACGCGTCGTCTTTGACTCTCTCTTCTGTCCACTATGATGGAGACCCTCCCAATTGCAAACCCGAACACCTGTTCGCCCAGGCTGCGGCTGGATACTATACGAGATAGAGCCAACGAGCTATATAAGAAGGCCTGGGGTAACCCGTGGCGCTGCGAGACAAGGACATCTGTTGCGCCGGCGGAGTCCACTGTAAACGCTCCTACTACAGAGAGCTATCAGTACGACTGCCTACCTGGAGCCCTTGGCCAAGTCCGAAGACTCTTTTTGTCTAACTCGGACGGCGCAGATACGCTCGTCCTTCTTCACGACTATGAACCACTGAGCGAGGCACTCACGACAAGCTACCTTGGGCGCAGGAAGGGCGTAGTGGTTACAGGTCACCCCGGGATCGGTGCGGCCGTGACTTGACTTTGAGTACTTTCAACTGCTGAATTGTGTCGTCTAGGCAAAACCTCTTTCTTGTACTACCTTCTTCTACAGCGGCTAGGAGCGAAATGCGCGACTGCACTCCAGGTCGAACCCGACTACTTCTTCATCTTCGACTCAGAGGGGGCCGCTGTTCTCCCCAATGTCACTGCTGACCTTCGTCCAGAAGAGGTGGACGTCCGTCTGGCGAAGTGCTGGGCGCTCTCTGATACCAATAGCCTCCTCAGACAACCCTGCGCCGCCTTTCTGATGAGTGCCGAGCGCGTCATCCAAGCGGCGTCTCCTGGGCGCAATCCGTGGAAAGATTGGATCAAGGACTTCGGTGGCCGTGTGGCAGTTATGGACCTCCCCACAAGCAAGGTGATTGGGGCGATTGTGTGAGTAACCTATCAGGTTGACCATGATCACCGCTCACGACCGGTATACTAGCAAAGAGTCTGGGTACGACCCAATCCCGTCTTTCACCTATACCGACAAGTGGGGACCGTCACTGAGGCTGATCCTCGATCTCATGGGGGCCTCGAGAGAAGGCGTAGCCGAAGTGGACGAAATTATCCTGGCCAAACAAGCGACGGCCGCAGCAGCCAGTATCCGCGCCGACCCGACTCGCTTGTCAACGTGGAGCTTGGACGCACACGATGGATTGCCATTCAACCTCGTCTACGTCTGCCCTCAGCGCATACCACTTGAGAACGGCGACACTTTCTGGGGGGGATGGAGTTTGACCATCCCGACGAGATACCTCGCCGCCATCTTCGAGAGAGAGCGTAAGCAGGTCTCCGCTCATGACTCGCCGAGGCTTCTCGAGGTACTCGGTCTCGCACATAGTACCTTCGACAGCGCGCCAGAGCAACCCGGGGACCACCATGAAGAAGCTCGCGCCCACGGGGCACGGAATCCTATCACGCTTCCCTTTATTGCGCAGCCACAGGGCGAGAAGACTCAGAAGAGAAAGATAGACGAAGTTTCAGGGTGTTCTGATTCTTCGGGCGTTCACCGCGCCAGACGCGCTCGATTCAAGGGAAAGGAAAAAGCTGGAGCATTCGATGGGACTGCCTCAGAAGAAGAGAGATCCCGATGGAATATCGACCGCACAGTCGACGAGACCGGTAGTTATTCCACCGGACTTCATGCACATGGCGGACATCCTGCAAATATGGGCGATGCCGGTCAAGGATACAGTGAGTTTCGAGGTGTGCACGAGGCGTCCGCTGCTCAATACGTTGGTAGAATCCGATTCGACGGCGGTGCCCCAGCCATCGAAAATAGTCAGCGCGGCCACTGAAGCTGATGCGTCGGAACTGGAATCGGCGAAGGCGCGCCTTCGGATGGTCAACGACATGCTCGAGCAGATCCATCGCATAACCCCGATAAGCCTGAAGGATCAACGACAACTCGCTGAGAAGGTGTACAAAAGGCTTGGGCCAGAAAGAGCGCGTCTAGTGCTCCCGAGGGTTGACTGGGCTAACTGGGCGCCTCGTCCTGACGTAGCCACTACCACCGATCCACATACGACTGCGGAAGGGCCCACTGTAGCTGTGGATTTGGATATGGAGTAGCCCGTTTGCCTGCTCGACTGGCGTTGTTATGGGCTCGAGTTATCTCCTATATGCGGCCTACAAGAAGCTTGATGCACCCAGCAGAGCGAATGTGGCTACCCGCGGAGCATATCGGCGAGCCCGGCGGTACGGGTCGCATGTCCCGCCGGTATATCACGTCCCCTTGCATTCAGCAGATGGGTTCCACGTCTCACTCTCGTCCTTGCATGCCTTTTTTTCATTCATGGTTCAACATGTATACATAACTGATAATCTTTACCCTCCGCACCCTATTCCCGTAATTTGTTCTTTCATTATGTGGAGGTTCTCGGAGTTTCACGCGCCATCGTAACGCTGTAGATGAGGACGCGGCACACGAGCAAGATTGAAGACCATAGGCTCGTCAAATGCGTTCTTCCAGCTACCCTTAACGGCGAGCTACGCTGCATTTGACGGTGATCTCACCACCATCGAGGGCGAGATCTACGCCTCGCAGGTGGTATCGCTCCGTCGTCAGGCTCAATCGTCAGCGGAAAGCACTCCTCGATTTGCTCGTATGAGTCGACATCCTCTTCGTCGCCGCCACAGCTACTACTTGCCCAATGAAGCGGGGATCAAATGCATCACTGGCCATCAGGGCTGACAGGGAGAGGGACCATGGTTCGAAAACGCGCCTTCCCTCCACCACTAAAAGGCGGTCGTGTCCGACGGCTACTTTGAAAGAATAACCAGGGTGCCTGGATGATCACCTTGTTGAAGATTGAAGACATCGCCGAAGTTACATGCGGCATAGTGAACCGTTCCCGATACCGTCACCCACAATCTCTCCTCGCGTACGGTGACCGATTCCAAGATTCATCATGTATCATGTCATCAAATATGTAGCAACTTGAAATACTACATCAGATCCCCACATCACCACCAAAGATCACGAAAAGTGCTGCACATCCCCCACATCCCCCACAAGCCGTATACACTCCGGCATACAATCCACATCCAAATCCGGCGCCCTCCCCGCGCGCACAGCGAGTATATCCAGCAGCCACCCAGCGTCCACGTCCTCCTTCGGCCGCCCCGGCGCGCACCCTAGCCACAACAGCCGGAGCTCAGGCAAGAGAACGGGCTCGTCGGGTTTAGGTATGGAGAGAAGCGGAGAGAGAGCGTCGTACGACGGCGCGTTGACGTATAGCGCGCGTACGTTCGGGAGATGGCGGAGGAGCGTCGTCCACACGTCCGCGCTCGCGGTGCCGCGTTTGAATAGCCGGCCCTTTTTGCCGTTCACGAAGATGTATCGTACGCCTTGCATATCGCCCGGGCCGACCGATGTCGATGACATTCCGAGTGACTGAGGGTCACTCCATGCGGCCACGCTCCAATCGAGGTTGGCTATGAAGACAGGCTCAAAACCCGGAGTCTTCCCATCAAGCCGTCCGATCTCCTGCCCGTACCCATACCGATCCAAACGCGGTACACGCTCCGATGCATACGTATGTAGCGCCAGCTCGTCCATCCCCGATATCCTGCTTCCCGTGACGGTGCACCCGTATCCGGAAGTGCGCGCGGCCTCGCGGATTGTTAGCGCATTCATCTGAGTCTTGCCACCGTGAGGATTAGAATCCCGGGAGAAACAGTGTAGAAAGCCGATGGCGGAGCCGTGGACGTTGAATGTTGGTAGACAGTGCGAAGGGAACGATATGCGTTGGGCGAAGTAGACTGCTTCGTTGGTTGCGGTCTTGAGCTCGAACTTGTTTAGGTTTGGGAAGGTTAACGCGTCGGGGATGACTCCCTCAGCCCCGTCAGCTTTATATCGCGTCTGGAGACAATGTGCCAGATCGACTCTTTGAAGCGTCTGCCGCGACTCGACCAGACGCTCGAAGAGGTGTGCCACAGGATACCGATAGTACATATAATTCTCGCTGTCCATCCGCACGCTGAGGAACTCCAACCCCCGACACCGCCAATCAACAACATAATTCCTGAGGTCCAGCCATCGCAGCGCCGGCGCGACGAAGCACGGCGCATACTGGAAAGTGCAGTAGTCCCACGCGCCGCCGACCTCCCAGGCCTCGCATTCCAAGATGAGCGTAGTGATCCATGTAGTGTTGAGGCAGTGCGGTCCGTGCAGGAGGAGGGGAAAGCCGAGGTGCCGATCGATCGCCTCCCACCCGTACGACCCTGCGTCCTCTTCGGCTTTGAGATGCAGAGACCAGTGCGCGAAGGCGACGTTCCCCCCGCTGTATACCGGAGGGGAGCAGGACCAGTACACGTTGCATTCTTCCTCTTCTGCCGCGTAAGTGTGACCGGAGAGCTCTCCAGCTGAGGGGTCGAGCGAGCTTCGGAATACCGCGCGTAAGCGTGTGCAGACGGCGGGGAGGACCAGCCAGCCAGGATTGCAGCTTGGGAAGTCGGGCGGACCGAGGAAGTCGGCGATATACATGAGGAGCTCGTTGGGAAGCCGAAGAAGCGGAAATACAGAGCTAGACATGGTCAGCGAATGCCTTGGGTGGGGGAAGGGACGATGCTCAACTTTATTTAGAGTCTCTGATGTCTTTAATACTCAGTGTGTATGCAAAGTGGCCGCGAGCATGAGGCGCTACCTCAGCCGGGGCCCACTTTGAGCTCGAGTCGGCATAAGATGCCCCTGTTCTAAGCAACGCAAGCATAGCGATACCAACGAGCCAAAGGGCGCGCTTTATGGCGGGTTGCCGTCTTGCGCCATTGTCAACCCGCCCGCGCGCTACACGTGTCGAATGCCGGCCATCCTTGCACTGCCGACTATGCTCACGATTTGCCCGCAGAGCCTATCACGCAGAGTATGAAGAATACAAGCAGAAGCTCAGGTGCTGAACGAGTTCGCATACGACGGCGATGGTGGTCTCTAGCAAGCCGCGTCGACGCGTCGTTGTGGCACTTGACGTCAACATCCAGCCCTCGGACCCATCGGTCCGCACTCCCTGGTAGCCAAACTCGCGCCTTCCTCCTTACCTGCTACGTCCATGGACCCCGCTTCACCTCCAGCATCTCCTCTTCCGATACCTCACATCGACGCGATACAAGCCGACGCCCACAAGCTCTACTCCAAAGCCTGGGGCGTACAATGGCCTCGTCAGACACGGACCTCTCTCGCTCCTTTACCATCGTCGAGCAACAGCGCAACGGACGCTGACTCGCGTCTGGGACAAGAACGAACACAAAAACAAGAGACTTTTGAATACTCATACGACTGTCTAACCTTCCTCACCTCGCTCCCGGAAACTTTCCTCCCCTCACCCATCGACTCCGGCACCTCGGACTCAGACACACTCGTCATAATGCACGAATACGCCCTCCTCATCGATCTCATAACGTACGGCTACATCTGCGACGTGCGCGCCACGGCTATAACCGGCCAACCGGGCATCGGTGCGCCCGGCCTACTCATCTCTTAGTATTACTTCGGAGGATGTTAACGGTGCGGTCGTCGGTGCTATGTAGGCAAAAGCACGTTCTTGCTGTACCTCCTCCTGCACCGCCTCTCCCAAAGACAACCAACCGCACTTCACCTACCCTCAACACCGCACCACTATATCGTATTCGACGACGAAGGCGCAGACGTGTACGCTCTGGACGAGATCTCGGACCGGCTACGGGAGTGCGTGGCCTTGTCCGACTCGGCCCCCAGCAACGCCCTCGTCGAAGAACACCCCTGCGCCTGCTTCCTAAGCCGCGCCGCCCGCATAATCCAGACCGCGCCGCCCAGCACGAACAGCGATACGGGGTGGATAAAGCAGTTGAGGGGGAGCGTGCTTGTTATGGCGCTGCCGAGTGAGCGGGAGGTCGGGGCTGTTGTGTACGTTTGCTTCTTCTCATCATCCCCCCGTCGCCTCCTCCATAATTAAGATACAAGATACTGAAGTGCGGGATACACGGCAGGAAAGAGAAGGGATACGACCCGCTCGCGTCGTTCGCGCACACGCGCAAATGGGGACCCTGCACGCGGCGGGTTCTCGACCTCCTGCATTCTTCTGCTGCCTCAAATACTCAGCTCGAGAATACGGAGAGAATGCTCACGCGACGGGCAGAACGCGCCGCAGTCGACATATGCGCCTCGCTCTACACACACCCCACAACAGGACTGACAGACCAGGAAAGGCTCGACGCCCTCGTGTTCTACCTCAAGGACAAAGACAAAGACAACATACACTACTTCGATCTCGTATGTATACGTCCCGCGCGCAGGATTGTGCAAGGTAATATTAAAGGATGGGAGGGGTGGGAGGTGGTTGTGCCGGAGGGGTATTTAAAGGGGGTGTTCGAGCGGGAGCGCGACAGTCAATGGAGGAGGGGGAGGAGGATTGGAGGGGATGGTGGTGAGGTATAGGTGTAGAGGTTGGGGGTAGACAGTGGTATGCTGCGCTCCGCTCCGATGGGGCGTATTTTTATTTTTATTTAACTGCCAATCGCATGCATTGTCTGAGTCCTGCACGAGGCCCCCGAGGCTAGCCCGAGGTGACGCGAGTACATCGTCCGCGCACCCGGCATCGAGAATTCTTGACCCAATACCATCCATTTCATCACTCGGCTCCTGACGTATCGAGCACAGATCCATCGCGCGCCAGCCGTGTTCAATATTTGAAGCTTTGAGCTATGTCCATTCTGTGACTAGTACAATTTAGCGCCCTGCAGAAGTCAGACGACGTAGACGAACGGCAGACTCCCAGCCTGCCCTGGCGTGCTTGTGGGTTCGATTCCCAGACGTCGATTGAAAGTACATCGTATCATTTTTCTCCCTCTGCACGAGGTGGATTGTCCTTGCAGGTGCACGCACGATTCACAAGACTTTCATATCGAGCATCGGCGAGTACACCATCTGTAGCATGACTACAGAGAGCGCCAGCAGAGTTCTAGAGAGAGAGATGTCACACATATCTGAGTAGGACGGCGTGGACGAACGGCTCGCATAGCAGGCTTTCCATACTGTTCTCAGCTGAAGGACAGTGAGCCAGCCGAGGCATCCTACTAGCGGGTTCGAGTCCTGCACGTCGCATATTCAAGTGGGCCATAACTTTTGGACACCGTGCGTGCGAAGGCGGTTGCGGCGCTTAGTCCATGGACCATGGGGAGGAAGTTGTAGTTGAGGCCAGCTTGACAGCGATGGCTCTCGGGACTTCACTAGTCCAGGATACCGTATCAACCAGCCAATTTACTGCCTCATATGGTCTACTGGCCCTTAGCAGTGGAGGAGATCATCATGGCCGTTCGTCTTCAACGCGCTCGGGCGCGTCGAACAAAAGTGAACAAAAGCCTCCACGTGTACATACCGCGTGCGAAAGCGCGCATCAGCGCTCAGGGCGGGTGCCGTCGGCACTCGCGCCCAGCTCAACATCCTCCTTGCCTCTTCCATCTCATCTCTCACCTCTGACTCTTACCTATACTCTACGTTTCCCTATACTCCCTAGCCCGCCTCATCTCATCTCAGCTCTTCCTGACTCTCTGCTCTGCGGCGTCTGGTTACTTTCCTGGATTTGAGTTTGCTGAACCTGATACGACGCGATGGACGCACCGACGGCGCTGTTCGACAGCTACGAGGCCGACTTCCGGCAGATTCTGGATGGCGTGCGGGAGAAGCTCGACGGCGCGCAGGACCAGGGCGCCGGTACGTCTCTCTTTCCCCTTCCCCCTCCCTCTCCCCACATAACCCATAAATCATATTCAACACCAAACACTGACGCGCCCTCCCATCACACAGAAGGCAAGAAAGCCGCGCTGCGCCGCGTCGAAATGGAACTGGACGAAGCCGACGAGATGCTCTCGCAGATGGAGATCGAGATCCAGGGCATCCCGACCTCCCTGCGCCCGTCGTACGCCACGCGCGCGCGCACGGCCAAAGCGGACCTCGCGCGGGCGAAGAAGAGTGCGAAGGACGCGCATGCTGCTGGTGCGCGGGGCGAGCTTTTGGGCGGCAAGGGAGGGGGGCAGTATGCGACGACGGATGAGCCGTATGGGAGTTCTGAGCGTGGAAGGTTGTTGGCGGGGACGGCGCTGTTGGAGGACGGGAGCAGTCGGTTGCGGGAGAGCGAGCGGTGCGTCTACCCTCCCTCTACCCCATACCTCACAGTGGATGCTAATGCGCTTTGGTTGTGAAATGGTTAGGATCGCGCTGGAGACGGAAGCCCAAGGCGCGGACATCCTGCGCACGCTCGGGCTGCAGCGCTCGCAGATCGAGAACGCGCGGGACACGCTGCATACGGCGGACTCGAGCATCGATCGGGCGAGCGGGACGCTGAAGAAGATGATCAGGCAGTGCGTGTGCTCTCCTCTCTCCATCCCTTTCTCCTCTCGTCCCATCCTCCTTTCGCATATTCCATCCACCCCCGCGCCCTTGGCCCTTCGCGTCCTGTCTTGCGCTCGCGCGACGCTCATGGCTGACAGCTGGTTCTAGGGCGTACAAGCAGAAACTGGTGACGGGCGCGATCGTGCTGGTGCTTATACTCGTCATCGCTATCATCCTGTACGAGAAGCTCTCGTAGGCGTCCTCTCCGCGCCCCATACCTCTCCGCGCCCTGAACTTTTTCGCGCCCTATACTTTTTTGCGCCCTGTACGTTTTCGCGCCCTATGCGTGACAGGCTATAGTGCACTCTTGGACTTTGCATCGACTCGAATTGGACGCTGGTCTTTGGTTCTATGCAAACCCCTTGGTAGTCGATCTGCGCGTTGTACATGCCTCCCCCTCTCCCCTTCCGTCTATTCATAAGGCTTCTGACTCTCATCAACGCGATACCACCCCATGCTCCCCCCCTCTCCACACGAACAGTCTCTTGATTCTTTTACATACGGTCTCTTCATCACCTTGTTCATATATCTGTCGTTTCATGTGGATATGACCCCATCTTGACCTCTCTGACCCTGTACTGCGAGTGAAAAGCCGCAGTATCTTGCGTGAGGCGAACTTGCAGGCAGGCCAAAGTGGCGTGTCTGAAGGGCGGATACAGGCGCGCGCACTCGACAACGGCGCGCTCTAAGCGCAGTGAGAAATATCCCTCCATATACGACGATCGGTTACCTCGGCGAAGGGCCTGCACCGCTCCCAGCTACAAACTCACACTGCGCAGGGGCTGGGATAGACGTGCCGAAGCCGGTTCGTAGGAACAGGCAAGAGCGACGGCAGAAACAGGCAAGAACGAAGTGTACCGGACGGTATGAGAATGATGTTCGCACTGCGCGGGGCGTGGGCGAGGGAGGGGTGGACGGATGGGGGGGACGCGGGAATGCGAAGGGCGTGCGGGGTAGCGATGAAGCGTGCACACGCTTCGAGAGCTCGATTAGCCGGTATCGGCTGTGTTCAACTCTCATATGGGCACCCGTGCTATGCGTAAAGAGATCCAACCGTACGAACCTTACAAGCCGTACGCAGAAGACGTATACATATAGCACGCATCGTTCTTATCGTACCGTACGTGTGGCACGCGCACCCCGCGGAGATTTCGGACGATCGAATCACGCACGCTCCGGATGCGGATGGCGTAGCACAATCACGCGTCTCCCGGTCTGCTTTGACCCACTCGACGAGTCGGACCCTTAGACTCGGACTCGGACGCAGGGAATGTAGTTCTTGCCTCCTGCGCTCACGCTCACGGCCCTGGTATCGTGCTTATACTGCGCCTTGGGACGAGAGGATAGGAGGATTGGCCCCCGCGAGCTGGACAGTGGACGTCCCCGCCCTGGAGGCGCGTATTCGATCGCATTCTACGCTCTAGCTCTGCTCGTATTGGACCTGTGCCCATCGCCTCTCCGTACCCTCTGCTACTTGAACGCCCTCCTGCTCCCACCGCACACGACCACAAACATAAACACGTTCAATCCCGAATCTCACAGCGATAAACGATGTCCTCGACAACGCCCACATCGACGTTCCACCAGCCGGACCTCCAGACTGCGACGCCCGATCCGAGTAGCACGGTCACTATTAGCACTGGCAATGGTGGGCCGGGGACTAGTAGTTCCCTCTACCGTGCGTGTTCCCCCCTGTTCATGATATGATAGTCTGGAAGCTGACTCCCTCCTCTGCCCTACTCTCCTATACTCGTTCGCGCTCGCCTATGCTCGCCAACAGTCTACACTTTCCTCGTAACGCTCGCCCTCCTCCTCTCCATCTCCGCCGCCATCATCGCGCGCTCCTACGTCCTGCGCCGCCGCCTCCGCGCGCTCGTCGCCGCCGGCGTGCTCCCGCCCGAGGCGCTCGTCAATACGCCGCGGAGGCATGGCGGCACGGGCGGGCGGGGTTTGGGGGCGGAGGTGGGGAGGAGGCCGGGGATGTTTGAGGTTTGGTTGGCTGACGAGGGGGCGAAGGGAGTGCAGGAAGACGGTGGGTGGGAGGAGAAGGCCGCGGTACGTGCTTGATGCGCTTTCGATTCTGGTGCGAGGTGCTGATATGATTATGACCACAGCCGCTCTCGCTCGCATCCCTCGCAGCCCTCCGCGCCGCCCAACCGCACCCATCTCCATCCCCAGCTGTACTAGAGCAAAGACAACCGTCCCGACCCCCGCGCAGACCGAACTTCGCAGTCCCGTTCTTCAGCCGACGAGATCCCTACGCGCCCGCGCCTCCCGCACCCGCACCGTCACCGCGTCTCGCGTCATCTTCCCCTCGAGCACCGCACGCAGAGCCCACCTCTACCTCGAGCCGATGGCGCCCCTTCGCGCGCACTGGCAAGCCCGCACCCGTTACAGCAGATACTGGCACGGAAATGCGAGATACAAATCTGAGTGATAGCGATAAAGAGGATATGCAGCTCGCGCTCCTAATCGCCATGCCCGTCGAGCAGGGCCAAGGGCGCGGAGCGGGCGAGGTGCCCGTGCTTGAGATTGGTGTAAGGGTTGTCGGGGCGCGGGTGCCGGCTCGGGGTGCGGATTATGTGGGTGGGCCGGGGAAGGGGGGCGTATAGGACTGTAGGATTATGATGGATGGGTGTGGTGGATTGATGTTGTACTTTTAGATCTGGGATCGGACTGTACTGTGCTCGTATGTGTACCCGCGAATGAAAGCGTCTGTACATTCTTTGGAATAACGAATGGTGTACGAATCACTGTCAACTTTTCGCGCTCGTGCGCTCGACCGAAGAGCGTCGCGCGCATGAACAATGCATATATCGATAGTCAAATACTAATAAGAATACACCCAAATACTAATGAGAATACACCCAACCGGCGCCACGAACGAATCAGCACATCCACAGCATCGTCCGTCCGTCAGTCTCGTTACTCGTAGCATACTGTCCCCCCGCACCCTCGCCACTCAATACCCTCGCCACTCGACAGTTCTCCCCATGCGCGTCCTGCGCCTGCTTCGCCCTTGCCAAGTGCGCGCGCGCGGCATACGAGGGCCGGAGGGAGGTCGGGATGCCCTGGATCTCGATCTCGATCTCCATTTGGAAAGGGAGAGCATCTGGTCGGCTTCGTCGGGCTCCGTTTCGACGCGGCTTTCTTGTCTTCTGTACGAACGTCAGTGTCGTATACATAATATGCGGGGTTGGTGTTGAATCTGGAGTACTCATGGGATGTGGGTTTGAGGGCGGGGAGGGGGAGACGTACCGGCGCCCCGATCCCGCGCGCCGTCGAGCTCCCCCCGCACGCCGTCCAGAATCTGCCGGAAGTCGGCCTCGTAGCTGTCGAAGAGCGCCGTCGGTGCGTCCATCGCGTCGTATCAGGTTCAGCAGACTCAATTCAAGAAAGTAACCAGACGCCGCAGAGCAGAGAGTTAGGAGGGGCTGAGATGAGATGAGGCGGGCTGGAGAGTATAGGGAAACGTAGAGTATAAGAGTCAGAGATGAGATGGAAGAGGCAGGAGAGATGTTGACGCTGAGCTGGGCGCGAGTGCCGACGGCACCGGCCCCGAGCGCTGATGCGCGCTTTCGCACGCTGTATTTACACGTGGAGGCTTTGTTCGACCGGACTGCGCCCTAGCGCGTTCAAGACGAATGGCCGTGATCTGTCCCATTTACCAGCGACGGGTAGTATACGATACGAACGCGCATGTACAATGAATGAGGTGATCTAGGGAGTACCTGGTTCCTACAACTGACAATCGGCGAAGCGCGTCGGAGGTCGTTAGGTATCCCTCACAGTGAGTACTTACATAGATTGAACTTGCAGGCTTACAGCCCGAAGCTCGACGGACTCCTCGCTGCCGCTCTCGCTTCGAGAGCAAAAGATTGTAATTCGGATAACCCCAATGCAGTGCGCGGGACTCGAACCCGACAGAAGGACACCTCAGCTCGCACGCTCTAGTTCGCGTCATTCACTGATACAGCGATGCGAGCTGTTTGTCTACGCCGCCCTACTCAGAAGCCACTCGATTGCTGTATGAGCTGCTCTTACATCTTCTACAGACAGCCTGTGTATATGTACGAGGGTCTTGCATTTAGTTGTCTTCGGAAGTGTTTGTATTATGTAACATTATACTTTCTATTTTAAATAAAAGTTGCAGGAGACGTATTGGACGAACGTGGGCGGGATTCGAACCTGCAATGACGCCTGAGCAGGCCGGAAGCCTACCATTCGTCCACGTCCTCTGCTTGCTATACGACTTAAAACGTTGTATAGCCAGCGATTCTGATATATTGATCGCCAATGTGTCGCGCGTCTATGTTGAGATTCGAAGGAAACGAGTTGCTTTTGGGAGGGAGGGAGGGAGGGAGACTCAAAAGCCTGAGAGTGTCCGGAGTTGAGCGCTGAAGTGCGGGGGTGCGCGCAGATGGCGCGCCCGCGCACTGAGCATGTTCATGAGTGGCGAAAAGGGTCGGTTGTTCGAACGCATCTGGGGCTCGGAGGTATGAACGAAAGCGTTTCAATTAGTGCTCCTTGCGCAGGAACAGTTTATACAAACAGCATTGATAAGTTACTAATAAGATTACGCCCAGTACGTGCGCAGCTTCCTTCATCGCCGTCGCATTCAATCTTCATCGCTTCATCTTCCACGCGCAATTGCTACGCCTCAACACCACCAACGAGCTCCCTCACCCTCCTCACACGCTCCCTCTCAAACACATCCCTCAAATACCCCGTCGGAATGATCAATTCGAACTGTTCCCACTCGACGATCCCAGAACTCAAAGCCTCACGAACAGGACGCATGAACACCAGATCGAAGTAGTGCACATTCTCCTTCAGGTCGAAATGGAGCGAATCCAGGATCTCTGTTGTGGTAGATCCTCTAAGGATTGCCGAATGCGCAACGGGCGTGGCGCATATATCGATTGCAGCGTGTTCGGCTCGTCGAGTGAGTATCCTCTCGACATCCTCGACCGTGCGCGCGGGGTGAACGTCCACGAGGTCGAGAATGCGGCGTGTTGAGGGCCCCCATTTGTGTATGTGGGCGAAGGAGGGGAGAGGGTCGTAGCCTCGCTCTTTCCTATCGCATACGCAGGCGAAGGAACGACATCAGTATCATCGAGAGCAAAGGAGGAGGATAGCCGTAGGAAGGGAACTAACATGATAGCCCCAATCTCCCTATCACTCGGCCCCCCCAGCACAACGACATTCCCCATCAACTGCTTGAGCCACCCCGACCACCTATCCGTCCCGGGCCGCGCCATCTGCAGCACGCGCGCTGCATACAGTAGAAACCAGTCGCATGGCTGTTTGACGATCTCATCGCTGTCGCATAGAGCCGTGCACTGGTGTAAACGACTCGGACTTTGAGTTGGGGATGAGGTGAGGGGGTACGCAGTGGCGCCGAGGGCGTCGAAGATGATGTAGTGGTGCGGTGTTGAGGGTAGGTGTAGGGCTGTTGGGCGTTTGAGGGAGAGGCGGTGGAGGAGGAGGTAGAGCAGGAATGTGCTTTTGCCTAGAAGACGCGTCGGACCCCGACGATGGCACAGTCAATATCGAACATCCGCAGTCCTGAATGAGTAAATGACCGCACCGCATCCAGGCTGCCCGGTCACCGCCATAGCCCTCTCGTCCCTCAGATACCCATTGCTCAAGAAGTCGAGGAGGAGGTCGTATTCGTGCAACACGACGAGCACGTCTGAGCCAGAAGTAGGACGGAATGTTTTCGGGAGGTTGATGAGATCAATTAGGCACTCGTATTCGTATTCACAAGTCTCTTGTTTTTGCGTTCCTTCTTGCCCCAGCTGCGCATGAGCGTCCGTTACGCCATTGTTCGATGGTATAGGGGCAATAGAGGTCCGTGTCTGACGAGACCATTGCAAGCCCCAGGCTTTAGCGTAGAGCTTACTCGCATCGGCTTGTACCGCATCATGCAGAGATAACGAGATGGTAGGTGCTGAGTGTGAAGGGGTGTTCATCGTGAGCTCAGAGAGCCATGGACGTAGCTGGCAAGGGGTTCAAATGACGACGAAGGCGCATTATGGGAAGCGGTCCGACATTCCGATCAGTGATTTATGTAACGGTGCCACAGCGACGTGTCTTGCTCGAGACCATCATCACACTCTGTGGTTCATTGCCATCGCGGTGCTCGCATTGCTTAGGACAAAGAGATGCATTGTGGTCCTGACTGTAAACGCTCGAGCCTTCGAATGGAGGCCAAAGTGACTCCCGGCGCCGAGGCAGTACCACATGCTCGGGCCACTTCTCGCAGTACTATAAAGACATCAAGGCCTTTGGATGAAATTGAGCATCGGCTTTCCCTCCACCATCGACATTCGCTGACCATGTCTAGCTCTGTATTTCCACTCCTTCAGCTCCCCAACGAGCTCCTCATCCTTATCGCCGAGACCCTTGGCCCACCAGACTTCTCACGCTGCGATCCTGGCTGGCTGGTCCTCCCCGCTGTCTGTCGACGTTTGCGTGCGGTGGCCGCTCGCTCAGTCGACCTCTCGGCTGGAGAGTTCTTTGGCCACACTTTTTCCGGCGAGGAAGAATGTAGCGTGTCCTGGGACTCCTTCCCGGTGTACAACGGCAGTAGCCTCGATTTCCGGGACTGGTACCTGCGTCTTGTAGCTGAATGCCCCAACGGGTGGCAGGCGCTCGATCGTCACATCGGCTCTCCCTTTCTGATAACACGACCGCATCGCCTCAACACTGCATGGATTAAGACCCTCAGCTTGGGATGTCAGGCTTGGAAAGTCGATTCCAGTATGGCCCATTGGTCTTTTGAGGATGCGCCCTGCTTCGTCGCGCCGGCGCTGAGAAGTCTGGATCTTACGAACTACATTGTCGATTGGCTTTGTGAGGGGCTGGAAGACCTCAGCGTGCGTATGCACAGCAGGCCTACGATGAACTACCGGTACCCCGTGGCACACCTCTTCGAGCGCCTGGCGGAGTCGCGACAAACACTTCAGAGCGTCCAACTCATGGGACATTGTCTTTTGACGCGAACTGAGGCTCACGAGAGCGCCATCCCCGACGCATTGACCTTTCCGAGCTTATCAAAGTTCGAGCTCACGACCGCGTCCAACGAGGCGGCTTACTTCGTGCGACGCATGTCGTTCCCTGCTGCTTGTCTACCCATTTTCAACGTCCACGGCTCGGCCCACGGTTTTCTAAGCTGCTTCTCCTGGGATTGCGACGACATCACTCGGTCGAGTGCTTTGACGATCCGCGAGGCGGCACGTGATAGCGGGTACGGATGCACTGTTACAGGAAGCAGGATCTCGACGAAAGATGGGTCGGCACTACGCTCGTATGCCGCGGAACACGTACCACGCCTGGATAGATATGGATACGGACAAGAGGTCAGACGGCTTGATCAGTCCTCTTCGGCCCTTGAGCCCTTCTTCATAGCCAACCTCGATTGGACCGTGAACGCATGGAAGTCATTTAGGCTATCAGCGCTCGACGACACGCAAAGCATGCGATACCTCTTCGTGAACGGTAAAGGGCCGGCTATTCAAACCCGGTACTGCAGGCTCGGAAGTATGGGCCACGCTCCTCCGCCATCTCCCAAGCGTACACGCGCTGTACATCAACGCACCCTGCTACGACGCTCTTTCTCCACTTCTCACCAAGCTCAAACCCGATGATCCGGTTCCCCTGCCTTACCTCCGGTCGTTGTGGCTGGGATCCGGATCTGGGCGGGCGAAGGAGGACGTGGATGCTGGATGGCTGTGGGATATACTTGATGCGCGCGCTGAGAAGGTGCCGTGTCCGCGTATGGAGACGGAGGGTGTACGGCTTGTAGGGGATGATCTTGATGTGCAAGCTTTTTATGACCTCTGGCGATGATAGAAAGACCTGATGTATTATTTCACGTTGCTATCGATAAGAGAGTTCAATCATACATGATGATACGCGCTCGGCGCTCAATAGGAAGGCGGTGTAGGGCTGTCCGAAGAGACTACTGCAAGCGGGCAGCACCCAATGATTTGCCAGGTCAAAGTCAGCCTCTTATGAATGGTGGGGATACCGCGTCCCTCTCGGCATCGAAGACAAAGAAGTAGGCGGGTCGCGCGTCTGAATCCGCTGGAGAAGAAGGCAAGTTTAGCGGGGCGGGGATGCGGTCCGATGGGCCCGGGAAGTGATTGTTGACGTCACGGTGCCACAGCGAGGCTGTGGCCAAGCGGAGGCGGGTTGCTCGAGACCACCACCACCGTCGAATGCGTACTTGAAGTTAATTGTTCCTCTATGTGGTTCTCGGATGAGGCAGCGCCTCATGCTCGCGCACTATAAAGACATCTGAGCCCTGAGTGAAGTCGAGCATCAGCCTTCCCTCCATCATCGACATCCGCTGACAATGTCTCGCTCAGTATTTCAACTTCTTCGGCTTCCCAACGAGCTCCTCATTCTCATCGCCGAGCTCCTTGGCCCGCCAGACTTCTCACACTGCGATCCTGGCTGGCTGGTACTCCCCGCTGTCTGTCGACGTTTGCGCGCGGTGGCCGAACGCTCAGTCGATCTCTCGGCTGGAGAGTTCTCTGGCGACATTTTTGCCAACGGGGAAGAATGCAGCGTGTTTTGGGACTCCTCCTTCCCGGTGTACAACGGCAGCAGCATCGAATTCCGGAACTGGTATCTGCGTCTTGCAGCTGAAGGCCCCAACGGGTGGAAGGCGCTCGATCGTCAGGTCGGCTCTCCCTTAATTCTGCGACGACCGCATCGCCTCAACACCACCTGGATCAAGACCCTCAGCTTGGGATGTCAGGCTTGGAAGGCCGACTCTAGTCTGGCCCACCTGTCCTTCGAGGATGCGCCGCGCTTCGTTGCACCAGCGCTGAAAAGACTGGACCTCACGAACTACATCGTCGATTGGCGCTGTGATGGGTTGGAGGAGCTCAGCATACGGATGCATAGCTGGCCTACCATGGGCTATCGATACCCCGTGGCACGCCTCTTCGAGCGTCTGGCCAAGTCACGACAGACTCTTCAGAGCGTCGAACTGTCGCATTGTCTTTTGACACGACCTCAGGTTGTGGCTCAGGAGAGGGCCATACCCACTACATTGGCCTTTCCAAACTTATCGCAGTTCGAGCTCACGACCGCATCTAACGAGGCAGCCTACTTCGTACAACGCATGTCGTTCCCTGCTGGTTGTCTACCAGCCTTCAATGTCCACGGCTCGGCACTCGGCTTTTTAAGCTGCTTCTCGTGGGTGGGATCCGACGACAAGACGCGGGTGAATGTTCTGACCGTCCGCGAGGCCGCGCGCGGCAGCGGATACGGATGCACTGTTACAGGAAGCAGGATATCGACAAAGGATGATTCAGCACTACGCTCGTATGCCGCGGAGCGGGTACCACGACTGGACCGATATGGATACGGGAAAGAGATCAGACGACTTGATCAGTCCACTCCGGCGCTCGAGCCCCTCTTCATAGCCAACCTCGACTGGAACGTGAACGCTTGGAAGTTATTTGGGCCATCATCGCTCTACAACATACAAGGCGTGCAATACATCTTCATAAACGGCAAAAAGGGCCGACTATTCAAATCCGACACCGCAGACTCGGAAATATGGACAACGCTCCTGCGCCATCTTCCGAACGTACACGCGCTGTACAGGTTTTCCCCATCACTTGGAAGACACCCACCACTTGGAAGGATGCCGCGTCTTGCCCAATACCGTATCAAAACTCGTCGTACCTTTTGCATATGGCGTGTATAGGGCATATGGTATGTTTGGTGCTGCCATAGCCCACGGAATGCGATAAAACGTACCGTATCCACAGCTTAGTCGTGGGAATGCCTCAAACACAAGGGAATCGGCCCGCACAGGGGCCGATACCGATTTTCAGTGCTTCAGATTGGTTATAGATACTCTGAGTGCCATCTCTAACACACGTGTCAATTCTAGTGGCACCAGCCCCAGCGGTTCTCGCTACAGCGATGACACAGACCTGTCCTCTCTGTGGAAATGCGCTCACGTGACCGCATCGTCGACGTCGTCATCAACAACGACCAGCTCTCGAACTACGAGAAGCTTAGATTCAAGACTTGTCGTGGTGTGTCTTTGAGTACTGTGGATGCTATTTGTAGCGTGAGAAAAAGTTTGAGCCGCTGGTTCTCCGCAAATCGCAGCCCTTCCAAGTGGTGGTTCTTGACCCTCACCCCCCTACTGTATATCTGAACAACGAGCGCGTATCAAGCTAAGATATCGGATGTGAGTCCTCCAGCGGTATATAAGGTTACCCTTAGCATGTTGAATCATCGCAATCGGCTCATCAGGGGCCTAGATATCGCCATCTCTTGTGCCCTTCCAAGTGATGGGGAAAACCTGTACGTCAACGCGCCCTGCCACGACGCTCTTTCTCACCTTTTTGCCAAATCTAACCCTGACGATCCGGTTCTCTTGCCTGATCTCCGGTCGTTGTGGCTGGGGTCCGGATCTGGGCGGGCGAAGGAGGATGTGGACGCGCGATGGCTGCGGGATGTACTTGATGCGCGCGCTGGGAAGGCACCGTGTCTGAGTATGGAGACGAAGGGTGTACGGCTTGTAGGGGATGATCTTGATGTGCAAGCTTTTTATGACCGCCAGAGGTCATAGAAAGACCTGATGTATTATTTCATGTTGCTATTGATGAGAGAGTACAGCGATACACGATGGCACGCGCTCAGCGCTCAATAGGAAGGCAGCGCAGGGCTGTCCAAAGAGACTATTGTAAGCGGAAAGAGCCCAACGATTTGCCAGATGGAGGTCAGCCTCTTCTGAACTGGGCAATCGTGACGATGGGGAACCTTGGAACGCGGTCGCGCGTTCCGCCCCTCGAGCCGCAGGAAATAGAGGAAAGTGAGTTTGCCTAGACGTTACGATTCAGCTTTCGAAGAACAGATTGCAGTCGAGTAGAAGACGCACCAATTCCGGGGTGACCGGGGGCCCGCCACCACTATGCCCTTCCTGTGCCGAAGATAGCTCGTCGTGAATGCCTCGCCAAGTGGCCCGTAAGTATTCGCGAGGAAGCACAGGTGTCTGCGACTCCCGAGTCACACCGGGAGTCGTTGATCCTCTCCAAGAGCTCCCGGTAGGAAGTCTCACTGGTAGGCCTCTGTAGCAAGCGCCTTCCAGATCGAGATCCTTCGCGTCTGGCGGCAATGGGGCGACAAATGTCCTTGTTTCGCCGCGCCGCGAGTTACCCCGGCCCCCCTTATGTAGCCTGTTCGCTCGAACGTAGCTTGTGGCCAGAAGTGTTCTGGTATATAGATCGACGGGTCTCCATCATGAACGTAGTGAACAAGGCGAAGATGGCAAGGCAACGCGCTATGGTTGATGCGGCCCGATGCTCCGAATACGCGCGTCTTCTTCTCCTTCGACCAGCACCGCCATCTACAAACACTACTGCACTCTTTTGTTTGAAAAAAAAGCTCACAGCTCCGAGTCATGCTTGATTCTACATGCTCAAACAACCCCTCGTCGTTCGGTTACCGTAGCAGCACTTTACCGGAGGCTTGTGCGGTGCAATAGTCCTACATAGGGCTATGAACAATATAGTGAACAGGCACCTGCACGCCCTTGTTTGCTCGTGGGCATGCGACATCGCTACTCACGCTGTATGCATATAAAAGACGACCGGCCCACACACCAAACCCCACCACCCCTCGCAGGCACTATGTCTGACAGACGACCTCTCTTCTTCGCCCTTCCTCCCGAGCTCCTCATCTTCATCGTCGACCACATTGGGCCACCGGACATCTCGTGCTGTGACCCCGGGTGGCTCGTAGTACCCGCAGTCTGTCAAACGTTGGGCGAAATCACAGAATTCGTCATAGATTCATGGAGAAGAAGAGCCAGAGCTTCTTTTGCGCCGCACGGTATCATCTATAGCTGGGTGCCTCTTCTACCGGATGGCCCTGATCAGTCTATATACTCCAATAACCGGCGCATGCATGTCACTGACAGACGACTTGGCGTTCAGTGGGCCTTCATTCCCGTCTACAGAACCGGCAACGTCGAGTATCGCTCGCCAACTCTGCGCGTCAGCCCGAGTCGTACAAATTCCAGAGACTCACAAGGAGCGGTGGACGATTACCTCAGCGCTAAGTCTGCATCGCATCAACCCAAGCGCGTCAACTGGAACTTCTCGTGGCTACGAAGTATCACTCTCAAAGGAAGTTCGAACTACGACAAGATGATTGGGGACTGTCTCGGCTTCTCGTTCAACGAAGTACCTTGCCTAGCTGTGCCAGCCCTTCGGGAACTCTACCTTCACGACTATATCGTCGATTGGCGCTGTGCTGGCCTTCGAGTCCTTAAGATCACAATGAGCACGTCTGAAGACGGAGAGCCGACAACAGACTATTGCTTTCCTCCCGCGGTCCTCTTTGCACGCATGGTCGACTCCCGACGCACTCTGCAGGCTGTCACCCTTGAGGGATGTTTCCCCGAGATCCCCGAGGAGGCTGACACTGAGGAACCCGACGTGCTTTCGATTATCCTCTTCCCTCGTCTATGTGAGTTCGAGATGTCGAAGACCATGCCTCACGAAGCATGGAGGCTCTGCAGGCGCATTCAGTTTCCATCTGGCTTCCCTCCTGTGTTTGAAAGCTTCGGACCTGGTATCACGTTTCTCCGCTCTCTCGCATGCGAGTATTCGCACTCTCGTTCTGAAAGGCACATTTCTTCCAGCGGGATCGATACGCTCACGATACGCGCCGATGATGAAGACTGTATCCTCACTGCGAGCAGGATCACCTCATCACATCAAGACTTTAGGGAAGCGGTCTGACGGCGTCTGAGGGACTCTGAAGCGGTCTGACGGCCCTGAAACGTCTGAAGGCTCGCTTAAAGCTCTGGGCTCACATGGCCCTCAGAGCCTTCAGACCGCTTCAGACGCCCACAGGGCGCTTCAGACCGCTTCCCAGATTGCTGATGGCCAGATCCGGACACAGACTTCGATCCGGAGCTGTACGCCTTCAATCTCGCAGAGCGGACATCGGAATGCTCTGAAGATGCGACCATGGATATACAAGACCTCATCGAACTCGATAGGACAACGCCGGGTCTGGAACCTATCTTCATCGTCAACATGTATTGGAAGTCCCTGTATGATCATGATCCGCCACCGCCAGACCCGAACCCTTGTTCTCCGAGTCCATGCACGGGTCTACAGAGCGTACAGCACATCTTCGTTGATGGACGTGAAGACCAGCTGCTGAGAGAGGACGCCGACGCGGTGATATGGGCCTCGCTCCTTCGACATCTTTCGAGCGTGCGCGCGCTGTACATCTGCGCGCCCTCTCCTCACGCGCTGGTACCTCTTCTTGAGCCCGACAGTTTGCCTGCTTTAGAGATGCTCTGGTTGGGAAGCGGCGACGCGCCGAAAGGCCAAATCGACGCCGGAACGCTGTTGCGCATCATGAGCCTACGAGAGGAGCTGGCAATGAAGGCGGGTCCAGGTCGATCGTATGAGCTGCACGTCGTGAATTTGCGGCTCGTGGGTGATGCTCGGACGATAGATAGGTTGTGTGGATTCATAGGGTTCAGTTATGCGAGTTGTATAGCAGCTATCCGTGTATAATAAGAAAACCCATGATCGAAGGCATGCGTATAGATGCGCGATGGGCACATGTCTGGCATCAGGTTGAAAGAAGATTCCCTTCAAAACCTGAAATATCTGCGTGATGCCCAGAATAGTGCGCAGTGATACACGGCTTATCTTCGAGATAGTCGTCACACCCTTGCAAGGAGCTCGAGTAAAGTCATGGCGAGCACGCGCAGGTGGAGGTTTGCGGGCAAGGAGCGCGCGATAGTAAGAACTTCAGAGCGCGGTTCGGCCGGGCCGGAGCTCCGAACGGCATTGCGCCGCCGCGAAGCAACCAGGTTACGGCTTGCGTTCGAACAGCGATGTTGTCCGCTGTAGTATGGGTCGAGGACCGTCGCGCGCCACCGGCCTCCCTTCACCGTATACAGTGCTGCAATATACCCCTTGTTCCTCTAGTTTCAGCAAAGCCGAGTGGCTGTTTTTGTTCCAATTTCGTTGACGACGCGCCTTGTCCAATTCTCAAGCTATGCCCGTAGTCGAACAAATGACGACGCGAAGGGGTTCGTCACAATAGCCCCTGGGACGTATAACAACAGGACCACCACCGCTCGCTCGCACACAACATCCTCTCCCTTCCGCCAGCATGACTTCCGAACCGTCGTCGACCTCACAGCTCCCCGACGTGCTCTCCCTCGCCAGCCCTACCTTGATGGGGTTGCCCAACGAGCTACTCATCAAGATCGTCGAATTTCTCGGCCCGCCCGATCTCTCGTGCTGCGACCCCGGTTGGCTGGTGATTCCTGCGGTCTGCCACCGTCTTTGCGGTGTCGTTAGCAAGATATCCTCATGGGAGTCTGGGACGGTCGCCGGCCCCGACAACGCGCAGGCAGCGTATGGCTGGAGTACGTTCTCATTCGGTGAAAGGAGGGGCTTGCCGCCGGGAACGCCGGATATAGGCTTCTGGATGAGGGACACGGAGGACTGCGTGTCTTTGAGCTGCAGTCCGGTGTACAAGGGAGGTCGCGTGGAGTTCCCCTGTGCCTCTCTCAGCATCACGGCATGGGACGACGACACACAACAAACCGTCGATCGGTATCTCGGCGGACCCACTCTTCTTTCGGAACCTCGTCTCAATTTCGTCTAGTTGAAGTGCATCTCCATATCACTCCATGAACGACAGGAGCCCGCTACACCCCGAAACTTCTCTTTCTCCAATGCGCCACGCATCGTCGCTCCTGCGCTCGAGGAGCTGACTCTCGAGAGCTACGTCGCAGACTGGCGCTGCGGTAGTCTCAAGAAACTTACTATCAAGTTGAGACGTTCTCAAGGCTATCGCTACCCTCCCGCAGAACTCCTTGCACGTCTGCGCGAATCGCGGCTTACTCTCGAGCAAGTCCGGCTCGACTACTGTTTTCCCTCGGTACCCGAAGATGACGAGGACGCGAGACACGTACCTATCGAGGTCTATCCTCGTCTGAAAGACTTCAAGGTCCGCGATGATCCCCACGAAGCGAACTGGCTCTGCAAACGCATCGGTCTTCCCTCTAGGCTTTCGCCCATCATCACCGGGTCGCAGACGGCTGGCATCACGTATCTCCGTTCTCTCGCGTGCGAGTACGGCAAGTCGGTTCCCGATCCCAAACCAGGCCGCGCCGATTTCCACGGCGAGCTGGACACCCTCACTTTCCGCCCACCGAATGAGTTCGATCGCTATGGGTGCTTCATCACCGCCAGCAAGATCACAGGCGTGATCAACGGTCCGTGGCTACACGAGATCGAGGATCACAGCTTGGATGTTTACGCGAGGATCTGTACGGCGCGGTACATGGACTGTGACTACGACCAGGACGTCAGAGAGCTCGACGGGAAGGTACCCGGCATCGAGCCCGTGTTCGTGACGAGGCTCGATTGGACACGTACCGCCTGGGACCTTCCGCCCGGGATGAACAGCGCTTGTGGCGCTCAATGCTCTGCGCTGCACGGGATCAAGCACGTCTTCATCGACGGCACGAAAGGGCGGCTTCTGGGCAGAGGCGGCAACTGGAATACTACGGTCTGGATATCGATTCTCCGACATCTGCCGAACGTGCGCTCGCTCTACATCTACAATCCATGCCCCGCTTACCTGGAGCTACTCACTAACGAGCCCGATATCCTTCCTAACTTGAGAAAACTCTGGCTGGGACGCGACGAACACTCGAAGGGCGACGATGACTGGAGGGGCTTCATCCCGGCGATGGGCCACTACGACTCGGACGCTGACGATCTCGACTCGGACAGCGACTCGGACAGCGACGGCGGGGACTCAGATGGTGATGATCGTCAAGCTTCTGAGCGCGAGTCGCAAGCAAATGAGCAGGATGTCGCTTCAGAGCGCATCGGTGATCCCAAGAACGAGCAATCAAGTCCGGCCAAAGCTGGCTCGTCCCATCGCAATGTTGCCAGTCAAAAGGATCGCGTTTTACCGTCGTGGAAGTGCGAGGTCGACGCCGGTCTGTTGATGAGCGTCTTCAGAAGCCGCACGCTGAATAGCTGTGCCCTCGAGAATGTCGAAGTTGTCGGTGACGCCCAGGAAAGGGAGGAATTGCAGTATATTTTTGGCGGCGCGCTCTAGCGCCCACCGCGTATACCATATGTATCGAGCTATCTCTCTACGCAGTACGATGTTCTGTAGATCCACTGGACTGTATGAAGTTTGCGATCCAACTCTGCGTGGGGCAGCGGCTTAGTCGGCCCGAACACCCGTCTTTCAACGAGAGTCCGATCATGACATGCATGACAACTTGCGAGAGACCCTCATGTCGGTTTAATATTCCATTTCCTTCTTCCAACTCAATGCGCTAGATGATGCCTTACACTTTCTTATACGACTTGCGTGGACGATGCTGAGTCTCGCACCAAGGCCGCCGTGCTTGGCCCTGTGCACTCCAAGTTTCGGGATGTGGTTAACATCACGAAGGTGGCGGTTTGGCGTGGGCGGCCGCCTCATGAATAATCAACAACCACGGTCTTCACCCAGAACCATGGTCATATAAAGCCCTTCGAATGCTCAGTGTCATCTTGAACCGTCACTATCGCCTCGCGAACATGCTCGACCCGCGACCACCCATCCTCAGGCTTCCCGTTGAACTCTTGTCCTACGTCGCCGAGTACCTTGGACCACCAGACCTTGCGCGCGCCGAACCGGGGTGGTTGGTGTTTCCAGCCGTCTGTAGGCTATGGAGGGACGTAGCGCACAGACTTCTTGAATGGGAATCCGGAGAGATAGACGAGTGGACGGAATACGCTCAAATCGACCTTTTACCCCAACACTATCTGGTGGAATTGAACGCGCATATGACCACATTGGGACATCCGTCTACAACACTGTTGAGCGGCACAGTTTTTGGCGGTCATGAGAGCAGCGCCTTCTGGGGCATTCGTCCTATCTGGACGGGTGGCGCCGTGGATTATGTTGATGGATGCCTCGCAGTCTTTACTACGGAGGCCGACGACGCGTCACGACACGACGTGAACACTTACCTCTCGCAGCCACTTTATGGCCTCCGTTTCCCGTGGGTTACCTCTATCACCATCACCCTCCCGGGACCCGCCGTCATAGACGAGCCGAATTTCACCTTCGCAGACGCACCCTTCATCGACGCGCCCGCTCTGCGCATGCTGCATCTCATGGACTACGTACTCGACTGGAGCTGCCATCATCTACAGTCTCTCAACATCGTCCTGCGCAATCTCGAGAACGCGGAGAACCGCACTCGGTATTGCTATCCTCCTGCTCGCCTCGTCGAACTCATGAGCGACTCACGACTCACGCTCGAAGACGTTATACTGTATAACTGCATTCCTTCGGTGGAAGACACGCCCACGATACCGGCCGTCTTCTTCCCGCGCGTACACGACGTTCTGCTCCACGGCGGCGTTGCCGAGACGTGGTGGATCCGGCAGTCCATGGCTCTACGAGCGCACGTCCAACCGACATTCACGACGTATCCGCACGTCCCGTGTGGCGAGGTCCTGCGCTCTTTTGCATGGGAGTACGCCAAATCGACGGTTGGCTGGCACGGAGACTCTGGCGATGATCACGGATCGCATGCAGCGATTGGGATGCTGTCCTTTCACAAATCAACCTCGCCTCGCATCGCGCCGGATGAATCGCGATGCGTCGTCAAAGCATATGCCACGGGCGTGTGCGCGGAGGCCGTCGCATCGCAGTTGATCGTGGATTCCGCCGGCATCGATGCGCCCGAGGGGGAAGACTCTCAACTTCATTCAAGATTCAGACCTGTCGCTGGCGGGGCGACCAGTGCCGTCCCCGAGCCAGTGTTTGTCGTCAACCTCCGCTGGAACACACACGCATGGGATTCGGCAGACGATCTTCCTGACCGCCCCCATCGCACCTCGCTCGCGAGCGTGACGGACATCTTCGTCCACGAAGACGAAGGCGAGACTGAGAGCCTATTTGCCGAAGACATAAACGGCACGATGACGTGGGCGATGATGCTCCTCCACTTCCCCACGCTACGGCACATGCACATAACGGCCGCCTCCGGCCGCTCGCTCTGGCCCGTTAGAGCCCCCGACGCGTTCTTCCCTACGCTCGAGACACTCTGGCTACGAGGAGCCGACTCGGCCTCGCCGCATGAGCTGGACGTCCGTGAGCCGCTACTGATTCTCATCCGGCGACTCGGAGTGACAAGGGAGTTCGTGCCGGGAGGCGAGTTCACGATACGGCTGGAGAATGTGTGTCTTGTTGGGGATGAGCAGTTGGTGAAGCAGTTTTGGGAGCTTAACGGGACGGGGTGGACAGATGCATAGAGTCTTGAGTACGCTATCGGCCGTGTTGTAACTTTTGTATACGGACCGATGTGGCCTTTGCTTATCGTCGCGCATCTCGGAGCCATGTCCAGTCGGCGCTATGATCGCTTACTGGTTGCAAAGGGACGAAAGCTGCATGGGATAACGAGAACGACAGAGATATATGTGCGCCGTGCAGCGAGAACAAACGAGACGAGCGTGAATGCCAGTCGACGTCGTCGACATATATAGACCGATACCCCAAGATCGCAAAGTGGGTGATGTACGCGACGAACTATAAACCAACACAACTGTAGAATATGTCACGTCACGAGAGCCTGATATAAGTACAGGGAACCTCAAGTATAAGTAAACGAAGAACAGAAGACTTAGGGAGGAGGTGCAGACGTGGAGAGCCCAAGCCGGCAAGCTTGCGGCGACCGAGCTGCGTTCGAAGCTTGACAGCCACTTATCTTAACCCTCTATTTCCTCACATATTCGCTCTTGAGCAGGCATCGGGTGTATAGTCCGCGATGAGATGTTGTGGCGGTTGCTGACGCCTTTGGAGCCATGCGACGTCCAGTATGTGCATGCGACCATGCCGGCTCGGCAGAGCAAGACGGCGCCTTCTGAGGGCTACTCGCAGAACGAGTGTGTGAGCCTGCTTCAATCTCGATGAGCGCCCGTGAACATGAGCTTGTATAGGCATATTGCCGAGGAGCGGCAAGATGTTGTGGTCCACGACGGAAACAGCCGTTTAGCTATAGCGAAGAGAGAATCAGCGGCCTTGCGCGCGCAGCATCGACCTCGATTGTGTATCCATGACTCCATGTCTCAGGAGCACGACGAGGACCGTCTTCCTGAAGCGGCTGCACGTCGAGCATCAGCACGCGGTCATTACCACGGATCGAGATGGAGGGCATACACCATGGCTAGATACGCCTGCAAGGAATGTACGCGCTTATTGAGGGGTATGCGAGCCGGGGGACTCTGTGGCGTATGTCTGAGCCTGGGCTGCGCTTCTCGAATGTCTAGATGGGAGTTGGATGGGAATCAGAGAGCGGCTGAGGCAGATGGACCGTGGCGGCGGGAGCTTCATCTTCAGACGCATCGGCATCTCTGAAGATGCTGTCAGACATGTTTTGTTGGCGCGGACAGGCTGGATGGCGTGGGATCAGCCCGTACCCCCACTCATGATAGTGCTGTCTAGCACCCTCTGCAGTAGAAGAGTACGAGGGAGTCAGGGCTATGTATTTTCTCTTAGGCAAGAAGGGAAGAAGGCGGGCATGACGGCAGAGAGCAACGTCGTCGTCCCGTCGTCGCCACGAGGCAGAGCGCGCCGAAAACCGAAAACGGATTGAGTTGGCCGCTGATCCGTCTGTCTGATGCTTTGATCGCGCGTCTGACAGCTCGGCACGCTCTGCGTCTTGCCCGCGCAACCTGCGCTCGCCCAGCCACGAGCTCCCGTACGGTGTCTGCGATCGGCCCGCCATCCTCGGCCGCGCCTCACGCTCTTTACAATCTTTGCTACGTTTTGGGCATCTGATACCACATATACGACACGCGTTCGATACCCGCGACGACGACAACAAGGCCGCCCCAATAACCCTTCGCGCGCCGACACTACACAATAAGTACGACGAGACACCCCGCGCGGTCAAGTGAAGATTGGAGAACGCGATGGACGCGCTCGACGCGACGCAGCTCTCCCGCTGGACGCGCTTCGCGGCCAAGGGCGGGATCGGGCGCGCGACTGCGCTCGTGGACTATGTCGCGGAGCAGGCGCAGGATTTGATGTTTCTCAAGGTACTTCCCTCTCCGCTCTTTTCATCATATTGCAAGAGAGAAGGAGGGAGGCTGATGCGTGTGTGGTAGGGCGACGAGATTGTCGTGCTTATGAAGTTGGAGGAGGGCGGGGACGTTTATTTGGTTAGTCTTGCTCGCTACTTTCTACTTTCTACACTCTGGGATTGGTTTGGATGGGTGGATGGGCGCGGGCAGGCGGGGTATAGAGAAAGTCGAACCGTAGTAGCGCGCGCGTTCCCACCGCGAGCAGTAGAAGGCGAGCGCGTAGTCAAGTCAGGCGTTAAGCTCCGTGCGCGCGCCCGGCTTCGATCACAATACGCAGAAGCCCAATTCACTTGTCGCCCTACCTTAATCCCAAATCCCAAATCCCAATTTCCAATCTCCAATTCTTAAGTGCTAATGCTAACGCGACTACTGTGCAGGGCCACTGCGAAGGCGTGATCGGCCGCTTCTCCGCCTCGAACGTCCGCTTCCACTCGAAACTCAAAACGCCCGTCCGCACGCGGCGCTCCTCCCTCGCCAAATCGACCGCTTCAAATTCAACCTCGCGCCCTCTATCTTCGACGTCCACTTATGCGTCGGGCTCGGGGTCGTTGTCGCGGCCGGCGAGCAGGGACGAGATCAGGGCTGTGAGCGTTACGAGTCCTGTGCCGCTCGCTACATACGCTGCTGCGGGGGGCGTGATTGGGGGGAGTCCGGGGCGTGAGGAGTTCGGCGGTGTTGGTGCCAGTACGAGCGAGAGCGGGCAGAGCATCGCAGCGAGCGGGAGTGCGCCGACGCTGAGCACCTCCGCGTCCGACAACGGCTCGCTCTCCCTCGGCCCCTCCTCAACCCCCACCCCCACCTCCACCTCTGCCGCAATATATACAACCAGTCACAATCCGACGCCAAGCCTATCCTTCTCGTCCTCATCCTCGACGCCATACTCGCCCCGCACACCGATCGACGCCGCGCGCGTCTTCGGGCACGAGCGCGGGGCGTTCGGGTACGAGAAGGGAGCTGTATATGGACATGGAAAGAGGCCGAGCGAGGCGTCGGGGTATTCGCATGCGAGCAGCGCGAGTGCGAGTTATTCGGTTCATGCACCGCCGCCGTTCCCGGTGCATTCAAATGCGGCGGGGAGTCCGGCGGCGAGCGCGCGGACGTTCGGGCATAAGCCTACGGCTTCGTCAGTCTACTCTGTGAGAGAGGTGGACGAGAGTCGGAGCGTGTATAGTCAGGATATGGATGATGGGGGGAGCGTGTACAGCCAGCGCAGCGGTCGTATCGGCGCCGACGGGGATGGAGATGGGGAGGGAGGGGAGCGGACGTCGCTCGTCCGCACCGCGTCTCTGAGCACACTCGACGGCGAGAGCCTCCGCGCGCGCGACTCAATCCTCCGAAGACGAAATGGGGAGGGAGAGGGAGAAGGGGAGCGGACGTCGCTCGTCCGAACCGCGTCTCTATCAAGCGCAGACCGCGCGTCGTTGGTCCGGCGCTCGATCTCGATGTCGATGTCGAGCTTCGATCGTGCGAGTGGGCATCGGAGAGAAGAGGAAGACTCGAATGTTGAGGTGCAGGGGGAGGGGGAGGG